GAAATCATAGGTTTGAACAAAGATGATTTATAAAATTATTTTGTTATATTTTTTAGGTAGTTTTTCTATTGATCTGACGGGGACTGGTATGCGACTGCAGTCCTCAGTAAGATGGTCAGTCGAAAGTCGACCTGCTGGTATTCAAATGCAGGATTTCCAAATAAGAAATGAAAGTCAAGTCTTGTCAGCCAAGTGCGGAGGAAACTGTGGCAAGTGTAGCCCGACTGGAGATATGTTGATTGAACCGTTACACTGTGGTAAGAATTTGAATTAAAGGTTACACGACGCAATATTTTCTGCAGCTTGCAACGCAGTTTCGGATACAGAGTCAGTCATGTTACGTGCGTTGACAAACTGCGATTTGTCTTGGTCGTGGCTCATGGATGGACTAGAGGCAGGTTAATTTTCAAGATGGCCGCCATGAGTTTTTAAGATCATTAAAACGTAAAAAGTCAACAACCAGCCACTTGCAACAATACTAGACCTTACCCTCACCCCACAACCAACTAACTCTAATCCTAACCCCAATGCACATGTGGAATACTGACGCAAACTCTTATTTCAGTTTTGGAACCATTTCGTAAACTACCTCTCGTCCATCCCTTTTAGACATTACCGCTTTGTCTTGCCGATTTCAGAGGCACGTAATAGGTGGCGAACAACATCCGTCGACCTCACCAACCGATAATATTCGTCATTAGCGTTATAACCTAAAGTCAGCCCGACAATCGTAGTGTATAAACGTGCCTGAAAAAGTAGTCAGCAGGGAAATTTTGAGCATAGCTAAATAAATCTACTCTCAACCAACACTTCCGTTATACATAATATACTCTTAAGGTATGAAAAATGGGTCATGCTTCGCATGCAGACAGCATGCATGAGTCCATGTCTGAAATTGTTTTGCAAGTTGCAGCATAAATTGCCTTAAGACTAAGAATACAGGATGTCCCATGCAAAGAGGTTTGGTTGCACAGTAGCTGTGCTTTTCTCCTCCGACTGGAGATCTTGTTCTCTAGTATACAAAATGTTCCAGGTTTTGTCAGTGAACCTTGTCGGACTTCTATCGCTAGTGGGAACAGATTAGAACTTCTGTGTTTGTTTGAGTTGCATGTGAGGAGAGTGCTTCCAGTTCGACGTTACAAAACACCACAGGTTCTCTCCAGGAACTCCAGTTTCCTCCTCTAGTAACACCGCCGGGATCACAAAAGTTGACTAAAATTGTCCTATCAGACTAAAATTTCTCTGTAATTAAAGTTAATTTAGATTTCCTCCAGTAGTAACATTGCAGAAATTAACTATAGGAGCATTCGTACCTCGAAGGCAAACAGCTTAGAACTAAGGGCTGTCCAATAAGTTAAAGTTAAGTTTGTGTAACACTGGATGATTATTACTGGATCTTTAGAACTGATAGAGATATTCAGTCTGAATAAATCTAGCTTACGTCGGGTTTCCTCCTTTGAATAGGCCAGGAACCTTACAATGTGGGACGGCAGCGTGACGACGACGGCTATTCATACAATACGATTCATAATATTTAAGGAGAAAAAAATTAATATCTCACAGGAGTTTGAGACGTTATCAACAGTCTGTTTACAACGGGAAACTACACTTTTACGTCTTGGATAAAACTCCTGCATTTGAAGACACGAGAAGTGATACTCCGCAAATTAGCTCAGTACTACAGTCGGAACTTGCTGCCGTCCTACATCGTAAGGTCTCTAATAACACTGGACCAATAAGAGATAACCGTTAGCTATCTTTACTAGACCTTCATGGGAAGAGCAGTTGAGAACTTCTAATTTTCCAAGATAAATGAAGTTAGTTTAGTTTAGTTTATCTATGTGTTTCTTTATTCCTAGGCCCATGTGATGGAGTATCCTGTGACTTCCATGGCACATGTCAACATGAACCGTTATCTTTCTCAGGATTTCGCTGCGCATGTCCAAACTGTACGACAGAAAGACGCACAATTACAGACAGTAGGGTGTGTGGTAGTGATGACATCACTTATGAGAGCGAATGTTTCATGAGGAAGAATTCTTGTCTGAAATTGATAAAGATCACGATTGCCTACAGAGGACCTTGTAGTAAGTGGAGCCATGTTTTACTTTCTAGCTTATCTGAAAACAAGCAAAATGCTTCGAACTTCGAAGTAGCAAAAACAAATGTGGCTAATGTTGTTTATGTTGTTGCTACCCGATTCACAACGTTAGATAACTCGCATGCCCAGTTACTATTGCTCTAGTTTGTATAGGAAATTACACGGTTCGAGAAGTATTATTTAAAACATGACCAGCAGTGTTTTATCAGATATAAAGATACGAGGTGAAGCTGAGTTTCTTTAGGTCTGATAAAACACGCACTGCGAATGTTTTAAATTGCTTCAAAAACGATCAATCTAGTAAGATTGATAAAAAAATAGGTTGTGTAAGTCGAAAAAGTCAAAATTAAAGTTTACGTAAATCAAGGGAAATCTCTATCACGTATAAGGATACGACACGCTTATGATTTTTCTTTGTGTTTTCCTCATAAATTATTAATGAGTTTTTGAATAAGATTGAAAGTACTTGGATATCTCTAGTGAATTAGTCGCATCGTCTCATTTTATCACCGTGCTGTCTCCTTATGGAACGAACTCCTAGAGAACATTAAATGTAGTTTATCAGTTAATAATTTACACTCGATAATTTCTTTCTACAAGACCCATTATTTTTACCAAATGCTGACCCTCCAATATCCCTCTATTTCACTCAGTAACCAAAAGGGAAGAGGTTTATCACATCTTCATTCATTTCTACTGTTTAACTTTCTGCAGATCCTTGTGAAAACATCACGTGCGCGAACCATGGTTTGTGCAAGAGAGATGCAAACTCCGTGAGTGGATATCGCTGTGAATGCCGGGAATGTACACATCATGAAAACACAGTCGTGGTGTGCGGCAGTGATCGCAGGACGTATCGGAGCAAATGTGAATTGAAACGTGAGTCGTGTCGGAGTAGGAGATATATCACCATCCGTTACCTTGGTCGATGTGGTAAGTTGTTGTTGCGAGTCATGTAGTTTGACTCTACCATATATGACTCTACCCACCGCAGATTACTTCGGGTACACACGTAACGAACTTGTCAACAAGATGTGTTCGCAACAGGCTTGTACTAGCAAGCTCGTCAGCAAGTTGTAACAATGTTGTTGTCTTATCAAGTTTCTACAAGCTTGTCACTCACAACTTGTTGACAAGTTCGACAAGGACGATAAAAAGTTGTTGGAGCAACTTGTCAACAAGCTGGGAGCAAGCAGTGCGAACACCTCCTGTTGACAAGTTGTTGGAACAGTATTGCTACAATTAAGTCTGCAGCAGGTTTGTTACAACTTGTGCGTTTTTACGTGTGTAATCCAGTTCCCTCGTGAAGTACACTGGCAGCCTTTACACGAGCCCGCCTTGGCTATTACTCATACTTATATGCCACGCTTAGTTGCGAATTCAGATCACTCGTGATGAAGACACTAGACTGGATACAATTGCCTCGTTTTTGTGTCAAATACTCACTCATGTTTTGTGCTTAGTAGGGTTGAAAATTACTTTGTTATTGAGCCCAAGAACAGCAAGAAAAAATTCGTCTAGGAAAACATGGGAATATAATCTTTAGAATGTTAGGGTGTGTAATCCAAGTGAGTATATATACATTTTAAGACCTGACCAGGAACGACTGCGCAGGTCGTTCCTGGTCAAGTCGTTCCTGGTCACGACTTCGCAGTCGTTCCTGGTTAGGTCTTAAAATGTATATATACTCACTTGGATTACACACCCTAACATTCTCATATTAATTCCACCAAGTGAAGTGCAAGAAACCAAATCATTGAATATAATCTTTATCTGCCACTGACATGCTAAAATAAGTTAACATGGAAACGAGGCCATTGGGTAAAAGAGAATAATCGGAAAGGTCTATTTCGAGTATAATTAAAATTTTAGATTAATTTTTACCTTTCGTACTTTTAAGACCCGTGCCGTGGAGTAAACTGTGCAAATTATGGCGTATGTAAGCCAAACCCTCGTGCTTTTCTTGGCTATCAATGTCAGTGTCCAACACATTGTCCACCTGACGTATCCAAAGTTTGTGGCAGTGATGGAAGAACATACCGCAGTGAATGTGTATTGAGGCGTGAATCGTGTCAGCGGAAGATTACGATTGTAATTTCGTACCGAGGATCGTGTGGTGAGTTGAAATATGACTTGACATTCTATCATTTTTTATTGATCTTTTCCGAAAATGATCCTGATTGCTGGATTTCAGCAGATGGAGGTGAACTTGTGAAATTTTGAAACTAAATTGAGCTCGATCTCTCTTTCTGTTCCAAAAAGAGACTACTAATTATTTAGTAATTAACATTGTTAAATCATTAATAATTTATGAAAATAAATGAAAAAAAAGTTCAATGAGTATACAAAAATAACAAAATTTTTCTGACTTTCGTGTATACTATTTCCTCGATTTTCTCAGTTAGTAAAACCACGTCTTTTTGAACAAAATTTCTTAAAACACGATTGTTGAAATTCTGATACAACATGGCCGCATACTATTATTTTCTCTTTAAGATAAATATTAATGCCCAGCAGAAAATATGTAAACGAGCCATAACAAAAATATAGTTTTAAAAGTTTTGCCCCCAATCTTCAGTTTCATCTTCTTGTATAACTTGAAGAATTGAAGACCTTTACTGAACCTCTAGAAATAACTGCAGTTTAAGTAACTTTATATAGCTAAGGGTTCAGTAAGGACAGTCTCTGTCTAGCTGGTTGCATAGATAACCAAGAAGTCATTTCATATCGGTCCAGTATTACTGCAGGAAGAAACCGGAGTAATTTGTGAAAACATGTGTTTTTTTTTTCATAATTCCCGACTGGTTTAGCTACACTGAAGTAGAATAAGCCGATACCGGGGCAAACTATGGAATATGAGCCATCGGCCCATCGCTAAATTCCGGTTTCTCGTCGTCTTTATACCAAGCTTAAGGTCGCCGTATTTTGAGAAATACAGATAGAGGAGAAAAATAATAGGGACAGTCTCTATCTAGCTGGTTGCATAGATAACAAAGAAGCCATTTCATATTGGTCCAGTATTACTACAGGAAGAAACCGGAGTAATTTGAGAAAACATCTGGTGTTTAGCACAGTATAATTACAGCCATTATACTCTTATGATAAAAACATATTCTAGGAATCAAACCGCGGTTGCAGAAATGAAAGCCACAAGCACTAATATGTCACTGTAATACGAACATCCCTGTGGAAGTTGATTATAATGATAGGTGGAGAAAGAAGAGCTATAAATAATATTTGTGTTATTCAGATCCGTGTGAAGACAAGAAATGCTCCTTCAATTCAACATGCATCAAAGGTCATCACAATCAAGCTACATGCCTATGTCCTCAATGCAATGGTCAAGCAGTGAACTATATATGTGCAAGTGATGGAAACAGTTACACAAATCTCTGTGAGGCAAGGAGATATGCTTGTTTGATAAAAATTAACCTCAGACTCGTTCATAATGGCAAATGCGGTGAGTACAGGTTATGGTTTTTGGGTCCATAAAATCACAAGTTTCTTCAGTATGTGGCACAGCGATTAGTGCAAAACGAAATTAGCCTTCTACCTCGACTTCTCTTGGGTTTTGATTCTTGTCATATACATTATAAGTTGTCGCAGTTTCTCCTCAATCGCATCTGAAAAAGTGTTTCCAGCTTGACTTTATCGAACAGCGCAATTTTCCTTCTGCTAGTCTGGTATCCTTGTAGCAACATTGGATCAATAAGGGATTTTATGATCCTAGACGGTGTTCAAAGACGATCAGCGACGTCTATACTCCAGGAATATAAGTCGTCTAAGTTGTCTTATCCAAAGCACTCATTTGTCCTATTCGAAAACTAGCCGCTACATGCACTTTTGAATTATTGTATATTTTATGCATTACCAGGCTAATAAACATTTTTTGCAGAGACCATTATTTAAAGCAAAGTGTAAGAGTTTAAGATTGAAAACAATTCATACAACCAAAATTAAAGTCCTTTGAAATGTGCAATCAGCAAAGAAGCAAAACGAGGCTAGTCAGTTTTCTTTGCTAAACTTAGCACAAGATAACACATGGTATTATATTTATATATTTTATATTTATTCTAGAAGAAAGCATACATTATTTTGGTCGGAATTAATTTCGGGAAAAAAACGAAGACGACTCGAATGGGTCTATAAGCTTGATTTATTGCTTAGAAATAAAGGATCTCGTGTTTTTCTTCAATACAGAGGAGACCTTATGATTTAGATATGTCCTCTTTCATTACATTTTCCTGTTATGTTACATTTTGTAGGATTTATGTATTAAACTTCTGTATTAAATTTATGTATTAAACTTCTGTGTTATTCAGATCCTTGTGAGGACAAACAATGTTTCTTCAATTCAACATGCACCAAAGGTCTTGACAATCAAGCTAGGTGCATATGTCCCCAGTGCGCAGGCCAAGCAGTGAATTATATATGTGCAAGCGATGGGAACAGTTATGCCAATCTCTGTCAGGCGCGAAGACATGCTTGCTTGAGAAAAATTAATCTCCAAGTTATTCATGGTGGAAAGTGTAGTAAGTACCTAATGAGAGTGTCGTTCTTTCGTAAAAGGATACGAAATAAGATCTGATTAGCAATCTTTCCAGACTTGCATTCATTTCGTTGAGTTCTATAGAACTATAACTACATAACCAATTAATTAACCAGCTATAAGTAACTAACCAATCTTATTGACTAACTAACTAACTAATAAATTAATAGTCTAGGTCATTCATTGGCTACCAACGAAATGAAAACATATTTTTTAAATCTTTTTTTAAATTGTGTTTTACCAGATCCATGCGAAGATAAACAATGTTTCTTCAATTCACTGTGTGTGGTTGACAGCGATTATAGAGCTTCATGTCAATGTCCAAAATGTCCTCGTACAACAAAACCTGTTTGTGGTAGTGATGGAAAAACATATGTCAATGAATGTGAACTACGAAAACAATCTTGTACGACGAAAACTAACATTAGGGTTCTGCATCGAGGCAAATGCGGTAAGTTTATTGGTTGTTATCAAACTATTTAACCAACTCGCTAACTCATTAATTTCCTACTCAGCTACCTACATTTCTGAGAAACTCGTTCTATTGTTTTACTCCTCCAGATCCATGTGAAGATTTAAGATGTTCCTTCAATTCACTGTGTGTGGTTGACAGTAATTATAGAGCTTCATGTCAATGTCCAAAATGTCCTCCTACAACAAAACATGTTTGTGGTAGTGATGGAAAAACATATGTCAATGAATGTGAACTACGAAAACAATCTTGTACGACGAAAACTAACATAAGAGTTCTTCATCAAGGCAAATGCAGTAAGTTTATTGGTTGTTATCAAACTATTTAGCAAACTCCCTAACTCATTAATTGGCCACTTATCTACCTATACATTTCTGAGAAACTCATTCTATTGTTTTACTCTTCCAGATCCATGTGAAGATTTAAGATGTTCCTTCAATTCACTGTGTGTGGTTGACAGTGATTATAGAGCTTCATGCCAATGTCCAAAATGTCCTCCTTCAACAAAACCTGTTTGTGGTAGTGATGGGAAAACATATGTCAATGAATGTGAACTAAGAAAACAATCCTGTACAACGAAAACTAACATAAGAGTTCTTCATCAAGGCAAATGCAGTAAGTTAATTGGTTGTTATCAAGCTATTTATCCAACTCATTAACTCATTAATTGACCACCCAACTACCTACCAATCTGCCTGAGAAACTCATTCTATTGTTTTATGTACTTTTCCAGATCCATGTGAAAACAAAAAATGTTCCTTCAATTCACTATGTGTGGTTGACAGTAATCATAAAGCTTCATGCCAATGTCCAAAATGTCCTCCCACAACAAAACCTGTTTGTGGTAGTGATGGACAAACATATGTGAATGAATGTGAACTGAGAAGACAATCTTGTACAACGAAAACAAACATAAGAGTTGATCATGATGGCAAATGCAGTAAGTTTGTTGAGTATGAAGTTAATTAGTCGAGTGAGCAACTTCCTAAATAATGTACTTTTGCTAACTTGTTGCTAACCACCAGTTGACCTACTTATCTACCAAACTTAACATTCGTGTTATGTTTTGTATTTCTTGTTACTATAGACCCATGTGAAGATGTAACATGTTCCATCAACTCATTTTGTGTGGTTGACAGTAATTATAAAGCTTCATGTCAATGTCCAAAATGTCCTTCTGCAACAAAACATGTTTGTGGTAGTGATGGGAAAACATATGTCAATGAATGTGAACTACGAAAACAGTCTTGCACAACGAAGACTAAATTAAGAGTTCTTCATGAAGGAAAATGCAGTAAGTTCATTAAAAAATGAGTTGATGAGACAAGCTGATGACATTGTTATCGACCTATGTACATACCTACTATATCTCCCTACCTAACGAACTAATTCGTAATTATCATATTTCTTTAACTTGTCTAGATCCATGTGAAGATGTTAGATGTTCCTTCAATTCACTGTGTGTGGTTGACAGTAATTATAGAGCTTCATGTCAATGTCCAAAATGTCCTCCTGCAACAAAACATGTTTGTGGTAGTGATGGAAAAACATACGTCAATGAATGTGAATTGAGAAAACAATCTTGTACAACGAAAACCAACATAAGAGTTCTTCATCAAGGCGAATGCAGTAAGTTTATTGAGTCTCAACTATCAAGTTAATTGATAAACTCAGCAAATAGCTAATGATTTAGTGATTTACTATTCCTACCTTCCTACCAAACTACCTTACCTAATTACCTACCCAACAAAATCATTAATTCTATTTTGTTCATTTTGTTTACCCTAGATCCGTGTGAAGATAAAATATGTTCCTTCAATTCACTGTGTGTGGTTGACAGCGATTATAGAGCTTCATGTCAATGTCCAAAATGTCCTCCTACGACAAAACGTGTTTGTGGTAGTGATGGAAAAACATATGTTAATGAATGTGAACTGAGAAAACAATCTTGTACAACGAAAACTAACATAAGAGTTCTTCATCAAGGCAAATGCAGTAAGTTTATTGAGTGTCAAGTTAATTTATAAAGTCACCAAACAGCTAATGATTTAGTATTGCTAACTTCCTACCCAACAAAATCATTCCTAATTCTGTTTTATTTATATTGTTTACCCTAGATCCGTGTGAAGATAAAATATGTTCCTTCAATTCGCTGTGTGTGGTTGACAGTAATTATAGAGCTTCATGTCAATGTCCAAAATGTCTCTCTACGACAAAACATGTTTGTGGTAGTGATGGAAAAACATATGTCAATGAATGTGAACTGAGAAAACAGTCTTGTACAACGGAAACTGACATAAGAGTTCTTCACGAAGGAAAATGCAGTAAGTTCATTAAAAATTGAGTTAATGAGACAACTAAAAGCTCATCACATTGTTACCCACCTATCGACCTACTATATCTCCCTACCTAACGAACTTATTCGTAATTATCATATTTCTTTAACTTGTCCAGATCCATGTGAAGATGTTAGATGTTCCTTCAATTCACTGTGTGTGGTTGACAGTAATTATAGAGCTTCATGTCAATGTCCAAAATGTCCTCCTACAACAAAACCTGTCTGTGGTAGTGATGGGAAAACATATGTCAATGAATGTGAACTGAGAAAACAGTCTTGTACAACGAAAACTAACATAAGAGTTCTTCACGAAGGAAAATGCAGTAAGTTCATTAAAAAATGAATTAATGAGACAACTAACTAACAAGCTCATCACATTGTTACCCACCTATCGACCTATGTACGTACCTACTATAGCTACCTACCTAACCAACTTTTTCGTAATTATCATATTTCTTTAACTTGTCTAGATCCATGTGAAGATGTTAGATGTTCCTTCAATTCACTGTGTGTGGTTGACAGTAATTATAGAGCTTCATGTCAATGTCCAAAATGTCCTCCTACAACAAAACATGTCTGTGGTAGTGATGGGAAAACATATGTCAATGAATGTGAACTGAGAAAACAGTCTTGTACAACGAAAACTAACATAAGAGTTCTTCACGAAGGAAAATGCAGTAAGTTCATTAAAAAATGAATTAATGAGACAACTAACTAACAAGCTCATCACATTGTTACCCACCTATCGACCTATGTACGTACCTACTATAGCTACCTACCTAACCAACTTTTTCATAATTATCATATTTCTTTAACTTGTCTAGATCCATGTGAAGATGTTAGATGTTCCTTCAATTCACTGTGTGTGGTTGACAGTGATTATAGAGCTTCATGTCAATGTCCAAAATGCCCTCCTACAACAAAACGTGTTTGTGGTAGTGATGGGAAAACATATGTCAATGAATGCGAACTGAGAAAACAATCTTGTACAACGAAAACTAACATAAGAGTTCTTCATGATGGCAAATGCAGTAAGTCTATTGAGTGTCAAGTTAATTTATAAACTCACCAAATAGCTAATGATTTAGTATGGCTAACTTCCTACTCAACAAAATCATTCCTAGTTTTGTTTTATTTATATTGTTTACCCTAGATCCGTGTGAAGAGAAAATATGTTCCTTCAATTCATTGTGTGTGGTTGACAGTAATTATAGAGCTTCATGTCAATGTCCAAAATGCCCTCGTACAACAAAACGTGTTTGTGGTAGTGATGGAAAAACATATGTCAATGAATGTGAGCTAAGAAAACAATCTTGTACAACGAAAACTAACATAAGAGTTCTTCATCAAGGCAAATGCAGTAAGTTCATTAAATATTGAGTTGATAAGACAACCAACAAACAAACAAACAAGCAAGCTCATTAGATTGTTAACGACCCATCTACGTATGTACGTACGTGTCAACCTACCTTACCTACTTACCTAACGAACTCATTTTTAATAATATCATTTTCGTTTAACTTGTCTAGATCCATGTGAAAATAAAACATGTTCGGTTAATTCACTGTGTGTGGTTGACAGCGATTATAGAGCTTCATGTCAATGTCCAAAATGTCCTCTCACAACAAAACGTGTTTGTGGTAGTGATGGAAAAACATATGCCAATGAATGTGAACTGAAAAAACAATCTTGTAGAACGAAAACCAACATAAGAGTTCTTCATCAAGGAAAATGCAGTAAGTTTATTGAGTGTCAAGTTAATTTATAAACTCACCAAATACCTAATGATTTAGTATTGCTAACTTCCTACCCAATATAATCATTCCTAGTTTTGTTTTATTTATATTGTTTACCCTAGATCCGTGTGAAGAGAAAATATGTTCCTTCAATTCACTGTGTGTGGTTGACAGTGATTATAGAGCTTCATGTCAATGTCCAAAATGCCCTCGTACAACAAAACGTGTTTGTGGTAGTGATGGAAAAACATATGTCAATGAATGTGAATTGAGAAAACAATCTTGTACAACGAAAACTAACATAAGAGTTCTTCATCAAGGCAAATGCAGTAAGTTCATTAAATATTGATTTGATAAGACAACCGACTAACAAGCTCATTAGATTGTTAACGACCCATCTACGTATGTACGTACGTATCAACCTACCTATCTAACTACCTACCTAACTACCTAGGTACCTACCTACTTACCTAACGAACTCATTATTAATAATCATATTCGTTTAACTTCTCTAGATCCATGTGAAAATAAAAAATGTTTCTTCAATTCACTGTGTGTGGTTGACAGCGATTATAGAGCTTCATGTCAATGTCCAAAATGTCCTCCTGCAACAAAACCTGTTTGTGGTAGTGATGGAAAAACATATGTCAATGAATGTGAACTAAGAAAACAATCTTGTACAACGAAAACTAACATAAGAGTTCTTCATCAAGGCAAATGCAGTAAGTTTGTTGAATGTCAACTTAATTGATAAACTCACCAAATAGCTAATGATTTAGTATTGCTAACAGTCAGTCTTAAATCTGTTTTATTTATATTGTTTACTCTAGATCCGTGTGAAGATAAAATATGTTCCTTCAATTCACAGTGTGTGGTTAACAGTAATTATAAAGCTTCGTGTCAATGTCCAAAATGTCCTCCCACAACAAAACCTGTTTGTGGTAGTGATGGAAAAACATATGTCAATGAATGTGAACTACGAAAACAATCTTGTACAACGAGAACTAACATAAGAGTTCTTCATGAAGGCAAATGTAGTAAGTACCTTGACTGTGATCTAATTAATTTGGTACATACCAACCTATTTACTATCCAACCTGCAGTATGTACCCTCCTACTTACCTACCTACCTACCTCACAAAATGATTCTTAATTTTCTATTTTCCTTGACTCCCCTAGATCCATGCGAAGATAAAAAATGTTCCTTCAATTCACTGTGTGTGGTTGGAAGCAATTATAAAGCTTCATGTCAATGTCCAAAATGTCCTCCTACAATAAAACGTGTTTGTGGTAGTGATGGAAGAACATATGTCAATGAATGTGAACTGAGAAAACAATCTTGTACAACGAAAACTAACATAAGAGTTCTTCATCAAGGCAAATGCAGTAAGTCTGTTGAATGTCATGTTAATTAGTCAAGAGTCCAACTGGTTTAAATTAGCTACCCATTCTCTTACCCATCTGCCTTGTTACCTGTACCAACATACCTACGTAACTAATTACCATTTACCACTTGTTGACTCATTTGTAACTTGTTTTATTTTTTCTGTACTTTAACAGATTCATGCGAAGATAAAAAATGTTTGTTTAATTCACTGTGTGTGGTTGACAGTAATTATAGGGCTTCATGTCAATGTCCAAAATGCCCTCCTACAACAAAACATGTTTGTGGTAGTGATGGAAAAACATATGTCAATGAATGTGAATTAAGAAAGCAATCTTGTACAACCAAAACCAATATTAAAATTCTCCATGATGGCAAATGCGGTAAGTTGTCCTGGCTGTGTTTCTTTGGGTCATATAGTTCTTTTGGCTTCTCTATAATGTTTGTTATCAGATTTAACATTCTTGGTTCATACTTTCTTCATTCATTTGTTCGTTCATTCGTTCATTCATTCGTTCGTTCATTCATTCATTCATTCTTTATTTATTTATTTTTTCCCTTCCTTAATTCCACTCTTCCTTCTTCAATTCCTTTCTTCCTTCCGCACTTAATTCGTTTCTTCCTTCGATTTTTTAATTCTTGTTTCCTTTCGTCCTTTTTTCTTCCCTTTTTCCTTTCCTTCTTCTGTTGCTAACGCTTCCAGTTTTCGTCATCTTTTTGATAACCATCTATCATTAATTTTTCGCAGATCCATGTAAAGATAAGAAATGTTTCTACAACTCGACATGCATCAAAGGCAATGACAACAAAGGATATTGTGTATGTCCCGAATGTCAAGATGAACCTGTGGAATATATTTGTGCCAACGATGAAAAGACTTATCCCAATGAATGTACAGCAAGAAAGACAGCCTGTATGACAAAATCTTTGTTGAAAACTGTTCACAAAGGAAAGTGTGGTAAGATTTGTTGATTTTTCTATTACTTTTTATTTCTGTAGTTCTTTACTAGCGTCTTATTTTAAGTTGATAGTGGTCCGTAGAAAATTCTTTCTTAACCTGATTACAACAAAGATTGTGCTTGCTGGTTTTAATAATATTTTTATTAATAACTTTGTTATTAATAATATTCTTACTTTTATATGATACTTAATATTTTATAGATCCATGTGAAGATAAAAATTGTTCCTTCAACTCACTGTGTGTGGTTAACAGCAATTATAAAGCTTCATGTCGATGTCCAAAATGTCCTCCTACAAGAAAACCTGTTTGTGGTAGTGATGGACAAACATATGTTAATGAATGTGAGCTAAGAAAACAATCTTGTACAACGAAAACCAACATAAGAGTTCTTCATGAAGGCAAATGCAGTAAGTTCATTAAATAATGAATTAATGAGAGAAGTAACTAACAAATTGTTAACGACCTATCTACGTATGTATAAGTACCTATTAAACTAATCATTAATAATATTTCTTTAACTTGTCTAGGTCCATGTGAAGATAAAATATGTTCCTTCAATTCACTGTGTGTGGTTAACAATAATTATAAAGCTTCATGTCAATGTCCAAAATGTCCTCCTACAACAAAACCTGTTTGCGGTAGTGATGGCGAAACATATGTCAATGAATGTGAACTACGAAAACAATCTTGCACAATGAAAACAAACATTATAATTTTTCATCAAGGCAAATGTGGTAAGTTATCCTCCTAGCATTTTCTTGGTGTTTTGCCCTCTCTACAATCTTTGTTTTAGTATTTTTACTCCCTACTGCCGTCTTTCTAGACCTTGAGCAGTCCCTCGGGAGAAAGGAGGGACTGCCGACAACACTGCGTAACGCCCTCCTGAGGCCTCCCATTAAATTTTTAAGTGGGACGCACTTAAAAAGTCCAAAAAATTTTCCCCATCCATGTCTACTAAAAAAAGGGGTCCAAATTTTACAATTTCACCAATTCCTGCTTTTGGGGGCCACCCGTTGTTCTGGCCCTCTATCATTGAGGCTTGGGCCAATTTTCCCAATGCACAAGTTTTATGGTCATTTTTGCCGCGGGCCCCGTCTCTGGACACCCGCCAGTTACATCACTGCATTTATGCAATTACCCAACCTTTTACCCTCTCAAAATTTTGCTTACGCAACCCTTTTTCCTTCAGCTTCCCCCACCCATAAGTAATGACCACGGTTCCTTACATGTTTAAAAATCAACACCCGGAAAAATGAAAACAGGAAGTCTAAATAGAATTGTCCAATATGCTTATTTTTACATATCAATCAAACCAAACTATCAATGTCCTATATACATAATCTCTGTAGACAGTTTGTGTCATGCATGTCATTTGGACGTACATTTTGTTACCCTGTGCAGAATATTTTAAATTATTCTGTTCAACTTTTTAATTATTCAACTTTATTTTATTCCGTTATTACATCCAATTTAATGAAATACAGTATATGAATATCAATTCGAATCAAGTATCAGTTCTCAATTCTTTAACACAACAAAAGATAACACCCAACCCCTAAAATATATATTAAAACTAACTGAAACAATATCTCTGCCCTGGCTAAAAGCCTTGTCAATAAAATTTATAGACAAGAAACCTAATTTCCCCTCTATACATTCTACCTTTTATATTTTAGATATTAAACACCAGGAAATAATCTCTGCCTAAAACAGTAGGCATAAGAAATATAAACAACTGGTCTGCTACAAATGCCAATGTATATTTCATATAAAACTAAACTGGAATCTGAATCAGTGCCGTAGCCAGAACGATATTCAAGTGTGAACACGAATATACAGAATATTTTGCCCCCCACTATTCTGGCTACGGCACATTCTGAATGTCCTCTATATATGCATAAACTTGCTGCATACTAAAAGCCGGCAACAATATTCAGATTGAGTCATGGGAGACCATGTGATCTTCAAGATCTTTGGGGACATCAAACACAACATCGCAAACACAACAAACATATCCAACACCAGTTGGTTCTTTTGATTCAAGTTCTTGACATAAACCACATTGATAGTTTCCATCACTGCCATGATGTCTTGCTATATGTTGAACCAATTTGATAAAATTAGAAAATTTCTTGTTACATTTGTTACAAGTGTACTTTCCAGTGTTTTTATCCTGAACAAAATGTTCTTGCACATTTTGTGGTTCAATAATCTCCATGTGGCAACTATTGCAAAACAAATACTCCTTTTTGTGCCAATTAAGACCTCCTATTTGTATAAATCTTTTCTTGCAAACATCACATTCATAAGGCTTGTCTCCAGTGTGTGTTCTTTTATGTGTAGTTAGACTACTTGATTGGCTAAATCTCTTCTTGCAAACATCACATTCATAAGGTTTGTCTCGAGTGTGTGTTCTTTTATGTGTAACTAAATAACTTGATTGTCTAAATTTCTTCTTGCAAACATCACATTCATAAGGCTTGTCTCCAGTGTGTGTTCTTTTATGTTTAGTTAGAGTACCTGAATGGCTAAATCTCTTCTTACAAACATCACATTCATAAGGTTTGTCTCGAGTGTGTGTTCTTTTATGTATAGTTCGACTACCTGATTGGCTAAATCTCTTCTTACAAACATCACATTCATAAGGTTTGTCTTGAGTGTGTGTTCTTTTATGTGTAACTAAATTACTTGAATCTCTAAATTTCTTCTTACAAACATCACATTCATAAGGCTTGTCTCCAGTGTGTGTTCTTTTATGTGCAGCTAAATGACCTGTTCGTTCAAATCTCTTCTTACAAATGTCACATTCATAAGGTTTGTCTCGAGTGTGTTTTCTTTTATGTGTAACTAAATTACTTGATTTTCTAAATTTCTTCTTACAAACATCACATTCATATAAAGGCTTGTCTCCAGTGTGTGTTCTTTTATGTACAGCTAAATGACCTGTTCGTCCAAATCTCTTCTTACAAATGTCACATTCATAAGGTTTATCTTCAGAGTGTGTAGTCTTGTGCCTCGCTAAAATGCTTGATTGTGTAAATCTCGTTTTACAAATGTCACATTCATATGGCGTCTCGCTAGTGTGCGTTCTTTTATGTTGCACCAAACGTCTCGATTGTCTAAATCTTTTCTTGGACATATCGCATTCATAAGGATTGTCTCCAGTGTGCGCTCTTTCTTGACTTGTTGAGCAGCCTCGCTTGCCTGATGTTAAAAATCCACAATCATGATCCGCCATGATTAGCAATGTTTCTATCGATGACGCAAATAATCTGGTGACTTCAGATGATCAGATCTAGAATCCTTCAAATGATTTTTGCTTCTCTCTCCACAATAACGTCTGGCCTTGTATCTTCTTATTAAAACAATATTAAACTATAAATTTGGAGAAACGTTTGCGTCGTAACGTCGTTTTTAAAATTGGAATGTTTTGTGCAAATATTCAGCAATTGTGCGCTATATTGCGCTAGATGATACCACAGAAAGGGTTAGGTTAAAATGCGGAAGTGGATGCGGAACCGAACGGATGCGGAACGGTACGGATGGGACGGGTTAAATGCGGAACGGAACGGATGGGGTTAAAATGCGGAACAGAACGGATATGAGGTTAAAATGTGGAACGGAACGGATATGGGGTTAAAATGCAGAACGGAACGAATATGAGTTTAAAACTTAATTTAAAACCCATATCCGTTCCGCATTTTAACCCCATCCGTTCCGCATTTTAACCCCATCCGTTCCGTTCCGCATTTTAACCCCATCCGTTCCGTTCCGCTTCCACATTTTAACCTAACCCACCACAGAAATGACAAGCGGCTGAAACAATCCAGCGTGCGGGCAATCTCGTTCCCAGAGTATATCAATCTCGTTCCCAGAGTATGCCTGTCTGCGGGTTATGTAGTGGCATGACCCGCGAACAGGCATACTCTGGGAACGAAATTGAGAGTATGCATAACCTGCGAACAGGTATACTCTGGGAACGAGATTGGCGTGCGGGCGAAACTGCCCCAACGTGTTTTTCTTGTAATTTCTTAGAAAACGGACTAATTGTAAGCAAAATTAAATATCAAAAAATTCTGAAATATTTTTTTAGATCTAGGGAACATTCATAAAGATTCATTATTTATGACCGGGGTGGGTCTACTATTAGATCAGTAGGGTGGGCTGGCGAAAAGGGGGTGGGTCATGAGGTATTTTTGACCGAAAAGGGGGGGTACCTAAAAATATTGGTTTAAAAGGGCGGTTATTTTATTAGTGTTGGGAAAAATTTGACATGTAACGATTATTGCTACAGCCGGGAGCGAGCAAGGCAGCAAATTTTATTCATGTAGCTGGCAAAATTCTCAATTTTGATCAACAGATAGACCCAAAATGCAATGCGCAAATACCCAAAATGCAATGCGCGCTGCTGATATGAAAAACAATCGATTGCAGTTCATATTTTGTTAAAGTTGAATGGTTAATGATGCAATTAGGTTTTATAACTGTTTAATAAAAACCAACATTGTAAATCAGTTTATAATAGTTAATATATACTACATACGTGTGCTATATACAGTAGAAAATATATTTTGTAGTGTTGAAAATACAGTGAAACTGACTTCTAACTTTTAAGTCAGAATTTTTTGTCAAAATTCTTTTGCCTAGTTTGAATTAGCAGAGTTAACAGATTAAACAGGCATCTTGTTGAAATTAAGCACAAGTAAATGTAGATCTGATGCCTGGTCATGTGTCTATGTATACATCGGCCTGACAGCTTTTGATATTTTGTAGTAGTTTTGATATGAACAAATTAATTGGTGGTGGTGGTGGTGGTGGTGGTGGTGTGTGTGGGGCGATTATTATATTTTTAGAATTCATGTGAAGGGGGTCATTGAAATTTTTGTGATGCATGGGGGGACAGGACATTTTGTTTAGTTGTTAATTGAATTTTTCCAGCCCACCCCCGGTCATAAATAATGAATGGTCCCCTAGAATATGCGCATGTAGCGTACTTGTGGTTAGTCTGATGCCCTTATTATTGCCCCACCGAGTCTCCAACCTCAGTCCCTGGCTATGTCCAGGTATCCTGCACTTGGCTGGACACATCGGTTGATCTGCAATTTTTATAAAAAAAAGGTGCATGCAGCGAACATATGGTGATTGACAACCTCGCAAATTAATCCAATGATTGCGACATGGTGTACGATAGCAGACTGATTGCAGTCGACCTCCCTGGAGCGGCGGAGAAACAGTTTGCGATCAATCAACACTAATGCTGTACAGTTACATAAGCGGTATTTCAAGTCCAAGATGGCGGACGCAGAGCAACTATGAATTATTATACACAACAATGTAATTTAATAAATTTAACAGCCAATTTAATAAATTATAGCAATATCAATCTGAATCAAGTATCAGTTCTCAATTGTTCAACACAACAAACACAACACCCAACTGATTGTTCCAAATTTGATAATTATCCATACCCCTAAAATAAATATTAAAACTAACTACAACATAACCGACTATAACCTATTATATCCAGCCACCGTAACTTGGGTATTACAGCGTGGGGGTGGGGGAGGTTGAGCTTAATTGTTTTGCCCGACCAAAAGGGCGTGGCGGAAGTCGTGCCCGACGTACATTTCAGGTGCTAATTAATATTTATTTGACCAAAATTTGTTGGCAAGCGGAGGGTCATATCTTTTTCACTAACTTACCAGAATTTGTACAAGGTTTCAGTAATGCTTTCGTTAATTTATCAATTTAAATTATGTAAAACTTTCCACTGAATTACGTTTATTGCCTGACGAATGTGTCGTTAAAATTGCCCGACAAAACTGCAATATTACCCCCCACAGGTTACGACCCCCCCTGATTATGTACTATTTAAAACACGAGTAGGAGTGTTTTATCAGATATAAAACGCGAGGCGGGCCACCTGTTGCAAATTTGCTGACGTACTAGCAAAATTACTTGCCCAATGTACTAGCAAAAATTTTATGGTCATTTTTCTAGTTACGCCACTGTGCCGGCAACACATCAAGAAACGAAGTACGCGTTGCCCACACAACGCAAAATTCCCATTGGTCGAAATCGATGCGCTTGTCAATCAAATCTGATATGTAGTAATTATAAACTAATTTCCAGATGGAATGTTGATTTTATAAATAAACCTGACATTAACGGTTCCTATTGGATAGATTTAATTGGATATAAGTAATGTGTATGCAAAAGCGGAGCCAACTTGACAAGAACGAAATTTAAAAGTGGGCGTATTTCGTTTCTTGATATGTTGTCAGCAGTCCCTCCATTTCACTTACACGCCCAGGAAGGTAAACCCGTGGAAAGGAGGGACCGCTCGCAGTCTACCATCTTTCCTTCCTGCCTTCTTTTTTCATTTCTGTATTCCCTCCTTTAATCTTCTTGCATTTCTTTTAACGTACTTCCGTCCATTTCTTTCTTTATTTTGATCTTTTTATTATTGTTTTCTTCGTTCTTTACAATTGATAACAATTTTTCATCAATACTTTCCAGATCCTTGTAAAGACAAGAAATGTTTCTACAACTCAACATGTGTCAAAGGCAACGACAACAAAGGATATTGTATATGTCCTCAATGTTCAGATAAACCTGTAGAATATATTTGTGCCAGTGATGGAAAGACTTATCCAAATGAATGCCAGGCAAAAAGGACAGCTTGTATGACAAAACTGTTACTAAAAACTGTTCACAAAGGAACGTGTGGTAAGATATTTTTATCTTTACAATTTCCTTCATTGATTAGCGTTTTTATATATTTTTCTTTTACTCTTTTCTCTTTAAAGTACTAATCTTTTTCTCTTTTTCACAGATCCATGCGAAGATATACAATGTTTCTTCAATTCAGTGTGTGTAGTTAATAGTAATTATAAAGCTTCATGTAAATGTCCAAAATGTCTTCCTACAACAAAACCTGTTTGTGGTAGTAATGGAAAAACATATGTTAATGAATGTGAGCTAAGAAAACAATCTTGTACGACGAAAACCAACATAAGAGTTCTTCATCAAGGCAAATGTGGTACGTTCCTGTTAGCACAGGATATTCTATACTCAACCAACAACATGTTAATTTTAAATATCTACAGCATGTAATTGCAAAATAAACTTTCGTTGTAGATCCTTGCAAAGACATAAAATGCAAACATTATGGTTTATGTAAAGCTAATCCTCAGACCTCAAAAGGATACGAGTGTGCTTGTCGTGAATGTACGACCGTAGTATCTCCAGTGTGTGGCAATGATGAGAAGACGTATAAGAGCGAATGTTTCTTAAGAAGAACATCTTGTCGAAAAAATAAATATGTATATGTAACCCACAAAGGACCTTGTGGTAGGTGGAAATTGACGATTTTTCACGATAGAATTATTTCATTTTCTTCTTCATTAGTTCATTCTCATCCGTCTTTCATTTCTTCCATCCTTCTTTCTCTCTATTTTGTCCTCCATTCCCATTTTTCACTTTTCATGCCGTGTTTCTATTTTGTATCTCTCCTTTGTTTTCTCCTCTTTCTTTTGTTCCTTTCTGTTCGCTGTCTTCTTTCCTTTCCTACCACCTTTTCCCGTCCTCCTATTTCTCTTCCCTCTATTTCTCTTCCATTCACCTTTCCTTCTATTTCTCTTCCATTCACCTTTCCTTCTTCTTTGTCTCCCTTTTGTCTCTTTCAATCATTCCTTTTTTTCTTCAGGATTTTCTCCATTATTTCTTTCTTTTCTTCCTCACTGTGAGACAATGCATCTATATGTAACAAAGGAAGCTATACTGAATCTTCTTATCATATATTTCAGACCCATGCAAGACAAAGAAATGTTATCACAATGCGACATGTGTGATTGGTAAAGATTACAAAGCCTACTGTCAATGTCCTGAATGCTCTGGGAAAAAAGGCAATCCTGTGTGCGGCAGTGATGGTAAAACATACCCCAGTGAATGTGAAGTGAGGAGATTCTCGTGCATGACTGCATCACCTATTACTGTTGTCAAGCAGAGCAAATGTGGTAAGTCACTAGCTGTTCTAAAACACTTTAATATAGGAATGGTCGGTGCTAGTGTAGGTAGCGACGATAATAAGACTTCCCAACGAAGGGCCTTTGCTCAAAATAAAAAATCTGCTTATACGTTTTAGGTTGTTGTATCTCTTAATCCGCAGCTGTCTAGACATTACGGCTAGTATCCTGTGCCGTCGCGCGGAATTCACTTCGGGGGGTTTGGTTAAATCTACCTGAAAATATCAAAATTTTACCTTAAAAATGTTTTTGATTAAAATTTTTTTTGGCGACCTGTACCATTTTAGGGGTAAATTTTTCCGGACATATCAAAATTTTTCGAAACAAACAAAAAAATTTTCCGCACATATCAAAATTTTTCGAAACATACAAAAAATTTTTCCAGACATAACATAAAATTTTTTGGAGATACCACAATTTTTTTCTAAAATTCCGAAAATTTTTAGAATATCCTAAATTTTGGTAAAAATACCTGAATATTTTCCAAATTCATAGTTATTTTTGTAAATTGACTTTCTCTTGTCCTAGGAATTACCTGAATTTGCGTTAATTTACCCGAATTTCTCATGCAAAACTACCTGAATTTACCTGAAAATCTACCTAAAATCTACCTGAAATTTATCATGAGCAATTATCAGGGTGGTGTTACACCCTATATATATATATATATATATATTCACTCTCCTCCTTCAAAACATTACTTCCACAAGACGTACCTCCAACTTACTGCCACTGCTTAACTCCTGACTTACCTAGTTCACACTCATTGATCACGACTGAATAATATCTTCTATATCAATGTACTTTCTCTCCTCTCTCTTAATCTACTGTATATCTTGCTTTCCTTCCACATCTTTTTTCTATTCTATATTAATGTGTTGTTTTGTCTGTACTGTCCTGACTGATTAATGGTGAGCACCATATGGGCATGGGACCTAGTCTCGTTTGTGTTTCTCCATCTTTGGCATGTTTTACATAATTATGGTTATTCTTGTGTTAGTATGAGCAAGTATGTACAATAACGTGTGGTTATTTGCATGCGTGCCAAATAAAGCTGTTAAACTAAACTAAACTATACAGAGATCATATTAAGACGGGATAAGCTAATGGAATCATTTTTATTAAATCTGGGGCCGTTTGTATAAAACTCTTAACTACCTTTTAAACGCTATTTTGTAGTTAAATAGTAATAGCTATTGGTTTACTTTCTCACTAACTAAATACAACATTGGTGAAATATTATCTATGCGGATAGGAAAGAGAGTAGATTGAGAACTTTCACTTTCCATCCAAGGATGTTTCCATTGACAAGTAAAATAGTCTGGCATTAAACAGAGTCAAGACCATGCATTCATATGAAAATAAGTTGACGTTGCAAACTTTTACTAACACTTTTCCATCCGAAGACTTTCCCATTGACATGTAACGAACTACTTAATTAAATCAGTATCCTTCAAATAGTCTCGACGCGTACAGGGAAGAGAAACCTGTGTTTAAAAACCTAAAAAGTTCAAAATGACTCGTGTACAAATGTGCTAAGAGCCAATTATCAATACATTGTATAGATGAATGTAACTGCCCACCATATGCTGAATGCCAGAGAGACGAGAATTCCACGAAAGGTTTCAAATGTGTCTGTCCTCCATCGAGTTCAGAAAACCACAGTACAGTTTGTGGTAGTGATGGTAGAACTTATATTAACACACAAGTTTTGCAGAGAGAATCTTGTTTGTTTGAAGCACAGATTACTGTTCTCTATTCAGGAACCTGCAGTGAGTATTGCCAATATATTTCTTTATCTTTAATTGAAGGTTAACAGACAATAAATATGGTTATTCTCGTCTTTTAGTTTGTTGCAACTGTATTAAAGAAAGAGATATTATTTAATTTTCTTGTCCTAGGGCCGGTTGTTCAAAGCTGGATTAACGCTCACTCTTTCAGAATATTAACTTTAACCCTTTTTCAGTTCCATGTCGGGGTCGAGAATGTTCCCACCATGCAGAATGTATAGCTCGAGGTAATCAAGGTATATGTCAGTGTCCTACGAAATGTCCACACAACCTTAAACCTCGCACAATTTGTGCCAGTGATGGAAACACTTATAACAATGACTGTGAACTCAAGAAAGCTTCATGTCAACAACAGAAACCACTTCAAATTAAACACAAAGGACCTTGTAGTAAGTATTGCTTCGTTGAAGTTTAATGTTCTAATGTTTCTCTATACGATTTTTTCCCTACCTTTTCTCTTTTTCCTCACTCCTTTTTGCTTCCTTTCTCTCTTCCTTTTTGCTTCCTTTCTCTCTTCCTTTTTTCATTCATTCTTTTTATTCTTTTTTCTTTGTTCCTTCATGCTACTAACTTTCCATAATCTCGCGAAATTAATCTTCATCATTTCAGCGGAATGTAAATGTCCACCATACGCTCAATGTCAACGCGATGAAAACAATTTCAAGAAATATAGATGCGTCTGCCCGCCAACCAGCACAGCAGATCAGAGAACAGTTTGTGGTAGCAATGGAAGAACGTATATTAACAGACAAGTTTTGGAAAGAGAATCTTGTTTGTTTGAAGTGGAGATTACTGCTCTTTACTCAGGAACTTGCAGTGAGTATTAGCAATATCTTCTTTATTTATTAAGCGAACTATTCTCGGTTCCAATGGCAGCAGTGCTTCAGAAGTACTGGCAGTCATAAGTGCAAGAGAATTGAACTACACAGCTCGTTTCTATTTATTTGCACAAATAAAAGGACACTAGTTTACTCATGCAACGAAAAGAACTATCATTATTTTATCACTATGCCAATTTGCCATCATCTGCTGCACAATAGTGCTCAGTGAAACACTCCATGTTTCAGTACTTTCATTTATTTTTCAGTTCCATGTCGAGGTCGCGAATGTTCTCACCATGCTGAATGTATTGCTCGAGGTAATCAAGGTATATGTCAATGTCCTACGAAATGTCCAGACAATGTTAAACCTCGACAAATTTGTGCCAGTGATGGAAACACTTATGACAATGAATGTGAACTCAAGAACGCTTCATGTCAACAACAGAAACCGCTTCCAATTAAACACGAAGGACCTTGCAGTAAGTATTGCTTCTTTGATGTTTAATGTTCTAATTTTTCTTTTATGATTTTATTTTCCCTATCCTTCTTTCTTCCCTCTGTTTCTTCTTGCCTTCTTTATCCCATCCCTTTTCCATCCATTCATTCTTTCTTTCGTTGTTCTTTCTTTCATTCCAACCTTCCGTTCCTCCCTTAATTCGTTCTGCCTTTCTTCCTCTTTTTCCTGTTTTCCTCCCTTTCTTTTTCCTTTAAATATTTTTATCCCTTCTTTCATTTCTTCCATTTATCTTTTCACCCTTCCTTTCTTTCTTTCTTACTACCTCCCTTCTCCTTTTCTTCCTTCCTTCTTTCGTTCCTGTTTGTTAAAACCGATTTAAACCGTATTTCCTTTACGCTATCAAATCTCCATAATCTCACAAAATTAATCTTCAACATTTCAGCGGAATGTAACTGTCCACCATACGCTCAATGTCAACGCGATAAAAACAATTTCAAGAAATATAAATGTGTCTGCCCGCCATCCAGCACAACAGATCAGAGTACAGTTTGTGGTAGCAATGGAAGAACATATATTAACAGACATGTTTTGGAGAGAGAATCTTGTTTGTTTGAAGTGGAGATTACTGCTCTTTACTCAGGAACTTGCAGTGAGTATTGGCAATATCTTCTTTATTTATTAAGCGTACTATTCTCGGTTCCAATGGCAGCAGTGCTTCAGAAGTACTGGCAGTCATAAGTGCAAGAAAATTGAACTACACAGCTCGTTTCTATTTATTTGCACAAATAAAAGGACACTAGTTTACTCATGCAACGAAAAGAACTATCATTATTTTATCACTATGCCAATTTGCCATCATCTGCTGCACAATAGTGCTCAGTGAAACACTTCATGTTTCAGTACTTTCATTTATTTTTCAGTTCCATGTCGAGGTCGCGAATGTTCGCATCATGCAGAATGTATAGCTCGAGGTAATCAAGGTATATGTCAATGTCCTACAAAATGTCCAGACAATGTTAAACCTCGCACAATTTGTGCCAGTGATGGAAACATTTATGACAATGACTGTGAACTCAAGAACGCTTCATGTCAACAACAGAAACCGCTTGAAATTAAACACGAAGGACCTTGCAGTAAGTATTGCTTCTTTGATGTTTAATGTTCTAATGTCTTTCTTTATGATTTCATTTTCCCTATCCTTCTTTCTTTCGTTCTCTTTTTGCCTCCTTTGTCCCTTCCCTTTTTTATTCATTCCTTCTTTCGTTTGTTCATACTTTCCTACCCTTCATCCTTTAATTCTTTTTTTATTTATTCTTTCTTTCTGTTATTCCATCCTTCTGTTTCTTCCTTCATTCTTTCTGCCTTTCTTCCTCTCTTTCATGTCATCCTCCCTTTCTTCTTACTTTAACTCTTTTTTATCCCTTCTTATATTTCTTCCATTCATCTATTCATTCTTCCATTCTTACCTCTTTTCTTCCTTCCTTCCATCCTTCATTCTTTCCTGTTAGTTAAAACCGTATTTTCTTTATGCTATCAACTCTCCATAATCTCACGAAACTAATCTTTGCCATTTCAGCGGAATGTAAATGTCCACCATACGCTCAATGTCGACGCGATGAAAACAATTTCAAGAAATATAAATGTGTCTGCCCTCCGTCCAGCTCAGCAGATCAGAGTAAAGTTTGTGGTAGCAATGGAAGAACTTATATCAACAGACAAGTTTTGGAAAGAGAATCTTGTGTTACTGATATAAAAATAACTTCTTTATATGCTGGTGTTTGTAGTAAGTTTTTACCAACATTATTGTTAGTTTTTAGCCCATGGCATTTATTGGACAATTAAGTGCTAATAGCGCTATCCAGTATAAATACAATAAGCTTGAGTGATATAGAACTGATAGATTTATCCAAGGTAAAGTTGAGAAAAAATTTGGAAAGAGAAAAACATTGCACTACTCAATCAATAAATTAGATTTATCAATTAACTAAACACACTTGTAAGTAACCATTTAATTGTTATATTTTAGTTCCATGTCGAGGTCGAGAATGTTCTCACCATGCAGAATGTATAGCTCGAGGTAATCAAGGTATATGTCAATGTCCTAAGAAATGTCCAGACAATATTAAACCTCGAACAGTTTGTGCCAGTGATGGAAATACTTATGACAATGACTGTGAACTCAAGAAAGCTTCATGCCAACAACAGAAACCGCTTCAAATTAAGCACGAAGGACCTTGCAGTACGTATTGCTTCGTTGATGTTTAATGTTCTGATGTCTTTCTTTGTTATTTCATTTTTCCTATCCTTTTTTTCTTCCTCCATTATGTGTCCCTTTTTCATTTATTTCTTCTTTCCTTTGTTCGTTTGTTTGTTCGTTCGCTCATGCTTTCCTACCCTCCATCCTTTATTCTTTTTCTTTGTTCCGTCTTTCTTTTATTCCATCCTTCCGTTCTTTCATTCTTTCTGCCTTTCTTCCTCTCTTACCTGTCTTCCTCCCTTTCTTCTTACTTTAACTCTTTTTATACCTTCTTTTATTTCTTCCAGTCATCCTTTCATCCTTCCTTTCTTTCTTACTACCTCTCTCCTTCTTTTCCTCCGTCTTTCCTGTTAGTTAAAACCGTTTTTCTTTTATGCTATCATCTCTTCATAATCTCACGAAATCAATCTTTAACATTTCAGCGGAATGTAAGTGTCCACCATACGCTCAATGTCAACGCGATGAAAACAATTTCAAGAAATATAAATGTGTCTGTCCTCCATCCAGCACAGCAGATCAGAGTAAAGTTTGTGGTAGCAATGGAAGAACTTATATGAACAGACAGGTTTTAGAAAGAGAATCTTGTGTTACTGATACCAAAATAACTTTTTTATATGCTGGTGTTTGTAGTAAGTTTTTTACCAACATTACTGTTAGTTTTTAGCCCATGACATTTAAATAGATTTAGCTCGGCTATATTTTCTCCTATAGTTAATTTTCTCCTTGATCTCTGAAGATAGCTGATATAGAAATGATAGAGCTATCCAGGGTAAAGTTAGTTTTAACTGAGCAAATTCTGGGATACATTTTGGAAAGAGAAAAACATTGCACCACTCAATCAATAAATTAGTTTTATCAATTAACTAAACACACTAAATGTGTTAATAAACCATTACCACTTGTAAGTAGCCATTTCATTGGTTATATTTCAGTTCCATGTCGAGGAAGAGAATGTTCTCACCATGCAGAATGTATAGCTCGAGGTAATCAAGGTATATGCCAATGTCCTACAAAATGTCCAGACAATATTAAACCTCGTACAATCTGTGCCAGTGACGGAAATACTTATGACAATGATTGTCAACTCAAAAGAGCTTCTTGCCAACAACAGAGACCGTTACAAGTTAAGCACCAAGGACCTTGCAGTAAGTATTTCTCGTTTGATACTTGATATTTTAATTAAGTCTTTTTTTATTCATTGTTCCCCCACTCCTTTCTTCCCTCATTCATTTCGCCCTTTCTTCCTTCTGTTTTTCTTTCTGTATTTCTTTTTCTCCTTCCTTCCGCACTACCCTTGCTTTATTCCTTCTTTCCTTTCTTCTATCTTTTCCTCCTTGTTTCATGTGCTTTTCTTTCCTTTCCTTTCTACCACCCTTCCTTCCTTTCTCCATTTGTTCGAAGTTCCAACCTTCTTTCCTTTTTTCTTCCTTGTTTTCTTTTGCCATTAATTCACCAATAATTTTTCCTACTATTCTTCCTTTTCCCTTCGTTTCTTCTTTCCTGTTATTTTAACCATTTCTTTGGCCTTCACCTTCCTCAGTAATCAATTTTCAATATTCTAGCGGAATGTAAATGCCCACCTTATGCTCAATGTCAACGTGCTGAAGAAAATTTCAAGAAATATAAATGTGTCTGTCCCACGTCCAGCTCAGTAGATCAGAGTAAAGTTTGTGGTAGCAATGGAAGAACTTATATCAACAGACAAGTTTTGGAAAGAGAATCTTGTGTGACCGATATCAAAATAACTGTTTTGTATGCTGGTGTTTGTAGTAAGTTTTAACAATGTTAATTTTCGTTTAAGTTACTTTATGAAATTTTAAAATGCTTGAGGCGTTGATGACGCAGTGCTGCGTGTACCTTTCACCCCCGCGTCCCGAGTTTGAATCCAATTGCATCCATGACCAGCTTCTTGATTATAATTTCGTCACAGGTAACCGTTATGTAACCATTTAATTAATATTTCAGTTCCATGTCGAGGTCGAGAATGTTCTCATCATGCAGAATGTATAGCTCGAGGTAATCAAGGTATATGTCAATGTCCTACGAATTGTCCCGACAATGTTAAACCTCGTACAATTTGTGCCAGTGATGGAAACACTTATGACAATGAATGTGAACTCAAGAAAGCTTCTTGTCAACAACAGAGACCGTTACAAGTTAAACACAACGGACCTTGTAGTAAGTATTGCTTCTTTGATGTTCGAGATTTTAATTATGCTTTTTTCTTTCTTTCTCTCGTACAAACGTCCTTCCTTCCTTCCTTCCTTCCTTCATTCTTTTATTTTTCTTCCTTCCATTGTCCGTTCTTTTTTCTGCCTCACATAATTTGATCCGTTCTTCATCCATTCATTTCTTCCCTTTCTGTCTCCCTTTCACCGTTCCCTTCCTTCTTTCTTTTTTCTACTTTCTTTCTTCCTCCGTTCATTCCTTTCTTCCTGCCTTTCTTTTTGTTTTTCTTTCACCGCTCCTTTTTTCCATTCTACCCTCTTTCTTTCCTTCAGTCCTTTCTTCTTTACACCACTCCTTACTTCCGGTCTACCTTCTTTTCGCTATTTCCCTTCTTTTCTGTCTTCCTTTCACCGCTACTTTTTACTAGCTTCTTTACTTCGATCCTTCTTCCTTTCATTCGTTATTCATTTGTTCCTTCGTTCTTTCATTTAATCTTTATTTTATGTATTCGTATATCATCGATCCATGTTCCCAATGCGGCTCCGTACTATAATCAATGAACAAGTGTATATCTGCTCTTCAAATGATCACTATTGAAACCACAAACAATAATACTTGAACTTTATTTACAGACGTTTGTCACAACAACACATGTGCACACTACTCAAACTGTCGAGCCACATCGAAGCAATCGTATACCTGTCTTTGTCCTCGAGAATATTTCAGTCAAGTTAGCAAAGTTTGTGGCAGTGATGGTCGAACATATCGCAATGAAAAGACTTTACAACAGGAATCGTGTCTCAGACAGGTTTCCATTAATGTGACTCACAAAGGTGTTTGTGGTAAGTTATGGAACTGAATAATTAACTGAATTCAAGTTTATAAGTTTGAGGCAATCATGTATATTAGAAAACATGTTTTGTTACTGTGGTTCGAATAAGTACATGTAATCCCCGAGCAAAATGATTAAAGACCCAATGTTTCGACATCGTGACGATGTTTTTGGTATATTGCATGGTTAGAGCATGTGGCCTGGTGGCTTTCATCCCTGCGAACGACATTCGATTCCCGGATATTCGATTATGTATCTGATCATCATTTGGCCTCAAATGCAAGCTGCCAGTTTGACTCTACTGAGCACAGCAGATTTTCTCCAAGTAGTCCCGTTTCCTCCTGTGTTACTACTGGACAGGACCAATAAAGGATTAATCTTCCTCAGTTCCTCTATCATTAAGGAAAACAATTTAGAACCAAATGAGTTATCAAGCATAAAGTCAGCCTTGTTTCCTCATTTGGTAACACGAGATTAGTAACGAGTCGAATGCTCAATAGCACTTCCTGATGCTCTAATGGGAACAGCGTAGATGTGATAGAGCTATCCAATATTAATAAATTTAGTTTGGTTGAGATTGCCTACTATTGTAACATGGGAGGAAGGATTTTAGACAGAAATGATAGATTGTGTCAGCAACACTTCCACATGAGAGAGTTTGGCAAGATAACGTTACAAAAACAGCGTCACGTGAATCTATAACGGGAAGACATGTTGAGCAACCATCTGTCACCACCACAAACTCAGTATGTGCAAGATGATATGCACACTGGCAAAAAGTGTCAATTGCGCCTCCATACTTCGTTCTCTTGCTCAAACTCTCTAGTCGTGGTGTTTTGAAAACGTGCCTACTGGGTTTTTTCTAGGTCCATGCAGGGGCAGATCATGTGACTTCAATGCGGAGTGTGTGGCTATGGGTGATGGCACCGCGTTGTGCCGCTGTCCAGAGCGATGTTTCGCTGTCCCCAAGCCTGTGTGCGGTAGTGATGGACAGACGTATAAAGATGAATGTGAAATGAAGAGAGCGTCTTGTATTAAGAAGCAGCCTATCACGCCTGTGAATCAGGGAGAATGCCGTATGTATTTTGAGGGTTTATTTTTCTTACAATACTGATATGACAAGACGGTGTTGTGTTTTGTATTGTAAAAAGTCAATAATAATTCATGAAGAAAATTCAAAAGGAATCAATGTTTAATTGACGTGTTGTATACACATATACAAAATTCTCCTGATTTACATAAACCTTTTTCTCGATTTTCAGTTAAAATTACTTCTTTTTTAATAGTTTCTTAAAACATAGCCATTGGAATTATTACGTTTCACAAGTTATTAATAGCATTTGCGTCCGCGCTCTACCATGCAGATATAAAATTGAGTGGTTATGGGGCCCCCTTTCCAAATTAAGGCCACTCCTTTCCAAATTATACATGTCCCCCCGTTCACAAATTAAGTGGCCTTCCTTTCCAAAATTAGGACTTCCTTGGTTCCCAAAATAAGCCCCACCCTCCAAATTAGTTGACCTTATTTCGAAAATAAGAGGGGCTTTCGAAAAAAATTAGGAAATACAAAGCTCAATGTGTCTGAACCTTGCATTCGTTCTATTACAAATTTCAAAAGAGTTGTCGATTAACAACAAAAACAAATTAAACTATATCCCTGAATGTAATTGAATGAATATTATCTACCACATACAATATAATGAAATGAATATAATGAAGTGAATAAATATTTTCTGCCGGTGGACCGTTGCTGCACGATATTTATAAAACCTACGTTTAAACTGACTACTTCTTCAAATATTCTAGCCACTCCACCCGAAGACGTCGACATCATTTACGCTCTGGGCTCGATCGACAAAAACCACGGTCCCTTGTTTGAAATACAGAAAAATATCACGAAAGCAATTGTCGAGCAACAGAGTTCTCCGGAAACAAAACACGGTCTCATTGTTTTTGGAAAAGATACCAAGGAAGTTAGTCCTTTGGAAAATTTTAAGAACGAACCAGAACTTGTCGAAAAGCTGCAGGGTTTGAGATGGCCATCCGAAGCAAAACGATTAGCACCTCCATTTGAGAAAGGCTCTCAGATATTTAAGGAACAAGGTAATAATACTGAAAAAGTCATGGTATTGACCGAGATATGTGTCACGATTTAGGAACAGTTACTACGTTTGGACTTTTAGGATTAGAGAAAGCCTTAGATTTAGGATTAAGATTAGAGTTAGGATTAGAGTAAGGGTTAGGGTCAGGGTTAGGTTTAAGTTTAAAATACAAAAGAGTACAAAATACCAAAGTGTAAAGATGGTAGCTCTTCCTAAAACGTGACAAGTATAGGTTTAAATGAGAAAATACGCGATTCCAATTTGGTAACTTTTGCACCAAGTGAATTTTTATTCAACTGGCCCCAGGACGGCAGCAATACCCATATTGCTGAAATATATACCGAAATATCTATTGCATTTGAATTCATATCAGTTAGATACATGCTTATTATTGCTGCGCCCCATACAGAATCGTACATTCTAATTCATAAGATAATAAGCGCCATTTGGTTTACCAATTTGTAATAACATTTACTAATAGTTGCTCTTCTGCCTCCACCTCCATCTTTGTACGGCCATTGAATAGTCTATGAACGTCGTAGGTATATAACGCCATCAATTCTTCTTTAAGGTCGTCCAGGTTCGCGAAAATTCCAGGTCATATTCATAACTGGGCAGCTGGACAGTCCGACTGACCCAGTCCCTCTCCAGAAGGCAGCGAAAAAAGTGCATGATTCAGGAGGCAAGATTATCGCATATAAATTAAATGATCTCGCCAGCGATGTTAGAGTCATACCTAAAGATCAGATCATCAAGGTTAGCGCGAAAGATGACCCATGGAGATTGGCAATGCTGTTTGATTTCCAGACAAGAAAATGTGAGAAATATATCTTTATTAGAATTGAATAATTCTTGTTCCACAGCTTCTTTACAAGGACTTAAATTGCAAAACAAATGTATGGCTCAATTCTTTCCGTCAATTTCCCACTCCCGGGCAAATAAAGAAGGTCAATTCCCCACCCCGCGAAAAACATTCCCAAAACATTGCGCACAAACATGTTAACATAATTTCACAAAGCCAATCTCACTGACATTCGTGGTTCCACCAGCAATTCTGTCGCCGATTATTCTCCTCCTGGAAAATGTGATCGAATGAATGGCATGCAAATGACTTAGAATTGTTTACTTCTTGTGTGCGCGTTTGTCGGTTTGCCAAGTCAAATCCGAGCGGTCTTTGTAGTTCAATGACTTAGTGCTCCTATCCCTAACCCTACTCCTAACCCTAACTATATTCGATTGTGAATTTGACTCAGACGTTTGACTCGGGTTTGGAATTGACTCGGATTTGACTTGGTAAATGGATTTACTCTTTTGTGTACGAATTTACTCATTAATTTGCATCCGTCAGAAACACAAAATCGCTGACAAAATTGCTAGTGTTAATCAGGCTTAAGGCTATTAAAAGTTTTTCTTGCAACTTGCAACGCGATTTCTGATCAACAGGCATGTTTAAGTATGTAAGAAAACAAATAACAGGATATTGTAACAGGAAAAACTTGACCATGCATAAGTTTAGCTATATTTCTACTGTATATATACTGAATGTCAGTAAAGACCACTCCTTTCCTAGGTTTACCGTAATTATAATTTCGGAAAAAGGAACCTATAGTTAGGGAACATGTTTGACTGACTATCTAATTTTTGAAAATGTCTTTCAGCTCCTTGTGAGATTCTCAACTGCCAAAATTATGCAATATGTAAAGCACCAGCCAATCAGCAGGTTCGTTGTGAATGTCCCACGTGTCCAAAACGTAAAGATCCCGTATGTGGAAGTGATGGAAAGACATACGATAATGAATGTGAAATGCGCAGAGCCTCGTGTTTGGCAGCGAAACCATTGAGTGTGAAGTCGAAAGGAAAATGCGGTAAGATATTGGCTTTCACACACCCAAGTGACCTAACCTCGAGATGTGAGATCCGATTGGCAGTACCTTATCTAATAAATTACAGTTGTCAAACCTTATCGCTACAACTTACGAAATTCTGACATAAACCTAAATCTTCCTTTTCCTGAAACGGAATATGTAAAAGAGAGTATTATAGGTTTTACAGAGGTGCCAAATTATATAATTCACCAGTTGAAATTAGAAACGCTGAGAGCTTAGCAAATTTTAACTCGCTTCTACGTGCAACTAGCCTGATATAATTTCATTTGTCACAAAGCATAAGCCAGTACTGTCGCAAGCAAATTGTTATCGGGGGGGGGGGAGGAGGGGGCATTCTACCTGAAATTTGATTTGTTTTTTTTGGCTCGACAACTAATTGCGTTGCGAATTTAATATTTTTGTTGCGGCTTAAATATTTCTTCATTTTTTTTTCAGAAAAACAAGAGGAAAGCGTGGTTTTCGTCGTGGGCTCTGGCGGTCCAAATGCGCAAAAAGTCTTCCAACATCAAAAGGAAGTTGTCAAAGAATTTATCAACAACAAAACAAAACCAAACACAACTTTTACCGTCATCACTTATGGTCGAGATACAACCAAAACCTGGACTGTGAACGAACCGAATAAAGAAAAACGGAATAAACGTATTGACTCTGTATCCTGGAATGGCCACGGAACAAGTCTTCACTTGGGATTGGAAGAAGCTTATGACGTACTTCGAAAGAAAAAGCCCAAGACTCGAAAACGGGTTTATATTTTCGTTACTCCAGTAGCAAATGTTGGAAGCGAGCCGGTTAAAAAAGCTGCGAGTAAACTCTTGGACGATGGAACAGAGTTGATTACGATTCTAATAACAGATGGTGACGGAGAGAAAGGGAAGAAGGTTGTACCGAGGACCAAGTTTGTGGTGAAGAGTCGTGTTCGTGATGATCCAAAAAGATTGGCGCAACTGTTGGTCATTACGTTTTATTTTGGTAAGATATTTGGACTTGAACCATTTGCATTATAGACTAAATTTTGATCTAAACAAGTCTAGACAAAAATTTCATAACAGCTTGAAAGAGCATCACAAAATTAGTAATATTCCAAAGTTTCGTTGCGAAATGTTGTAAAATGCGGATAATATAGCCTTGCGAAGTTTGCCGCCTTTCAGTCATTTTGCATTACCCGGGGGGAAATTGACAGGCCAATACCCTTTGGGGCTGTCAATTTCCCGTTTGTAATAGAAAATGACTGAAAAACGGGAAAATTCGCAAGGCTTTGTTATCCGCATTTTACAACATTTCGCAACGAAACTTTGGAATATTATTAATTTTGTGATGCTATTTCAAGCTGTGATGAAATTTTTGTCTAGACTTGTTGAGATCAAAATTTAGTCTATAATGCAAATGGTCCATTGCAGCATATTTGTTCCTGGTGAAGCGAGGATGGGATTTGGCAGTCGCCAATTTTTTTTGCCAAGATAAAAAAATTAGGGAAATGGGAATTGTCTATTCTGGTCGCCTACGCACGTAAAAATGCACAGGTTGTAACAAACCTACAGCAGATTTGTAGCAGTACTGTTCCAACAACTTGTCAACATGATGTGCTCGCACTGCTTGTTGACAACTTGCCACAAGGTTGTTATAAAAACTTGTTATCGCCCTGCAATTCAACAATTTGTCAACATGTTGTGAGTGGCAACCTTGTAGCAACTTGATAAAATCACAGCATTGTTGCAACTTGTTGACAAGCTTGCTGACAAGTTGTGAGATTTTTACGTGTGTAGTCCTCTACTGTGTAAAGGCCCGTTTCCACTTGCAAATTTTGCGATTTCTAGTGCGATTTTCTTCTTCTGATGATGGATGTGAACGAGTAGATGAGTTACGAATGTTCTAGGATCCACTCGTTCACATCCATCAGAAGAAGGAAATTGCACCTGGAATTGCAGCAAAAAGGGTTAAGGTGGCTCGATATAGTTATCACAAAAAACCCTGCTCAAGAATCGCGAACTCAAAACCGGGTGACCATTTTTACGCGCATGTCGCGGAAACTGATTAACAAAATGAGAGAACTTCCAAAATGACCTGACGTGAGCAGTTGCTCGCGCCATATCACGCCATTGCGCATGTTCTATAGCGTTTTATATCAATTGCTGACGTCATTAAAATTTTCCATTTTGGAAAAACAATGCGCTATATCTATTTTGTCTGGTGACCTATGTTCAAATTTTGCATGCTGTATTGCACCGCTAAAATCTTTCTTTATACGAAAAATAAAAAAATTCTGTAATGCCAACAAAATTTTACCGAAGAATACGACATTTTCGCATTTTCCAAAAAAATGGCATTACAGAATTTTTTTATACTTTGCTAATTGTTAGCTTTTCGTCGAAGTAAAATAATGCACGAAAAAAATTGTGGGTCACCATGCTTTTTTTCCAACTATACGAGACGATAGGCCATTTTGGAGTGAATTTCGTACACGTATGTCGTCATAGCAACGAATTATCTGTTGCTAAAACTAATATAATTTGAAAGTAGAGTTATCAAAATATATAAAAAACCCAATATCTGCTGAATAAATCCTAAAAATGCGTAGTTTGAACATGTCAAAGTGTTAGACACCTGAATTTTTGAAAACTGTATCGAGCCACCTTAAACGGGGCTTAATAAGAGCAACTAATGCAATTATATATTTTGCCCATGCATGATTTATTAACCATGCTTATGTCATTCTTGCCTCTCTAGATCCTTGTGTTAGACTCAACTGTAGCAAGTATTTCGGCTCATGCGTACTATCAATACACAGTGCACCTGAATGTAAATGTCTTCATGACTGTGGCTACCAAGACCGCCCTGTGTGTGGTGAAGATAAAAATACGTATTTCAGCGATTGTGCTCTCATGAGAGACACCTGTATACGAGAAATACCAAATAATGTCAAACACCATGGACAGTGCAGTAAGTGGACATTGTTTTACACTTAAAGAACATTGGCAATAAAAAAATAGTGCATGTGTCTCATTCAAAAGAACTCTTAAAATTATATATTAAACTCTATTACCGATTTGTCATATCTTGCTTAGTTCTCGAAATATTTGGATCGAAATTAATGAGCTGTTCGCCATCTTGGACGAATTCTTGACCTCATTAACTATGGTTTTGATGACGTCAGGAGTTAGGTTAACCATATAAAACTACTCCAAAATGACCGGGTAACAATCCAAAATTGTTTGAAATGTTTTTAATATCATTTCTAAATTTCAGACAGCAACCAGAAACGAAGTTTTGGACCCATGTTGATCGCTTAATCTCAAGATAAAAAAATTAGCGTGACCCCTCTCTTGACGTAACATGCATATCCTCAATAATCCAAGATGGCGAACAGCTAACTTTTTTCAGTCGAAATATTTTGAAAACTAAGCAAGATATAAACAATCTGTAATAGAGTTTAATATATAATTTTAAGAGTTCTTTCAAATGAACTAAACTAATTTTTTATTGTTACTGAGGTCATTTATATAACGGTCCGTTGAATGGTATACTACCAAGATTTAGTAATTATAAATTAAAGAGTTTTTATATTTATTGCGAGGTACATATCTGTATAGTTTCACATATCTGTCGTTTCAGAACACTGTCACAACTTGAACTGTCCTCCGTACAGTAAATGTATGTTAAGCAACTCGGGACAACCGTACTGCGCATGTCGTGATGTCTCAAAATGTCCGCGAGAGTACAAGAGGTATTGCGACCAAGACAAGAAGGTTTATAGAAACTTATGCGTGCTCAAAGCTGAAGCATGTACGGCCAATAAAACCGTCAAGATTGCTGATGCAAGTAATTGTGGTACGTATTTTGTTGAAGTCATTGTTTGATATAACTAAACACTTGACCATTCTAAAGTAAATAAGTAAACTGTATTTCAGTAAACTTAGCATTGTATTAACGCTCTTGTAAGCATATTTATAACTTCATTATTTAACATTTGTTTTCTGATTTTAGCTGCCCGATTTTTCTCCGAAAATTCATATATGAGCCTACGATCCCCGTACGATCTCCGTGGTGATAGAACAGAGTTGGTACTTCATGTTCGCCCAATGAAAGACACAGGAGTATTGTTTTATACAGACTCCGCGAGTTCTACGGATTTCCTGGGCCTAGCTTTAAAGGATGGTTATCTTGTCTACCGGTTAGTTTAATTCTAATCTACTTCGACGTTTACCATACAATACCATAGTGACACCATAGTGATACCATACCATACCATACCATACCATACCATACCATACCATACCATACCATACCATACCATACCATACCATACCATACAATACAATACAATACAGTACAATACAATACAATACAATACAATACAATACAATACAATACAATACAATACAATACAATACAATACAATACAATACAATACAATACAATAAAATACCATACCATACCATACCATACCATACCATACCATATCATATCATATCATATGTCATATCATATCATACTATACCATATCATACCATATACCATACCATACCATATCATATCATATCATATCATATATATAACCATGGCGGTATGGTATGGTATGGTATGGTGTGGTATGATATGTCATACCACACCATACCATACCATACCATACCGCCATGGTTTTAGTCGTGGTTTTATGGCTGAACTGCCTGAAAAAGATTAATATAAAAAAAATACAATATACTATATCTAATGAAAAAATTGCCGTTATTCTCGCACTCTGATATCTGGCTAACTCTCGTTGACCACCATCTGTTGCACTACTATTCATATTTTACTGTTTCATATTTCAGGCATGACGTTGGGTCGGGCCCAGTGGAAGTAAGAAGCGATGAAAGGCTGACAATGAATCGATGGCATAAAATTAGAATCGTACGACGCGGAAACGCAGCTGACTTCAGTGTAGATACGACTACGGCGAGGAATAAAAGATCGATCACTCCAAGTTCCATCTTGAATGTAGACGATCGCGTTTATCTTGGGGGACTGGAAGCAAGGAAAGGAAGGTATAGTCATTAGACCAGTCATTAATCTATTTTCTGTGACGATTTGATGGTCTGGAAACCACCCGGCAAACTTCGAAGACATAAAATAGAAGACCTTTGTTTAATGTTGAACTGAACATCGCCGTGTACAACTCTATTTCATTAATTAAATACCAGTGGTGTCAAGTAACGAAGTAAATGTACTTCGTTACTGTACTTGAGTACTATTTTAGAGAAGTCAGCATGTAACAAAGTAAACTTTTTCTGGAGTACTTTTACGTGGAGCGAAGTCTTTTAAGAAGTAACGTTTTACTTCGTTATTTTCATTTTGTGGCGAAGTATTTCGTTACTTTCTAACTTTTGTTTAATTTTACGTAATTCACTTTAATTTTGGGATAGGTAATGGGACCTCTACATGTGTCTGGGATCTCTCGTTTGTGGCTTACTTATAAGTATTATTTATTTAATGAGTTTCTTATATCTTCAACGGGGTCTGGAAAGTAGACCATGTCATGATATATTGCATATTTATAATGCGTGTGCCGTATTTTTTTTATCTCAATATCCATAAATGGAGAAGTCCCCTCCCTACACGCTACAGACAATAGTACTTTTACTTTGTACTTTAAGTATTTTTTAAGGATACTTTGTACTTTTTACTTAAGTACGTTTTGCCTCCAGTACATACTTTTTACTCTTACTCAAGTCGTTTTATTGTCAATTACTTCTACTTTTACTCGAGTACAAATTCAAAGTAATTTAGGCACCACTGTTAAATAATAATCTTCATCGTGCTAGCACGTTTCATCTCAGCTATCCCTATTGGACGATTACTTCATCATACAAAATGCAATGAGTTCAATCACAATTAGCTTAAACCCAGAAAAAACATTACACAATGACCTCTGTTCAGTTTCCACACCATCATATCTTGATAGCCTATGATCAATCGAACAATCCAGTATAAATAAAGTTGCTTTAGGTTTCATCCTGAATAAAAGTGGATCAATAAAGGATGTCCTTTACCGTACTGTACCTTTAGGAAGAACAGTTTACAACTGATAGAGCTGCTTGCTCCAAACAATGTTTGTTTAGTCCAGCTTAAAACAACCGTCAACCGAACAACCGCGGTTGATAAGTAGTGTTTTTCTGCCTTAGACTAGAAAAGAGTCTTGGAATATCAGCTGGCTACCACGGGTGCCTAAAAGGTCTTGTATTGAATAGCGAACAATACGATTTGCTGTATCCTGGGAAACATGTCATACGTCAGCAAAATGTGCGAAGTTGCGCCGACAATCCTTGTGAAAAGCGGCCTTGCGAAAATGGTGGGAAATGCCTGTTTTCGGGAGAGTCGTACAGATGTCTATGCCCGCGAGGATTTGTGGGTAGACGTTGTCAGGGCAAAGGTAAAGTATTACAGTGATGTCTATGTAAGAAAGACATCTGTCCATCTGCACATGCAGACTGTATATTAGCCAAATGCAAGGTATAGAGGGTCAATCAAATGCTAGTAGCAACTGCAGACATTAGCAGGTGGATTGGTAATTAGCAGACGCTTACAGCTAGTTCACCTAAGACAATACTACCCAGACGCAATGTATAGAAAGTCAATCAAATGGTATAGTAGTTACTGCAGACGCTAGCAGATGGACAGGTGTTTACCAGGATACTTACCGATGGTGCACTAACGCCGTCTTGTCCACAATCAATGCCAAGAGGGTTTAGGAAATGCTATAGCATCCATTGCAGATACAAGCAAGTCTAGCGAGTGGACAAGTGGTTAACATATATTTACAAATGGTGACAGTTAAGAGAGACATACCAATAAGACGGAAAAAACTTAAAAGAACTTTTTGTCTAATTAATTAAAACTAGATATAGTTAAAGCGTGTATTTCAATTGAGCATTTTATACTGTACTACCTAAGGTGGTCAAATATAATGAAATTTAAGGAAGTGAGAAATGTTTCTTGCCATCAAACACCAGGACCGGTTGTTCGATCCCCGATAAGCTAAATCCTATGTTAACCTAAAATTCAAAGCGAACTTCCCAACACCTTGTTTATAAATTTGGAAATATTTCTTTAGAAATTTTGTCTGGATCAGTAGGAGCTTTCTTCTCTGAAGTTTTGAAATAAACAGACGTGCAGAAATGCATAAACTAAACAGCAGATTAAATTTTAACCCAGGGCTAGCGCTAATCTAGCGGTAATCCAGCTTTGAAAAACCGACCCCGGGACAAAACTGATATGGCTTTCCTTTTAGTGCTGCACTGTCACACTTTGTTAATGTGGAATTCATTCTAGTCCATTTTTATTCCAATTTCAACATATTCTATTTTTCTTTGATCAGATCGTGCGGTTTATCTCCAAGGAAGTAGTTCTTATCTTGCTGTTCCTGCGATGAAGGGGAGATGGCTATTCACGTTATCTATGGAAATTAGACCCAAGGAAAGAGACGCTTTGATATTTTCTGCCACTGCTCGAAGTTATGGCGAGGATTGCTTGATTTTCGATATGAATGATGGACGTTTGGAACTGCGGTATGTTCTTAGATACTTGGTCTTGGATATGGAACTATGGGAATAGCAGGGATACATTTACGGAGGGAAGGGGGGATAGGGATGCGCTCTCCTCCCAGCCTTGGAAAATGGGGTATGTGCAACGGGGTGCCAATTTCGTTATCAAACGCGATAACAAAAACAAAAGTGGAATTGAGACAAAATTAGATGGTAACATGATTGTGAATTGTCAAGCAAGACTTCAGACTAGTACCTTGTTGCCGTATAACTCACTCACTCTAGTAGTTCTTCGACGGTCGCAATTGGATTTAGCATTTTCTTTGACAAGTCAAGTTTTAGTACTGACTCGTGCGCATGGTCATATTTTTAGCCTGCATGGTTTGATCTTTCTCATCATCCGAAATATACAACATTTTAGAACTGAAAACATGCGGAGTGATTATTAGAGAATACTTATGATTTATATCTGGTACAAGTATAAACTATTGTAAACTGGCCGTTGAGAAAGATCGTGACTCTATTTTTTTTTTTTTGAGAAATTTGGTGTTATATTCGTAAAGAAATAATTTGATTCGATAAAAATTAATTTGTGTCAATAACGTCCATATTAGTCATAAATGGTATTCAGTATAGAAAACGAACTTAACATTTATTTAAATCAATAGGACTTTGTATCAGATATACAAGCCCCTTCGTGTTCTCATGATTACCTTTGTGTTTTTTTCGTAAATTATTAATGTGATTTCAACTTACACTTAAATTTTATTGTAATTACTTATCATCGAAAATTACAAGCGAAACAAGTTGATGTCCTCGACAGTTAGTTTAATTTTGATGTTCTTTTCTAGACTGAACGTAGGAACAGGACTCAATATATTCCGTACAAGTCAGAGATTGGCACTGCATGTCTGGCATAAGGTAGCCATCACCAGGGATAGCGATGGAGTGAGTTTGATCGTAGATGACGAAGTCATTCATATGACCAGCAAACCTAGTTCTCTGGGTGTACGTTTGCGCGGAAATATGACTTTTGGAGGAATTATTGATGCCTTAGACAGGTAAGGAATATATATATAGTGGATATTACACGGCAGCGCGAAGATATGACTTTATCTTCCAGTGTTTTTAACACGAGAAGATGAAAGTCATATCTTCAATAAGCCACCGTGTAAAGTTCTGTTTATTATATAGTCCAAACCAAAAAATTGTGAAATTTCACGCTCAAAAGCAAATTGTCAAATTGTCACGTGATCAATATCTTCACTAGTGAAGATATGGAAAATATCTCCCTTGGAATTTTTCAGTATCTCACTCTCTACTATATAATAAATATATATAGTTCCTTGCTGTTAGCCAGCGTGGTTAGATGCCCAATATTCTGATATGTACCCATTCCCCTCTCTGTTGAATTAAGTTACACGAGATCAACAAAAGATGTGCCTAATACTGGAGCTCTTGAGAGAATATTTTTGGTAGAACTGAAAGAGCTATCTATATTGTGTAAATAATTAGTGTAATAATATATACTCCTTTTAATGAAATGTCATTCGCCATTTTATTCATTCATTTATCTTTTTTTTCGTAGAATTCTCGTGCGCTCTAATACTGGTTTCCAGGAATTCGCCTTTACTGGATGTTTAAGAAACATTATCTTTACGGATTACATCATCGACTTAAATAATCCAAGCGAGGACTTAGCTAGATATTCAGGGGTAAAGACTTGCACGTCTTGTGTTGGTGATCCATGCGGTTCCCATGGCAACTGCATCAGCCAATCTGACATGACATTCAAGTGTGCCTGTTTCGAGAACTTTGTCACGGATCTATGTGAATTCAGAGGTATAGTATAAACTGAACTGAACTAAACTCATTTGATTTATATACTGAGTAACTCCATCATGGTCAGTTCTAAACTATTCTCCCTAGAGGTCTAGTTAAGAGCATTCCCATTTTGAGTAGTGAAAGTTTTACCACATTAGGAACTATCATTTATATTGAGTTTTTATATTCTGTTAGCTCTAAATTGTTCTCCCTAGAGGTTCAGTAAAGACCATCTTTTATCGATCCAGTATTACTTCAAGGAGAAACGAGAGTATATATACTAACTTTATAAATATGAATAGCTCTATCAGTTCCAAACTCTTCTCTCTTGAATGTGCAAATAGGGCATTTCCTTTCGATCCAGTTTTACAACCGAGGAAGAGTATACCCGTAGGAAACCTACTGTTTTTCAGTTTTTGGTTGAGGCAAACCACTGAACTACGAAACGTCTGTTCTAAAAATGGATCAGTTTTGCTTCTAAATATAGCTCTTCCCCTTCCATTGACTTTCTCATTGACAAGTAAATTCATGTAAATAAAAGCCAAGCACCTATTTGATAGTTTTTAATCTTCACTATTAACATGTACACTTTAATTTCTAGAGAAACCTCTGAAGTTCAAGTCGATGGATTCCTACATATCTTTCCCTCTCCTGCAAGGAAATGAAAACTTCAAAATATCTTTAGAAATTAAGCCTGAAATACCAAATGCACTTGTTCTCTACATGAACGGCAAGTATAACCAAGACCACTTTGCTATTGCAATCATCGATGGAATATTACAGTTAAGGTTAGTATGGAAAAGTCAGACGACGACTGTTGAAACCATATATCAAATTATTCTCATAATAGACAATTCCCATTATAGACTAATTTTAAAACTAGGCAAGGAGACTCCAATAAATCACCCCAGCTAGAAAGAGTAAACTAAAATTAGTAAATTTGCAAAGTTTGGTTGTGAAATGTTGTAAAATGCGGAGAATATAGCCTTGCAAAGTTCGCATATTTTGTATACTTTTGTATTGCGTGCGGAAATCGATCCTACCACATTTAGGCCGAGAATGGTCGCAGGCAATACAAAAGTATACAAAATTTGCGAACTTTGCAAGGCTATATTTTCCGCATTTTATAACATTTCGCAACCAAACTTTGCAAATTTACTCAGTTGTTGTGATTTATTTGCATCTCCTTGCTTAGTTTTAAAATTAGTCTATAATGGGAATTGTCTATTAATTATTCATGATTTCGGATAGAAACGTAAAACACTAAAAGCAGGATCGGAAAACATATAAAATGTGAACGAAATAACTATAAAATAAACTAAATTTTTAAAATAAACTAAGTCTTTCTTGATTGACCACAATCTAAAACTATAGGTAGAGTTAGTTTAGTTTGCTGTACTTTCTCAGCAAAGATACATATACCATTGTCTGTGAAGATATGATTGTCTGTATAAGCAAGGCAAACATCAAGCACACAAAATAGAAATCGAAAGCGTTTATTTAATGTTGAACTGTACCTCGCCGTGCACAAATCCTTTGTCTCAACTTCATTAAATATTTGTAGATGTTGTCATGTAATATATGAACAATACGAGCGAGTGTTTCACCGGGATTTCATACATTGTTTTCTCGTCTTTGGATATCCCGATGAAACACTCGCTCTCGCTGTTTATAGACTTTATATGGCTTCTCAAATGAATCGAGACGTAACAGAATGTTTTCGTTTGCTGATTTAAATAGAATTCTTAACATAACGTAATTAGGAATTCTATTCAAGTAATTTTCCATGCGTAATTACGATATTTGATGAAAACACTAGTGACTTTTACCAAGTTTCACCGGGTTATCCAAATGACATCTTTTGATCAAATAGGTGATTATCATTGGCTGAATTGCTCATGAATTATTAATGAATTTGAGAAGTATAGTTGTTTCATCTGCTATAATTTTCTCCTGTGTTAACACTGGATTAATACTGGAGATTCTAAGGACTAAGAAGAAGAAGAGCAGTTTTATCTTAGTTCCATGCGAGAAGAGTGCTTTTAGTTTGACCCTACCAAGCCAGCGCCGCAGATGCCTTTTAAATGTTCGTCCATGTTTCGTAAACAAGACTCTACCAAGCATCACAGGTTATTTCTGGGTTGTCTATGGAGAAGACTTTATAACCGATAAAGCTATCCACTGCAGACAAAGTTAATTAATTGAGTTAAACAATTCTCTCTTTTCAAATACAGAATGAATGCAGGTGGTGGTCAGGTCATAGCACGCTTTGTGCAGCCACTGGCCCTATCTACGTGGCACAAGATCGACGTGGAAAGAAATGAGAGAAGAGTGACAATGACTTTAAATGATGGCCTGGAAACGACAGGTGTCCTTTCTGGACGTTTTACTGTCCTCGATTTTCAAGGCCAAATGTTCGTTGGCTATCCAGGTACTCCTGTCGGAAGGTGAGTTTGTATCAGACATATTTCGCTATTCTGGTTTAAATAAAAGGATGTAATTCCCGAACAAATTCATGACTCAAGACAACAGGCGAATTTTATCAAGCATAAAAGCTCTGCACACGATTAAACAGACATACCTTATTGGATAATTTGCCTAACGAATATTAAAAAGTGTTCTTGACAATTAGTATTTTTGTGTCATTCTTACAAATAATTTACTCATTAAACGTAGCTAAGCAATTACTTATGAATTATTTAACAATTATTTTACCTATAATCATTACTTCATTCGCAATTAATTATCAATTGAGATTAACCGAATTTGAACTTCGACAATTATTATGTTTTTAGAATCATTGCCAGAGAGCAGGTTCCAATCGCATACCTACAGTTTATCGGATGTTTCCGAAGGTTCTACGTGAACGAACGAAGATACAACCTGGCGTATCCGATGGGAGATATTCTTAAACAAATTGATGTTGAAGATTGTGACGCCAGTTAGTCATAATACAATGCCCAGCGGGTAAACTTTCTAAGCATGCGCTAGCAAGGGAAAAGAGAGGGAAGACAAGCGAATAGGCGATAGCGATAGTAATTGTTTTGTGTTGCAGAAACGAACGTGTTGTTTTCATGAAACAAAACAATTAAAGTAATTAAGTCTCAATAAGCTCTATGAGTCACAACTCATGATCTGTTTTTTCGTCTAGGATTATTAAAAAGTTTAGATTGGCTCTTCTTCGTGGCGTGTTTGTGCCATTTAGCGCAACTAACCAATAGCAATGTTTTGGCTTCCACACGTAAGGATGCACAAGTTGTTACCGATCTGCAAACAAGTTGTATAGCAAGGTTGTTGTCAAGCCCATATCAGAATGTGTTCGCATTGCTTGTTTCCAGGACAACTGACAAGTCTGGAACAAGTTGTTATCATCTTGTTACAAGGTTGATGACGCGGTAACAGACTTGCTACAAGTTGTTCCAACTAGACTAATACAGTTTCGTGACAAGTTGATAGGAGCTTGTTGTCATCAACTTGTTAACAACTTATCACGTGCAGACGATATCAGACTTGTTGGAACAATTTGTTGCGAGTATGTTGGCCTCATCAACCTTGTCAACTAAGAACAAGATTTTACGCGTGTTTCTCAATAACATGCACAATTTAGAAATCACTATTGGTTGATTTGGCGCAAATGCAATTAGCCTTTTCCCAAAACAGATCACAGTGTATTCTGGGATCGTTTGGAGGGACAAAATATATGGTGATAGGCGTCAAATATGTAAAAGAGTAGAAGTATCTACTATCAAATATCAACTTTTTAGTCGACCAAAAATGAAATATCTCCTTTTTACACAGTTAAACATTCAATTTAAATGTGTGCTGCCATATTTCTTGTCCCTCCAACATGGGATTCGCTCGACTAGACCCAGGACTTTGGGAAATGGCTAATACGCACGTGACGACGAAAGGTTATGCATGCATTTATATTTGTTTCGAGTATAGACTCAAATAGATAACCGTACTAACCTAGCTTGTAGTCTGTGCTTGTAGTAAGCTTACAGTATCCGCTTGTCTACAAGTTTTAACAATACTCTTATTACATTAAATTGTAGCACAATATTAATACGCTGGTGTACGCTGCAGTTTCATTGATCAAAATATGTTGTAACGCTAATATAATGGAATAAACATTATCATGAGTTCTCACCCTGATAACTGTCGGTCCCCCCGGCTGGGGCAGGACAGTTCTTGCTCATACGAAGCAATGTTATACGATAGTAATCGACCATAACGATAATTACGATATATCGATCACGACTCATTTTTCTACCTTCGATACGATAATCACGAGTGAAAATATTGCGATAATATCGATATTTATTATATAGTAGAGATTGAGATACTGAAAAATACACAGTGAGATATTTTCCATATCTTCACTAGTGAAGATATCGAGCACGTGACTTTTTCTAATATGCTTTTGAGTGTGAAATTTCACAATTTTTTGCTTCGGACTATATAATAAACAGCACTTGTGGTGTCGTGTTCGTCTGACTTTCATGCTGGGAGAGCCGGGTTCAATCCTAAAGGCCTGGGTAAACTAAGAAACATTGTTGCGGAAACATTTGTGATTCTCGATGTTTCCACAAATGTTTCCCTGTTTGCCCACGCGTGGAAACATTGTTGCGGAAACAAAATTTGCTTCCCGAGAAGCAAAAATGTTTCCTAGCAAATTCAGAAACATTTGATGTTTCCTAGAGTTTGCCCACTCTGGGAAACATGGCAAAACATTGGCAGGAAACAATGTTTCCTAGTTTGCCCAGGGCTTTAATTGGTCGTACCTCTACTCAGAGTCTTAAAATAATTGAGGAGAAAATGTTACCTTTACATTGACATCAGTAAATGGTTAGACTTTCGCGTTTTCTTGGATAAGAACCTTAAAATTGTAGGTACTCCTGTCAATTGGACTAGCTATAGCCTGTTGAGAAATCCGCTCACCGATGAGTGAGAAACTCGATAAACTAAAGATATATCGAAATGTCGCGCAACTCTCCTTAGAACGTTTTGTTCAGGGCTGGTAGGTTCCAAAGAAGAATCATAAACGGAAGAAGCTGGAAACTGAGGATGGCATCAGACGGTTTCAATGCAGGCCAGTGATGAAGATGGTAGTTGTGAAAGCACAATTAGTCATGAAAAAAAGGGGTGGGGTATTCATTGGGACGAAAGTTCTGTTCCTCATCCCAGTCACGTACGTAGTCTTGGAACATGTTATGTATATCAGTGTCAGTGTTAACATTTGTGACGAATTTAATAATTATAATAATAATATAATAATAATGAAAACTTTATTAAATGGATATTAAGCTTATATATACAATTGCAAATCTCACTTCTAGAAGGTATTTTACAACTGGCTACTTAAATCACTGATTATATATACAAATAACTAAGATAACATACTGACAGTACAACGTTTAAACAGTCAACAGTTCTGGATTCATCCATTCCTTGTTTCGTCAACAAAATGTATAATACGTTGTTTGGATTGCAATCGTCCGGTCATTCTTCTGATACAGTAATTCTGATGATTTTTTTGAAAATCAAGATAATTAAGCATTTATAGTAAGGTAGAACATTCTTTAAAAGCACATGCATAACAAAGAATTTTGGATTTTGACTATTAAATGTGGAAATAAGCTTAAACACGAAAATGAAGGATGTTCTGCTTCTCTGACCATAGCCCGTGGGAAACAAACTTGAAATCTATTGCATTTAAGATGGTCCTAAGTTGAAAACAGTGTAGTTCTGACGTAATTACCGGAAAGGTCTATTGTGTTGAAGCATCCGTGAGTTGAGCATCGTAATAAGGTATTCAAATTCCAACAAAGGCTGATACCTTTTTGAGACACCCTGCAGATAATGGGTCTATTATGTTTTGATCGAGTTCCCTATAACATTCTTGTTTAATTGATTATGCCCGCAACCAATAGAAATTGTTTCCCCGTTGTAAACTCTTCCCTAAATTTGTGTCGATGAGGAAGGGGCAAAAATTTTTAATACATGGCATATTTCCCATCTCGATGATTTTAATTCGCGCGCTCTTCCCTTTAATCATTTAGCCGATTATTAACCAATTTTTAAGTCCAATATAATCTGTCAGATTTTTAAGTACAATCTGCCCATGCGCTCTCACCCGTTTGAGCTGGGATTAAAACTCGAAATATAGGGATTCAGTGTTACATCGAAGTTTTTAGACGAAAATCATACTATTTGCTTAAATGTCTGATATATACTTGGTGCGAACTTTCTAATGGTATAGTTTATTTTTGTTAAAAGTCAACTCGAAATTTTTGTCATCACAGTACTTTTTATATATATAGGCAAAATTTTTAAATTCTCAAATTTTCATCTATAAAGCCATACTCAGAGTTGCCACCAAACAAATTTTGTTGCACGTTTTCAGGTTTAGTTTGTTGGCCAACTGTCTATTGGCAGATGGAATTTTTCAACGTACAAAATTCTATCATACTTTTAGATCTAACCAGTTGAGTACGATCATCTCACGTGCAACTCGTTTTCGTGTCAAACCTCTGCGTTTTTGTAGGTCCATACTAGGTGTTTTGCTTTCTCGGGGTAATTCTTGGGTTTCATATGACGTCACAAAAGTGATGGGCGGTCAATTCTTAAAACAAAACTGTTATCATAGTGAGTCGATTGTTCGTTTTATGATTAGCCTTGTATTTGGTGCCAAATACATGGAATTTTGGATCATTTTCTCACCCCAGTACAACATAAACATCAATACATTTGAGGTTGACGCCGTCAGATTCACTGTGATAATGCCGTAGTGAGACCATAGAAATAATGAAACCCAAAATACCACTGGTCTACTATTAGATCAGTGGGGTAATATGGGGTAATGCTGCTGAGTTTATGCCCCATAAAATTGTGAACATTTTCTCAAGTATATACAAGAAATTTTCTGAGGAGTGTCTATTGTTTTTTATATAATAACGTTAAGAATTCAAGCACTTTTTAATCGTCGAGAGCCATTAGCCGTCTGTCCTCTAAAGGAAACAGACGCCTCATATATACATCTGACATCTCAAATATAACCATCGATAGACAATACATTATATTAGAGGGACGAACCACCCCCACACACCTACATTTACGTCCCTGGAAGTAACACAAAAAATTATTCACTCAAAGTCCTCAAAACATTGTTTTTTATATATAATCAGAACTTTGAGTTACCATTGAGAGTCGTACATTTCGAGCCTGTGCCCCTGTTCTTGAATATCAGTTCCCACGCTCCCCGAAAAGCCTGAGGGTTGGCTTTATTTCCGGTTGTAATGATTTATAAAAACCGAAATAGGAAGCACGTTTGTAGAGCTATTTTTTAGACAGAAAGCTGTTTTTACGTTTTCTTTATATTTATTTAAAGATCAGGGGATTTTATACGCTTTTGAAGGACCTTGTCTTCAGGTTTTGAGGTATGAAAACTAATTTAAATCGTTGATCTTGTTTGTGCATATGGGTATTACCACTGTTCTCGAAGTGTCATGTTTATAACTATATAAAGACGTGTTTTATATTGTGGTCAAGTTTGCCGGAAAATACAACCGATGGCTTGCCCGTGGAGTGTAGATAATACACCTTTACTCATTTCTAAAACATCGGGCTTTATTTTAAGTTATTTCTGTTTTGAAACATTGCGATTATTTGTTAGTGTCTGTTGGCAAAAATGTCTCGAGAACCCGGCGTGGTTGTCTGTTTGTTTACAAAAATTTGCTTTCCGATTAACAAGCCAACTAATATATTTACTGCCCTTTTATTCAACCTTCGTGGTTCAAACTTGTTTGCTTTTGTAATTAGCTGTATCTGTCCTGCTGATCTTTTATTTTCCCAGTGAGAAACACGGCAATTATAAATACTAGGTATATAAACATATGCATGCCATTTGAACCATTCAGACAGTATATATAAAATCGTATTTCTATTTCGACTTCAGTGTTGGCACGTCGCTGTAAGAATGTGCAAACATCACTTTTCATTTCCAAATTGGGTCATCGCGTGTATATTATGTTTTGTAATGATTGGATTTTTTGTATTTTATATTGATATGATCTTTATTTAGTAAATTATATAATATCAATATAAATTTGCTACAAGTTTATATTACACTGAGTAATTAACATTCCAGTTCAAAACGATTAATAAAATTTGTGCGTCTATAATATTACAAGCAGGTGGACATGTAATATTAACCGGTTTCCTCATGATTTGAATTATGAGGGGTGAGCAGTATTTTTATTTCGATATTGGTTTTCGGTATATTTTCAATACTGAATGAAATTGCCAACACCAGAGCCGACACCAAGCCTGGGGTAATTTGCTAGTCACAAATTTGTGCATTTAAGTCTTTAAAATTGGCTTCTTCCTTGAAACAAACTTTATAATATGGTGAGGTGGTTTGGGTAAAACAAAAAAACCCTGAAAAAAGTTTTTATAACTTACGTCAAAACACACCAGGGGCCATGCACAAAATATGTAATGCTTGTGGGGGTAGGGGGTGTTTGATCAGGAGTCACATAGTGTCACAAGGGGGGGGAGGGGTATCACAAGCGGTATCATGTGATGGAGAGACGTATAGTCTCGAGAAAATTTATCCCTGTCTATAACAAAACAAGACCGTGCTTGCAAATATGTGTCCCTTCGATGACAAATCAAATAATGTTTTCTATCAAAATATGTTATTCAACAAACCAGCGAGAACCTGAGTGGGAAACTGTTTAGATCGAGGTTTAAAGGTGTTGAAATAGTGTCGATTTATGGATAACGTTTTGAGACTTTTGAATCTGTTGTTGCATAGTAAATTTGTGTTTTGTGAGTATTTTTTTGTGGGGGGTGGTTGGCTCAGAGTCGCATACTTTATAATGGGGTGTACTGCCAGCTGTCACACACTGCCACAATGGGGTAGGCCGTAGGGAGGGGTAATAAAATGGCAAAAACAGTGTCACATATTTGGTGAATGCCCTCTTACAGTTAGATTAAACTTCATGCTGCACGTAGTGCTGCCTTGATATGTAAGCGGTAAGCCATCATGAGGTGTGCTTTTTTCTCATGTTTTTGACATAAATTTGAAAGTTGGAAGTTTTATCAGGAAACATTGAACTAGTGTGTTGATTAACCGATTGAGTGCCCTGTGCTCTCCCCTTGACAAGTAAAATTGTCTGGCATCAGATAGAGCAAAATAATAAAGTATGGTGCACTAGAGCGCAAGGCAAATTAACTTAATAGGCTTACAGTATAGAGAACCATATAATACTGTAGTTCATTGTCGGATAGGAAACATCATTACCAGTAACAGAATTGAATTCATAGACTAGTATGATTTAGTAATAAAAGTAAAATTCTAAGTGAACCATTGTGCTTCAATTGTCATTATCTTGATTAAATAAACTAGCCTGGTACCCAATAGAATAAAAAAGTTTAGCCTTTAAACCAGTTGAACGTTTATCCTATTATGGCCTGAAACTTTCCCTGGAGAAGAGAGGTACTATTTAATGAGTTAATTAACCCATTGAGCACCAGTGGTCTTGCCTTGTTGAGTAAAATTGTCTGGCATTAGATGGAGTTAAATAATAATGCATTAGGGTGCAATGCAACTTAAAAGAACAATGCTTTTGTTGAGCCAAACACCGTACCCTATAACAGAGAATATTTATGATGAATGACACTGTATATACTGTAGATGATAAACATCGAATAATTATATTTTTTAGAGAAAGACTAGATTGGCCATTACAGTAGATTGTAAAATTGAAAGAAGCTGCTGGATTGATATACTGTATATTTTTTGTGACATTAACTTCAAAGTCACAATCATGGTTGTTCCACAGGAATGGACTTGGTATAAAACTAGAATAATTTTTTGATATCTAATGTCAGTAATAATGGTACAGTTAGTCATTCTAAATTTGGGAAATCCTGACCGTTTGCCCAAGGTTTTTATCTTAGAGGTGTACAGTGCTGCTCACAAGTATTGTCAGTAACACCCTACGTGGACCAAGTTGTGTGTAGTATGGGTGTACATACACCCAACATAGTTCAACTGCATATTCGTGTAGTAAACTTAAAACTGCACACACTGATAACTGATAACTTATATTTCACACTATTTCAAGATAATACAAATACAAAAGATACAAATTGATTTACAGATGGATAGAGAATATACATAGAATTAAATATTAATACATAGAAAGGAAGTGTACAGAGACCGAAGTAGCATAGCTTTCGAGCCGGCCTCTGAAGTCACACTCGTTGCAGTGGGCGTTTGCGTGTACTGCAACATCTGTGTGCACTTCAATTTGCGTGTACATGCAGACTACATGCAATTTTGTCCACGAAGGTGTTACAATACTTTTGAGCGGCACTGTACTGTATGTGTCTTAGTAATCGAGGTTTCTATCTTAGAAAGATGCCGTCATAGAGTCTATCTTAAATTAAAGAGATGTCTGTCTCCGGGAGGTCTGTCTTAGAGAGACATTTGTATTCGAGACTAGATCTCTGTCCTAAAAAGATGTTTATATTGGAGGTAGTTTCTTAGAGAGATTTTAGTCTTAGAGAGATTGTTTGATGAAACATAATTAAATAATCTATAGAACAGAATACATCATGCTGTGATTACACTAATGTACTAATTGTTAACACTGCATGTCAATTTGATTCATATTTAAAAAATGTGATTAATGTTAATTAAAATGTGATTATCTTTTGTGATCATAGAATAATGAAGAATTTTTTAAATTTCTAAGTAGAGTACAGGTAAGCTGAAAAGCAAAAATGAACTAACGTTAATGATTGATTAATTTGATTTACACCAGAAACAGATCATCTGTCTGACAAGATCACCCATCTTAGTTTAAATATAAGTAAAAGTATTCATACAAACTATGACCATATTAGAGTAGCTAGAATAACTCAATCTGTGCTGTACAGTATAGTAATCATTCTGGGAACAAATTTCCTCTGGAGATTAGGCACTTATGACCAAAGGTTAATTGATGAGCACTCCACCCCCACACCAGATCTGGTTGGATCTACAGTATGCCTGCCAAAATTTATAATCACGTTTTCTGAAAATGGTATGACGTATACCTGGTGTCCCCCAAAAAACTGCACGCTGTTTGATTTCATGTAACGTAAAAGCTATCGAAATGAAATAATGATGATTGCATTCACAAAGGACTAATAAACTTAGATTTTGATATATAATGCTTGAATTTATATGCAATATTGAGCGAGACACACAAGGCATTTTTTAATACCACGGACTGGTGGGGCATTTGCCACACTGGGCCCCTTCCTCCGCCCCACCACTGATGAAAAAATGGCCTATTGCCCCAAAGTCAGGGCCCTAGGACCTGTGTTGAGTAAATGATTACAAATTTCACCATTAAAACTTTGTTTTGACAAGCTGAGATTTTTTTAAAATGTGTTTTCAGAATGCAGGAAATGCTACTGTTTTTCAGAGACTCCAATTTTAAAAAGTTCCCGGGAGGCATTTCCCCCAGACGCCCTAGCTAACTCGTGCTTTCGGTACTCGGCTCACACCTTCGGCGATTGTATACTACCCAGAATGGGCCCTTTGACAGTTTTGCCCCACCACTGAAGAATCCTTAAAAATGCACTGGTTCAGACCATAGTTAATAGAGGAGATGGTTTGGAAACTTATTAGCATTACAATAAACCTCATTATCTATGTTTTTGTTCAGGTTTATGCAAAAATGTGGTCTTTCATCGTCACGTGCGTATTGTATTTTTTCTCAACCAGCCAATAGCAACGGTTTTGTCCAATTGCCCATCCATGACTTTAACAGTAGGACATTTTGAACATTCCTATTGGTTGACTTTAGAAAAATACAATACGCACGTGACAATGAAAGACCACATTTTTGCATAAACCTGAACAACATAGATAATGTGATTTTATTGTGATTTTATTGTAATGCAAACGAGTTTCCAAACCATCTCCTCTATTAACTATGTTCAGACACAACCAAATAATAAGTATAACTAACATCCATAATTATAAGGTTGTTTTATGCTAATTTTTGGCATTTTCAAAAACTAGTGGTTCAACGTTCAAACATCAATAGCGCAGTCAATATTGCATGTAAATTCAAGTGCTATATATCAAAATTTAAGCTATTCTTTTTCTGGATGCAATGATCTTGATTTTATTGCTATAGCTTTTACGTTACACGAAATCAAACATTTTTTTGGGACACCCGGTACTGTACAGTAGATAAAAATGGTCATGATATACAGAAGATGGCAGATTCTAAATTAGCAGATGTATCTTTATGTTGTCCCAAGATAGTCACTTATCTGGAGTATGTATCATGGTGTATGGAAATACTTTGATATTTAATGATTTCTAGAGTGATCGTTTGGATGACCAACGATGCACTTTAACTCCAGCAATGTCTCAGGTACTGTAAGTGCATTCTTTGCAAGTCACGTTTTCTTCATATTTTGAAAATACCATGCATTTCCATACTAACATTCTCTACATTTATTGTGACATCCAGAACAGCGTGGATAGTGTTGAAGCTGGAAGGAAAAGTCCTGAAAAGAAGGAACCCATAGATGAGGTAGCGTATAGGATAAAATCTCGAACGGTGCGGGTGTAGGTCGTGATGATAGCAGACAGCTTCGGTGTGAAAGGATGTACAACTTCCTTTAACAAATCCTTCAAAGCAATCTTTAATCTTCCAACAGTTTGTTTTTAAGAAAAACTTTCCCAGAAATCCTGTCTGGATCAACAGAAATTTTATTTTCCAAAGTTTTGAAATGAAGGGACATGCAGAAATTCTCAACCAAAACAGGAGGTTAAATTTTAAAAATGTAAACAAAATTTCGACGTTTCGAGCGAAGGCCCTTCGTCGAGAAGTTAGTAAGCTCGAAACAGCGAAGTTCTGTCTATATTGTTAAGTTAGTTGTATGCTTTGCAGCACTGCTGTCAGCAGAGTTCGTTCAAAACTACAGTAGAAAGTCCTTGAATGTCCTTGAATTTGAAAACAAAAATTCAAGGCCTTGAATGTCCTGCAATTTGTAAAGAAGTGCTTACAGCTCACAGAAAAACAACAGTAGCTAATTTCTTCAACCTACAGGGTGCGAATTAAGAATTTTTCTGGCCTACAATTATTTTCAAAAATTCTAGGCCATTTAAGTTATACCAACATATTTCAATGTTGACCTATAAATGCATGATATTTTGCGATGAAAAGTATTTCGGACTGTATTTTGTTTTTGTGTTTCTTTCTTTCCCTATAAATTATGTGGCCAGCTCTTCGGCAAGGGATTCCCATGCAGTGTTTAATTTAAAACTGAATCAAAAGTTAGCCTACAAATTTTTCTGTGAAATTGTAGGCCGCCTTTTTGGCCTACAAAACTGCTTTTTCGTATGACAATCTGTCGTTTGTAGGCCGTTAATTCTCAGCCTGCATGAGGACATCCTAGAATACATTCTACATTTGTCCATTATAACCAAAGTTATATATTTAAGGTGCTGCTTGCTGGCAAGCCATACCCTCTGGTAGTACTTCCTGTGACAGGAGATTATTGGCAAGAGGGAACGAACCATGTCTGTGAGTTTGACAAGAGAGGAAAACATATTATCAAGAAAATAGATGAAGATGATCTGGTTATTGAAGATGATATGGGATATAGCGTTTATAAGAACTTCTTTAAGAAACAGGTATACGATATTTCATGTTAATTTACATTGCAAATTACATGTATTATGACACACCACTCTAGAAGAATATGCTTGACCATACATTTTCTGCTTTTCGAATAGCGTTTAGCGGAACTGTTACTCAGAATGCTTTAGACTTTGTTAAGTATCATTGTTAAATACTTACCGGTGTCCCAGCAGATTTGGACCCCCCTCAAAATGGACCCCCCGTCCAAATCCGCTAGCGAATATGGACCGGGGAGTCCATATCCGCTAGCGAATATGGACCTATGGGGGTCTTCACTCGCTAGCGGATTTGGACTCCCCTCGCGAATTTGGACCCCTCGCGTATTTTATCATTGCAACGTATTGTATTTTGAATATTGTACTGAAAGAGTTTTAAATCGTCATAAATCTCATCTGATTTATTTTAAAAACCGTACGAAGATTCTTAGATTAGAAAATTCCATCAAATCATAGATGTTTTGATTAAAGAATTCCGTCAAAGTTTATGATTTATAATTTTTCTGCTACATGGGTTTATTTCTATGATCTTGGAATGTGCGAGAAGCGCATGAAGCCTTCACAAGTATTTTACTCCTTGGAATTGCTATCCGCTCTGACGCTTAACTAATGAAATAAAAACGCAAAATGAAAATATATTTCAAATTATTTTTGCCTTAACATACCCATAACAAAGTGATGCATTCCATTCAACCCTAAACTTTTATAAAATTAGCATCTCAATAAATTGTTTTCGTCATTAAGCAAATTCCAAGATAGTTGAGTCATGCCAATAGTTATCATACATACCGTTACATCGCATGTTTAATACATTTGTTATTATATTGTTATTAGCTAATAAATGTTGTACAAACCTTTCGCAAATGCTCTTCTCATTTTGGGATTACTTTATTAATATCGTTAGACTTTTACGCAAAGCTGGTTATTTTGATCTCGAGAATACATATATTATCTATAATTTCATCATAGATAGACGACAACTACTCGTATAATTAATTCTTAAATCGAAAATTTCTTTTTGTGACTGATTTTAGGGGGTCCAATTCCGCGGAAGGGGGTACATATCAGCTAGCGGATGTGTACCATAGGGGTCCAAATTCGCTAGCGGATATGGACCGGGGGTCCATATCCGCGGGGAGTTCAAATCCGCTGTGACACCAGTATGTTAACATGTGGAGGTTGTTATATGCACAGCCATATTTTCAAATGTACAGTACTTTAAAGTGCATATGACATGAAATTTCTTATTTTCTTAAATGAAAGAACTCTTTAAGCTGTAGTGTAACTCATTTTTCAGTTTCTTGTTTTTATGGTTTGTTCCCAAGATATTTCAATTTGTTTGATATGTAAATGAGTGTGAATATGTCCGCTAATTTATGACGTCACCTTGGTTGCAAGCTCTTCAAAATGCTTGAATATCACTGCTATCATCCAAGATAATAATTTCAAACTTCGCTCACTGGTAAATGTGATGAAACACTGGAGAAAAACGTGAACTGATATCAACAGTTTTTAGAGTTAATACATTTATAACCAGTGTAAGTTGAGCTTGCAACTAACGTGACGTCATAAATCACACTCATTTACATATCACGCAAATTGAAATATCTCGGGAACAAACCATAAAAAAGAGAAACTGAAAAATATTATAAGTTACACTACAACTTAAAGAGTTCTTTCATTTAAGAAAATAAGAAATTTCATGTCATATGTACTTTAACAAGCAAATTTACTGCACTGTTCTACAACTATCCAGTTACGCATACGTCATAAAAAGCTGAAATAAACTTTATAAACGAAAGATAATGTAAAACGTAACAGAATAGCGAATATGTAGATTCGGCGATCTCAAATAATGGCAATGCTGGGATAGTAGCGTTGCGGACTGCAGAGAAGAGTGGGTAGTAAGGCTCCCTCATGCACCACCTCATGGAAAACCTGCACCCATCGTTGCAGATGAGGCTAGATCCGCCCCTCTTAAAACGTCTTAGGCCAGGGTCAAACGTCGAACTTTTCATGCGCCGAACCTAATGTTAATGAGCTAAGTTCTTCATTTGCATTAGGTTCGGCACATGAAAAGTTCGACGTTTGACCCTGGCCTTAACCACTGTCGAATGACACCTTTATGGAATCATTGCGATAAAAAATGACCAAATACTGTACGGTCTGATTTAAGTGGTCGGTTGAAATTGTAATGTTCCACTTTTAGGATTTAAATGTTCTTCCACTTTTCGAACATTTGCCCAAATGCTTGCTGCCCATTTGGGAAACGTATGGCATTGCGAGTTCAATCTACAAGCTTCCAGTTCTGTAAAATGTTTTTATCACTCAATCAAAAACTTGTTGGTTTCGCATGCGTTGCGCCATTTTGATCCAAGCGACTCAAATTTGAATCCCAAATGAGAATAATTTCAACACTCAGTCACAATTGGTCATTCCGAAGTTGATGAGAGGACTGGGGACGAGTGTTAAAAAGTGCCCAAATTAAGAAATGAACCAAATCACTAAAAAGATCACCTCAAAATTAGTAAGTATACAAAGTTTGATCATGAAGACGTTTACATGAATACCCTTCAAATAATAAGCTTTCGAAAATTGCGATATTTACTGTGAAATGCACTGTAATTTTTGTTTTGGGGCACGCGCGTCCCAAAAACAATCTTTTAATCAGTAATTTCACAATTTTCGAAAGCTTATTATTCGAAGGGTATTCATGTAAACGTCTTCAAACTTTGCATACTTACTCATTTTGAGGTGATCTTTTTAGTGATATTTTGGTTCATTTCTTAATTTGGGCACTTTTTAACACTCGTCCCCAGTCCACTCATCAACTTCGGAATGGCTAATAGAGCGTTTGCACTCATTCCCCAGGGTGGTGTTCCAGACAAAAGAGCCTAATTAAAATTATTTTGAATTGGAACACCAACATGGCGGCTGTGATGTCATGTGCAAACGCTCTATAGCTTTACATGCAATTCCCAACGGTGGAAAAATGCGATTTCGAGCGGCATTTTTAAATCGCATCGTATTTGGCTATTTTTGATCGCAATGATACAAGAAAGGTATTATTTGACAGCTAAAAGCCCGATCTTTATTGGTATGAAAAATGTAAATGGTTAAACGCAATATATAACTCACAATAACATGCCAAGGATGGATTACCTTTTTTATATATCAAACCGCATATTAGGAATTGAACCCACCGTTCGAGATTGTATCAGAATGGTGAAAAGCATATGCCATATATAGACAGTGCTTATACCGCTGTTGCAAAAACACCCAGTAAAAATAAAATAAAATCCAATTGCAAAACTGATCACTAATTTTCTACATATTGTTATTGTTTTAGGAGCATTTGAACTTTACGGCGTACACCTCCCTAGGATCACTTCTGCTTTCACTGAAGTTTGAAGAAAATTGCGCTGGAAATGGTGAGAAGGATGGTGACATTGTGAGGATTATTCTCAGGTACTGTATATAGTATCTGTTTGAATAATATTAGCCAAGCATCTGCCAGCAATGTATGGCAAGTTTAAAATAATTTCCCCTGGCCCTATCCACTTGACAGCTGAACTCTCTAGCTGTACGATCACTGGACCGAAGATATAGTTTAACTGCACAAATATTGTTATTTTCTTCAGGTCATCGGATAGAACAATCCAAGGTGCGATATCAAGCAAGGAACTGCCTCCTTGCCCCGGACCCAGAGATATTGTTAAAGTAAGTTCTCTTCTTGTGTGTTACAAATTTGGTTGTGCTCATATACTGTATAGGTTATATTGGTGAACCTTCAAATAATTTCATTGTCTTTAGCAATTTGTACCTGATCTTTTGGAAGACTTCAGTGAGCTACACTTTCAACCTGCCATATATCCAAAGGTTTGTCAACTAAACCTAAATAATTATATTTATACTGAATAAGTCTCATTCTTTTCTGAACTGTTTCACTGTAATCACTGTAGTTGTTCAGTCGGATCCACCCCTCATTGATCCAGTGCTACTGAAGATGTGTGCAAGATAGAAAGAGTTTCAATCTCAATTCAGTTATTGCACTCGTTTGTCTTATTCTAGGCATACAGGATGTCCCAAAAAAACCAAACTGTTCAAATAACGCATTGTTAGAATTTGAATGCCTGAGCACTCAATAGTATAGTTCCAATGTTATCAAAGAATGCTCGGGTGTGAAGAAAATATCTTGCATCTAAAACAATCGGTGGCAGTAAAAATAGGAAGAAAGTTCGTGAATTGAAATTTGAGATTGTCGCCACGCTTTTGGAATTAGCAGCAAAAAAGTGCATAAAAGCTTGATATAAGTAAATTTTATGCATAAACTGTTTAAGAAGCTGCTTTAAATTCCCAAGAGCAGTGCGCTTTACAAAAATATTTTAATTTGTAAATAAGTCAATATTTATAATATATGCACGCTGTCAGTATTTTACGCATCTTTGCGTTCAGCTTAGTGCTAAGGCATTCAAATTCTAACAATACGTTATTTTAATAATTTGTGTTTTTTTTTGGGACACCCTATATAACGATATGACAATTTTTTGTTTTTCTTAATTAGGCATCATCCCTCATTAGTCGCTTTGATGAACATGGTCATGCAGAGAAATTTAAAGTTGGAGTGATCTATCAGAAGTCACAACAGGTATATAGACCATTGATTTACATTGGTTCATAATTCAGCACAGCTTAAATCATATTGTATACCATTCCATTCTATTCCAGCTTATGAATTATTAATGATAATAATTCATATTTAGGCAAAAAAAAATATGCGGGTTTCCGGTTTCCCGACCCTACCTACAGCTTTTGGACGTCGAAATCCCGACCCTAAACTTTTTTATTGGATCATGCTTGTAAGTGTTTCCACTTAGAGGAAAAAGTTTGTGGAAAATTGAAATTTGAGGCAATATTAGGGAAATTTATCTTTGGATGTGGAAGCACTGACTAAACAAAATGGCGTCCGGTTGTTAGGAAAATAAAATTTTTTAAAAAAAAAGTTTAAAAAAAAAGAAGTTAAAACCGACCTACGTCACCTACCCTACCTAAGTTTTTATAAGAAGAAACTGGAAACCCACATATTTGTTTTTGGCCTAAGCTGAAATAGAATAGAATAGAATAGAATGGAATACCATACAATAAAGTGGAATAGAATGATATAAAATAGATTGGAATAGAATGGGATAGAATGGAACGAAATAGAGTAATCTAATGGACAGAATGAAATAAAATAGATTGGAATGGAAAGAATACATAAGGATAGAATGGAATGGGATAGAATGGAATTAAATGAATAGAATGAAAAGGAATTGGAATAGAATAAAATGGAATAGAATAGATTGGAATAGAATAAATAGAGTGAAATAGAAGAATGGAATAGAATATAAAAAATAGAATGAATAAAAATAAAATGGAAAGAATAGGAACATAATAGAATAAGAATAGAATAGAACTAAAATAGAAAGAATAAGAGTAGAATATAATAAAAATAAAATATAAAGAATAAGAATAGAATAGAACAGAATAGAATAGAATGAGAATGAAACAAAATAGAATAGAAAGGAACAGAATGACACGGAAGAGATTAGAATATGAATAGAAATATAATTATGAAAAAAATATTGGTGGAATAGAATATAATGGAATCGAATAGGTAAGAACGTACTTAAAAGTGTATGTCGTCTATTGATATTTGCAGACAAGCGAAGGACAACTCTTTAGCAATAAATCTCACAGTAAGGCCATGCATGACTTTCTCCAGATCTTGGGAGAGGAAGTCGACCTGTTAGGTTTTAAAGGGTAAGTTATGTTATGTTTATATAACATTTTCCAGCCATATGTATGGGATTGCATTATGTCAATTTGACTGCAATGATTTGTGGTATTTTGTCATGGTACTGTACATATATATTCAGGGTAATTCAGGGTGTTAGCCAGAAGAAAACAAAATTCGGCAATTTACAATGAAATTGGGAAATTCGGTTGGCCCGTGAAATTGTCACCTAGTAAGAGTCATTCTTAACTCGGGCAGATGAGCAAGATTAGGCGTGCTAAGTTGCAAATCCTCGCAACACAGATCTGGTTTCCAATTCGTCTGGAGCAAAATGTTGACGTTGAACAATCTTACTGTATATGATGGGAAATTGCTAGCTAAACATAATTGGGAAAACGGCGTACATAACGCCGAACTTTTTACTGTAGCTATTAAACACCCTGACATTGTGTTGTCGTTTGTTTTCAGGTACAATGGAGGCTTGGACACGAAGAATCAACAGACTGGTCGGAAGTCTGTTTACACAACATATAAAGGAAGGTACTGATATTACGGCGCCCAAACCAAGTTAGGCATCATTTTATACTCGCTGCGTGAGCTTATTAGTTTGTTCGGAATCATAGCCTTGGTATTTTTTAATAAATACCATGTCTTCGCGTGTAGTGTTTCCAGTTTGACTCTACCAAACAGCACAGATTTCCTCCGGTATAAATATTTTAAAAAATTAGACATTGTGGTTTTTGGTTTGGTGTACATTCATACAGTAACATTGTATAATTATAGGGAGATTATGTTTCACGTTTCCACATTGTTGCCATATACCAATGGTGACGCACAGCAAGTAAGTCGTGGAATAAACCATTGTAGGTATTTTGAACGATGAGGGTCGTGGAAGCCCCTGGAAGGTTGAATGATTTCAGAAATTATTGGAGAGGGAATTGTTCCAACTGCCCCACCCCCAGTGTCCACTACTGATTAATACAATATCCCATGGTTTGTGTCTGAACATTTGACATATCTCATCCGACGAAAACAATGACGTCTGTTCCGACGAAATCAATGACAGTTTCGAGCTGAATTTTGGCTAACGTGTTTTATTTGGATTCTTTGAATGGTAGCTGGACGACTGTGTAAAAAAGCTGTAACAATAATTTTTCAACCATGAAAGCATTGGGGGGCTATACATTATAAGCTAGATATTGCATGAAATTTAAGCAAACGTTTTAAAGAACTAAGATTCCCAGCTACAAAAGGTGGTCATAATATATAATATGTTGACAACTTATGTAAGTCCCAATATTTTGCAAAATTTCCGCCACTGATTGTAATCGACTGACTGAAAGTTAAATTCTTCTTTTCTCTAGTTACAAAGGAAACGACATATTGGCAACGATATCATTGCGATTATTTTCCAAGTAAGACTTTTCTCTTCACGGCGTCAAGACTTTTCTCTTCACATCTCTTCATAGAGCACCAAAATAAGACTAAAAGTTTAAGATCGTATAGGGATTTAATTTCACAAATCGTTAGATGCTAACATACGTTTTGTTGACATCTTCCCAGGATGAAAACACGCCATTTTGTCCGTCGTCCATTCGCTCAAGTTTTCTTCACATTTTCATTGTCGTTCAAGTAGAAGAAGCGTATTCGAAGAACACAAGATATAAGGTACTTAAATATAATGTCCTAACTCGCGTTGGACTAGTGTTGTATGTACAGTAGCTCTCCAGGAAGAATAGATAGTGAATTTTAAAATTGATCTTTACAATTGTGTTATTGATGGAAATACCGTATTGTATGATTATAAAACACTCAATTTTCGGGCTAGCATTGCTAGCATTCACAGGGCTGCAAATTACTGTCGGTCATCGGAGAATGTCCGACTAAATTTGGCAAATGTCCGAGCAAAAGTAATTTTGATCGGACATTGGTCCGATCACAAAAAAATTGTCACATACATTTTTTTGCTGTGACAAAATCCGATTGCAAATTCACTCAATTTGCATTTTGCAATAAAATTTACGAGGCAGACATATATCGATGCTGTTTCAACTTGCTATCAGGATGTGTTCGCACTGCTTGTTCCTAGTTTGTAGACAAGTTGCCAACGGCTTGTTCACAACTTGCTACAAGGTTGTTGACTAAACTAACAATGACTCGTCCAGCCAACTTGATAACAAGTTGTAAGTGACAATTAACCTTGTAGCAGCTTACAGTAATAAGATTACAACGTTACAGTTCTTACAAGCTTGCTACAAGTCTGTTGCGAACACATCATGTTGGCAAGATGTCAGATTTTACGTGAGCAAAGTTAATTCTTTTTTCAATTCAAGTCGATGTTTTCTTTTTGCCTTTCAGATAACTGTAACTTCCAAAGAAGATGTGCCAGAGTTTGGACCCAGTCTGCCTAACCCAGCTGTTTTCTCAAAAGTATGTACAGTAGTATGCATAGAGCACATGCATGGTATTTATGGTTGGCTTTTAGACAAATTAGCGAGCTTAAGATCTACAACGCGAACTTACGACGCGGACGTCGCATTAAACAAGTTTTATTTTAAAACGATGGCAAATACCATTAAAATATTTTTATCACAGTAAATAAAATGAAATTATACTGGAAAAAATGTACAACATAACAGAGGCTAGCAATATATTAAGAAGATATTTTTTATCATAAGTTTTTACGACTTCTATGACGGCGAATCTTTGCAAATATCACGTCGTCTCGGATGGTAGTTTTGGCGGGAAAATGTGCATTCGTAACAATAGTCTATAAAGCGTGGTTTCTATCATTTCGTATGGCTGTTAACGTGTCATAACAGTGTCACAAATCTCGCAGAAAAAAATTGTGGCAACTCTGACTAGGCTTACACTCGAAAACTAGGCTTAGCTAAGCACGTCCGCGTCGTAAATTCGCGTTGTAGATCTTAAGCTCCCTAATGTAAGACGGCAAAACGCAGGTCTGTGATCAGGCCATAGATTCCTGTTGTTTGAGTATAATTTTGACGTATCCGAGTGTTTTCAGTATGACATTACCAGACACAGTTCAGTTTTCCCGTATGCCATTGTATTAATGAAGAAGTTTTGAAAGTCCCGACGTCCAGTATTGTTAATATTTTTCTCTTTGACTTTTCATTTGGTAGAATGATCCACATTTACGAGATTTTCTGTTGATTAAATTGTTGAATGCCGAACTGGCTGCTTTCAAAGCAAAGCAATTTTCAACATTAATGGTAAGCAATTATGGCTATCAATTTAAATACGGTACTACAGTAATGTCCAGTTAATTATATAATTCAATTCACTTTCAAACAGGATTTTTCAAGAGGTTTACTTTATTTTTAACAACGTTTCGGACAGTTTTACTGTCCGTCTTCAGGTTATTACAACTTTGTAATAACCTGAAGTTGTAATAACCTAAAGACGGACAGTAAAACTGTCCGAAACGTTGTTAAAAATAAAGTAAACCTCTTGAAAAATCCTGTTTGAAAGTGAATTGAATTATATAATTAATGATGACCAGAGGTGAAAGTTTTAGAAAAATAAGTAATGTCCAGGGTTTAAAATAAATCATTTAGGTATATTTGTAGGCCGTTTGGTTCGTGTACCTTTTTTGTACTGGCGAATTTTTTTCAGGCTCTGATAAGTCGAACATGAAATGATTACGCTGAAAATACCAACATGTACAAAAACTGCAACAAAATAGAATACTCATGCAACAACAGTCTTTTTTAAATAGAAAAAAAAATCGAGACTGTATCAGACAATATTATTGAGTCAAGAAATATTGTATAGAGACTTCTATGCCTATGGAGCTTCGGTGATTGTGGGTTCGATGCGCGCTGCGGACTCATGACGCTTTTGTGAAAAGAGTCCGTCAACGCTCTATAGAAAGCCGTGGGTTTCCTCTGGGTACTTTAGTATAACTACCAGTCTAACTACACTCTACAGTATATGACCGTAGAAATGCCTTAACAACTAAACTCTTCGATGAAATAACTTCTGATGAAAAGAATAAGTTGCATTCCCTATTACCAGAGCCCAATATCTGTGATGTTAACCTAAGACAAAAGCAAAATTTCAACCTGCCATTATGCAAAACAAACAGACTTAAATTTTTTTTATATAGCAATATAGTAAATAGACTATTTTAGTGATTTTAGATACAGATATTAATATTAATAATTAAAATTTTACAAAATTTTAAATTGTAAAGTATTACTTAATTCAGCTATCTTGCTGTAAAAGTAAATACTAATAAAACTATCTATCTCGATTTGTCTAGCATATGTGATTAACTGCATATATACTGTACGTATTTTTAAACAGTGGCTGCATTTAATAAAATCGTATTGTGATTGCACTCGCAGCGAGCTTATTCTTCTGATGAGTGAAAAAGAGCTAAAATAAAGCATTGCGTTTTGATCTTTTCTGCAGGAGAGGACGCGAAAGTTGTTATTTGAAGATCTCGTGTCAACGCTATCAAAGAAAAGCCAAGAAATGCTTTCGCCCGGTGATGTAAGTTTGAGCTAAACTAGATTTCCATAATCAATCCTGTACACCTTAAATGGTAGCTATGCCTAACCCTAACAAAATTCCGGAAAATCCAACCACCTTCCATTTAAGCAAGAAAAACATTAGGAATTAATTTCCACTGAGTAACTCGGTGTGTTACAGTATTTCCAAACGAGTGCATGGTTTGCTCTCAATAGTTGAAATCACTGCATTACCCCAGTGAGCTCTATATATACTGGAACGGTAACTCCAGGTAAACGGCTCTATGATTGGGTGAAGTCAAGATGGCGGCCGATAGAGTGATCTCTTGTAGGTATAAAACACGCGGGTATTTCGCGTGGGCTTTGCGGGAGCTGAAAAATGACCAAGGTTTTTCCGATCTATGTTTTTCAATTTTTGCACGTAAATGTCCATTTTGAGTGGTAAATACTCTACTTAAAAACTAATAACTAAACAAAAAGGTACGATTGATGCAACTGTTTGCACGTAAATGTCCATTTTGAGTGGTAAATACTCTACTTAGGGCCTGTTCATATGATCCCGCTTACCGGGACGTCTCGCTTACCGAGACGATTATTTCCGTGCGTTCATATGGAGTATTTCGTCCCGCTTGCCGAGATGAAATTACATTGTAGTTCTATAATTAGCGTATGCAAAACTTCTACATTTCAGTCAAGCAACACAAATACTTGGCGATTTTAGTGTTTTTCTTCGTTTATTTACAAGAAAAAGTATTGCTTCAGGTGGTTATTTGATACTTGTTTACAAAACAAACATAAAACCAAGTAAAAAGTGTTAAATTAAACCGGCAAGACTTGTTTCACTTCATCCCGGTAAGCGGGCTGGCGTGTTCATATGGAAAAATTTTCATCCCGCCTACCTATGATCTCGGCAAATTCAAACGAGATCTCGGCAAGCGGGCCAGCTCGCTTTCTCATATGAACACAATGCAAAATTTTATAGGAAAATAGATAGGCGGCGAGATCATCGGTAAGCGAGACGTCCCGGTAAGCGGGATCATATGAACAGGCCCTTAAAAGCTAAAAACTAAACGAAAAGGTACGATTGATGCAGTTCATATTATTTTGTGTTTAGTTCAAATCCCTCATAGATAGTCCAGAAAAACAAAGATTTGCTGGTGTTTGTCTGTGGGGTTTTTTTCTGAACATGTTTTTCACTCGTGAAATAATCAAGTGTTTCTAAAATTTACTTATTGTGAAAGACCAGTTGTTCTAATTTCTTAGGGTTATGGTAAAGTTGGACTTAAAAAATAGTTGGCCGAAAAAATAAGAAATTTTTACATGAAATGATGCGGGTGAATTTCCGCGTAGAAGCCAAAAGGGCATACTTTATACAGGACGGCCTTCAGTTTCCGCCATCTGTGGCTTCAAAAACACAGCCAAAGTTGTCGTTCTAGTTTTTAAAGAGATTACCCTGAATCCAAGTGTCTGGTAGTCTGTGGACCTTCCAGCCCTTGCATATACTGTATAACTGTTTCCCGGGTAGGTTATGTTACTGAACTCTAGGTAGTAAGACACCAAAGTTTAGTGAAATATCAGCTATTGCTTTTTTGCATAAATTCGAATTGCATTCACAACCCAACATTTCGACACTCCAGTCTAGTGTCTTCATCAGAGGTGCTTCATGAAGACTGGACTGTAGAAACGTTGGGTCGTGAATGCAATGGACTTATTACCTAATGAACAAAATTTGGATGTAGACAAGACTAGACAAACATTTCAACACGGCTTGAAAGAGCATCACAAAATTAGTAATATTCCGAAGTTTCGTTGCGAAATGCTGTAAAATGCAGATAATATAGCCCTGCGAAGTTTGCCGTTTTTCAGTCATTTTGTATTACGCACGGGAATAAAATTTTAGCGTGAAAAAGCCGTGATAAAATTTTAGTCTAGACTTATCTAGATCAAGATTTTGTTCATTAGGGAATAGGTCCATTCGACTGGGCTTTGCATTCATTTACTACGTTTATATGTTTAGGGTGTAGGCGGTGGTCAATCCAAAGGAAGGATTCTGCATTCGTTACGAAATGCTTTTAGGTCAGAATCTTTAAGAGGAGAGTCTTTAGATCGTGACGTCACTGCGCAAAGATCAAAATCACTGGAAAATCTCGCGCATGACGATGAACTGGACAAAACAAAGAAAAAAAGACCTCACACTCACGGTTATATCAAGAGATATTCTGTGAGCGGCGACAGAACAAGACGGGCGTAAGTATATACAAATAGCAATCTTATGATTTTAGAAGGATTCCTGTTGTCTGTGCCTTCAATTTCCTATTGTAAAACTAATAATAAAAAAAAGGAAAAAAAAGTAAACCTTCGATGTTTCGAGCCCTTTGACGGATTTTCCGACGAAGCCGAATTGGAGGATTTGAAATGATACCTCATACGAATAAGTCTCTCTTTCCTTGTCATGTAGTATCGAACTATCGATCCACTATAGTGTACATTACATGACGTAGCACGGAGGGCGGAGCGAGAAAGAGAGACTTGTCAACTTCGGAAAATCTCGATTCAAAACTGAACCGAAAATGCAAGACTTGCTTTAATTGTTTTCATTCAATTTCTTTCTGTATTATTTGCTATTATGGAACTCATGTTATTTACACTGTGCTAGATCAATACATATAAACACTGACAGAAAACAATTAAAGCAAGTCTTGCATTTTCGGTTCAGTTTTGAACCGAGATTTTCCGAAGTTGACAAGTCTCTCTTTCTCGCTCCGCCCCTTCGTGCTAGGTCATGTAATGTACACTATAGTGGATCGACACTATATGACAATGAAAGAGAGACTTGGAGCAAGTCTAAGGCTAAGTACAAGTAACATAAATAATCGTAATACTTGATGTAATCGGTCACTGAAAAGCCCCAATGTGGAGTGAGCTGAATAATAATGTAATGTAGTGTAATGAGCAAAGTAAAGCAATATGGTCTCCGCAGTACCCGCATTTCCCCAGCCATGTGCACAACTAATACATCGAATGAAAAGAAAAAACATTTTCACATTCTCATGTTGTAACTGCCGATTTTTCAGCCCCACTATACATGTAGTCCTCATAGCAAACTCTGAGTAATATTTTCAACATTTCATTATGCTTTTTCAGTTTTCGTCCAAAAGCTAAAACAATGTTTCACGCTCCGCCATTGAGCGCCGTCGACACGGCCGAAGCGAGAGAACATATGATATCGACACAACCAGGAGCCAATGATGGTGACGTCAGTCCCACATTTAGTCGTCGTGATGAATCTCCATCCGGGTCCTTTCACATCCTGGATACTGATCAGGCGAAGTCTGCGTCATTAATGAGGGCGAAGAGTCTGGAGTCTGGAGAAACTAAGGAACCTCTTTCGCCTGACAAGGTATGATCCTATATTTTTCCAGTGTTAATAGAAGAGGAAGCCTACGTAAACTGAACTAACTCTACTTACATGTATACTGAATTCTGTAGCTCTATCAGTTCTAAACTGTAATTCTTCGTAGAGTTCCAGCAAGGACCATCCCTTATTTTTTATCCACTATTCAATTTGGTACAAGACTACAAGAGGGAATCAAGCTGAACTGACTTTATTTATACTGGATAGCTTTATCAGTTCTAAACTGTTATGTCTAGAGGCTCTTATTTATCTATAACTGTATATTGCAGGAGTCGAGCCCGGATCAAAGAGCTAATATGCATGCACATGCACTAACAAGTAACAACTGTGCCACTTATCGAAGTGTAAGTCCCTTTTAATTACAACTTGCGTTTTTTTTTTTTTTCACAGTTTCGGGAAGACGAAACGACAACACATAGAAAAGTCAACGGTCTCATTCCATCGCCAAGAAACAGGAAGAAAGTTAATTTTGGTTCATTAGACCGAAATTCTCCTGCTTCGGCCAGAAGGGTAATTATTTGTTCCACGAGTTTTTCTGCAGTGTTTCAAACTTTTGGTGGTCCAACGTATGGTAGTGTAGTATTCAACAATAGGCAGAGCTCTAGGAAGATATGGTAGGGGGAGGGGGGGGGGCTTGTCATCGAGCTTCGTTATGGCTCAGGGTGTAATCACCAGAGTGAGAATGAAAACACTAAGGCGTAATCACGAGAGAGAGCTGTAGTGCGGCGGCCAGTCTGCCCTGACAATATCGCCAACTGCTGTTACTTGCCGCCTCCATAATTTTGAAAAACTTATGAAAGTCTGGTACCAAATATGACAACTCACAAGCATTTTTTAGGAGGAAGTGGTAAGCATGCATTCACACCCATATAACGTAATTGTCATATTAAATAATGATTATTAAATAAAACTTAAGCTAAAGTTAACAATATAGCAGCAATATACGATTCTGTACAATGCATGCCAATGATGCCAGAACATACGCATTTTATACAATCTGTTTTGTTCTGTGTAGGATTCCTTACAGCTCTACTGATAAAAATTTTAAACAACTAGAGTTGATAGTTATAACTGTTCATTAAACAGCAACGCTTATAGACACGATTAATTGAGTATCTTAGAAAAAGTACTGTATCTAATGTCAGTCGAATGGCACAACTCGGGACTCTATTCATTTCATCAAGTGACCCATGTTCTGAAAGATTCGCATAACTTAGAGCCTTAAACGGACACCAAAACCCCTTTGGCATACATGTTGAAAATTTCGCGCCCCCTCCCCCAATATTTCGTGAATTAAGTGTCCGCTTCTACACTTTGCGTACATATACTTTTTAAATCGCATCTTGAGAACCTAACTTTTCATACATACATCTTCATTCGATTTCGACAGGGTGGACCCAGCTCAACAGATGTACCCTTCATAGAGAATAAAGTTGGTAAAGGTATGTAATAGACCATGACTGTCTTAAATGTCATGCAATACAGGGTGTATAAAAAAAAACTGAACAGATTTGAAATTGCTCTCAATTTCGAAAAACAGCTATTAGTATCAAGTTTTTGATGCATATAGCTTCCTTGGGTACTTATAATGTAGAATAATGAAAAAAATTTCTCGAACTCAAATTTTGCGAACCAGGAGGGGGTGTCTTTTCCAACAAAATAAAAATGGCTTGCGCGCGAAATTTAAAAGCTTTAATCATATTTTGAGTTGATAGATAGAACATTTGTTAGGTTTTTAATTACTGTACAAAATTTCAGACAATTTGCTTTAGTTTAAGCCCTTTAACTATTTATTTGTTTCGACAAAATCAGCCTTTCGCATGCTTAATTATGCCTTTACCTAATTTGCATATTGCTGACATATGTAAATTAGGCAAAGGCATTAATTAAGCATGCAAATAGCTGATTTTTTTAGAGGGAAATGTAAGTTTACGTGAGTAGTTAAAGGGCTTGGACTAATGCAAATTGTCTGAAATTTTGTGCAGTAATTAAAAACCCTACACATTTTCCATCTATTAACTCAAAATATGATTAAAGCTTTTAAATTTCGTGCGCAAGCCATTTTTATTTTGTTGGAAAAGACATCCCCCCCCTGGTTCACAAAATTTGACTTCGGAAATTTGTTTCATTATTCTATACTATAAGTACCCAAATAAGCTATATACATCAAAAGCTGGATACTAATAGCTGTTTTGCGAAATTGAGAGCACATTCATAGCTGTTCAGTTTTTTTTTTTATACACTCTGTATTTAACAATTATACCATGAGCTCGAGTCGTATATGAGCTGATAGCCGACGAGGTGCATAGCACACAGTCGGCTATGAGCCGTATACGACGAGAGCGAATGGTATAATTGTTTTATAATATAGTCTAATAGCCATTAACTGAAGCAATAATTAACAATCCTCTGTTACATTGTCTTGACAATTTGTTCGGCCAAAAACCGCTTGGCCTTGAAAATTTGAAATACTTTTGTTTTACAACTCGAAGACGAAGTGAAAGAAATGGTTTTAGAACCGGTATATCTCACATAAAAGCTCAGATATATTATACAGATGTTTGGTAGTATAGTAAGTGCTTGTTGACTGCAAATTCATTTGTTTTTCGTGGCAAACTTTTCTGAACAATTTATATTCTCAATGACAATGGACAATGAACATGTTTTTTTCGCTGTTGTTTCGGTATTAATTCTTAAAAAAACTTGTTTTTAAACTAATTTCTATGTAATAAATGTATTTTGCTAACCTGTCAAATTTTTTTGAGAGTTTTTCCTTGTACTATTATCTTTCTCGAAGCGAATATTTTCCTTTTTTCTGCTTCGCAAAACTCATGTAGTTTTTGGACCGCCATCTTGTTTTTCGCTACTCGCCGTATATGAGCTGATAAACGGCGAGTAATTCAACCAATCAGATTGCAGAACAGCTCATATACGGTGAATGACTATATTATAAATATATATAGCTTATCTTAGAGGCTGTTCATATGGAGCTGGGCGGGCCAGGTTACCCGAGATGATACATTTAATAAAGCTTTTATCACAGCTTTGATAAACATCCAAAATTATATTTCGAAGTTGAATTAGCTTAGTTTGATTGCAGTAACAGTATAAAGTTCATTCAAACGATCTTTTATGGTCAGGAAAAACTTTCGTGACACGATTCATTCTGGCTAATTGGGCTGGCCTGGCTTAGACGAACAGCCCCTATACATGCAGCATACCGATGCTTTCATGGTTGAAAAAATATTGTTACAGCAATTTGCTACATTACTTACGTGGTTATTCAGCTATCATTGTAAGGCGTTCAGAAATTATTGGGAGGAGGCGATTGCCCCTCAGGCCAACCTACAATGTGCGCCACTGCTGCATCACCCTTGATCTGAAAGCCTTATTATTGCATGAGAGATCTTGCAATTTTTATCTTCTAAAGAAATATCAAGGCCCCTTCCCCCTTTGAATGTCACGTAAAGATATTTTTCTGCAGTTCGTCAGTATGTGGTTGGAACAAAAGATTCTTTATTTTGCATAGTTGAGGAGGATGGAAATTTGATAGCGCAATTGAGAGGAGATCTCTATAGACTGGCTGGTGAGAAGGCCAGATTACAACGAGAAAATGACGTAAGATTAATAGAGTATAGATTTAAATTAAAGCCTGGTTTGACTCTATAATAATGTATATAAATAATTTTTACTCTCATATTTAGAGGCTACGTGACGACGTAAAAAGCATCAGAGAAGCGATGACCAAGCAAGCCCAAGATCTCTGTGAGTCTCAGAATAAACTCAATTCACTGCTGGCCGATAATAAACTGCCTGCAAGTTCTGTATGACACATAAAGGACTACGAATATACACCCTATATTTGCATTCCATATATATGTAGGTGGGTTTGACTAAACATTATCGTACAATGGTGGTTAATCGTCAGTTGTCAGCGCCAGGTTCGCCGAGGGGGAGGGAGGGCATTTTCCCCCTGGTCACACTTTAAGCTAAAAAAGACGAAGAATGAGCCAACTCATGCCATTGCTAAGTGAAATACACCAAAATAATTGTGAAGAATATTGAAATGAGTTCAAATCACTGCTGAATCTTTTGGGCAACAAGCCAAACTAAGCTGTAAATCGCACTATAATAGATACGGCACATATTTAGTCATAATCAGCGTGGCCCTCGTTTAAAGCGGAAAAAATAAACCGCTATTCCGCTTCAACGAGGTTCTGCTACGCAGGTTAATTTAATCAGGGTGCAGTGCATGCATGTATACAGTAATTTAGGGGTGCATCGGATAGAGTATTTTACTATTCGTCGGCTACCGAATATACCGGTTATTTGAAAATATCTACCGGATGTTGGTTATATAAGATTCAGGGTTAAATAATTTCATTGGTCATAAAGTGATGGTGTTTATCATATATTGACTTGAAATAATAGGAACGAACTTCACAGCCCAACAGCGCGATAAACATATGCATGGTTGGAAAAGCGAAAAATCTTGAAAACATTGCCAGTTCCTCTACGATCATTTCAAGCAAAACCATATTTGCAAACCATATTGCATCATTTTTAACCTGAAAAGAATGCCTGAACCTTCAATAAACAATATCCGGTATACCGGATAATGAGGTCTCACTATCTGGCCGAATATGAAAGCTGGTCCATTCCTATAGTATACATACATGCATGTATACACGCGTAACAAATTGAGAAAATCAACAACTTGTTCCAGGTTGATATCAACAGGCGTGAACAAGGTTGTGCGGTCCACTCCGGAACAGTATTGTCAACATGTTGTTACAGCATTGTTAGCTGTAACAATTTGGAACAACATGGTTGACAACTTGTTCGTAGTTGGCCGCACAACATTGTTCACGCCTGTCGATATCAACTTGGAACAACCTGTGCGTTTTTAGCCGTGTATGAAATCGCACACGGAGATTTTTATAGACCTATTATGTCCAAGAAAGATTGTTTTGAAGACATTACCATGCACATCAATGAATTGGTAGACGGGTAATAATTACTCCATATTCGAACTAATCAATATTTATAGTATATATATATTATTAATTCTTACGCATGCGCGGCAAATATAAATATTGGATTTGGACACTAGAAATAGCAAGAAATAGCTTTATAAATTGTAGAGGTTATATTAGTCTTAAATGCAATGTATTTTTAATGGTGTGTAATTGGAATTATATATACCGAAATCCTAATGTAATGAGTAATGTATACTTTGGGGAGTTTTGGAGTCGAGGAGTTCAGTGTATTAAGGTTAGTAGCAGATTTTAGTGAACAAAACTTAACTTACTAACTCTAATAATTTACACTGGTTTGCTCATATATCAGTCGAGTTCGAAATTTGTTTCCCAACGGACGTCCAGTAAGGTCCATTCCTTTTGGTCTAGTGTTATAACAGGAGGAAATATTACGCTAATGAAGCAGAAGCAACCATAGTCAAATGTACAATCCAAGCGCGAAGAGTATGATGGGAATGAGATATTTTATGGGGTGAAATGTATCACTGTGCCGGATATAGCTTTCCGATTCGACGTGAAAAAAAACAGCTAAGTCCTTCCTGACCGTACCTTTTAGGAACGCTATTTTCAGAGGAATTATTGCGACGGAGATCAGCTCAGCTTCTGAAAGTTGTGCATTCCTTATCGGATAGGTTCTTTTTCTCGCCGCTACGGGAAGCTATCCGGAATAATGGTGAAGGTAGCCTAAATCCACCGCTTGATATAGCAAAAAGTACCATATACGAGTACGGTTCTCATGCTTACAACACACAGATACAAATGGAGTACTATTTTGTTGACAGAAATAAAAAGGAAGCTATTTACATACAATATCAACCGTTTGCATGCAGTGCCGTAGCAAGCTCGATAATAGAGACCTTATACGTTTTTGGGACGGCAACGGCTACCAATACAATAAATCATTGAAAAGAATTAAAAAATTACAATATATGAATAATTTAGACATTGTCCAATTCGCTCTGTTTACAACGCCAAATCACACATTTTCACGTCTTGATACAACGGCTGCATTTCAAGCCGCAATAAGTGCAACTGCAAACTGGGTTCAGCAGAACTCTTCCCAACCATAAACCTATGTCTTCAACTTCTAAGACTGTATTAAATTCATACGATTGATAATATACGACGAATTATCTTTACTATACCATTTATTTGAAGGAGTTTGTTTTGGCCGTCGTCGTCGCGTTGCCGTCCTAAAATCGTGTTCCAATTCACAGACCATATAAAAACAATCGATTTCAAAAGAAATTATTAAATAACGCAGAACACGAATATATATGAATATGAGCCCAAATTCTCGAGCTTGCTACGGCACTGGTTTGTCGTTAATTTGTAAATCTCTGTTGTGTTTTTGCTGATAAATTGATAGTAAACCCAGAAAATTATGTATACCTCTGGGAAATTATGTATACAGGTAAACAGCTAAAAATATTGAAATTAGGTATTGTATTGTACAGCTAGGGTGTATAAAAAAAACGCAACCTCGGAATTTCCTAAGAAATCACTGTGCAATTCTTAAGCATAAAAGATTTTAGGCCGCTGGGAATTGAAATCGAATTGCTAATAGATCATATTACTGTTGTTGTGCATTAAATAAATGCATAAATTTTGCTTTATGCACTCGCGTGTGCAGTAATTTTGACAGTTGTGCTATTTTAAATTCCCAGGCGCCTAAAATCTTTTGTCTTTAAAACAATGTCGATTTCTTGGGAAATTCCGAGGTTGCGCTTTTTTTTATACACCCTGTACAGGTAAACAGCTAAAAATATTGAAATTGGGTATTGTATTGTACTGTACAGTTATTTGCTTTGACAGCCTTAATTGAACAGATGTATACTACGTAGATACGTCTATCTGTTCTAACTTGTTCTTTCTAGACTGAAGTGGCATGAGCACGTGTTTCTGCTGGAGAGAACCGAAGTATAGCTGGAGAATTATTTCGCTTCAGTCAGTAGGGAAAGGTATTTTGAACTATTATATATTATTATCTGGAATGGTTTGTGTCTGTGCCACTGACAAATACAAGCAGAATGATGAATTTCATCGTCTTCATCAAGTTGTACAAAAAGCTTAACTCTTTCGTCATCAAATTTCTTTCTTTCATCGTTGGACAAAGAAACAGGCTCAAACAACGACAGGCGAACCACTGCCTGCATGCTGAGGCGGGAGAACCAATCTGAGATGAGTTATCAAAAACACCAAATTGTCTATGTTAATATAGTGAGTCATCGAAGCTCGAGACGTCGTAGTTTTGCTTGTATTTTTCAGGTGGTTGTACAGGGTGTATAAAAAAAGGATAATCGAAGTTCAGCGCGCTATTGCATCTGACTTACTCTACGTATGACCGAGATTTTTCATATTCGGAAAGATCAGACTTTTATCTGCATGTCGAATGATATGTTCTTCATGCGAAATGGATAACAAATGAGCAAATACAAATCCCGATAAAAAATGTTAGTCATGCAGAATCGCATATTTTCATCGTTGAGAGTTGGGTCTAAAACCATTGAAAATGAACCCCCTTTAGGACTAAAGTTGATGAGTTTCACTTCATTAAACTACGCATATATTCATAAATCATTATCAAGTAGGAATAAATCTTGGCTAAGCTATAACGAGTTCGTGATTAATTGCTTTTTTTTTGTTTCCACTTCACTCGCGGGCATTTGGCATGAAAAACATGTCATTCAATAGCTAATCTAAGCCTGATCTTTCCGAATATGAAAAAATTTTGTTCACACGCCGAGTAATTCACGCACAATAGCCCGCTGAAGTTCGATTACCTTTTTTTTATACACAATGTACATCTCTCTAATTATGTTTTCTACAATTGTTAATTAATTGACGACCAGAAATGCTGTAATTTCTTGCAATTTATTTTCAATCAGAATTAATCTCCGGCCATTGAGTATTGTTTTCTTGCAAGGAAACACTTCGATCACCTTTAATAAATGCGCGGCGGTAGGTTTTTGGCAACAAAATGTTTTCTACTTGCGGTGGTCGGTAAAGTCAGTCGAAACGCTAAAACGCACTCTTTTCGTGCGACTGCTGACGCAAAATTATCACCAGACAACTGAATATTGTAGCAATAGGAGTCGAATCACAGAAATGAAAATAGGGAAGTTTACGGATGTAGGACAGCGACGTCGGAACGACGGCTATCAATACAATGGCATTATAATCATATAGCGCAGAAGAAATGAATAATTAAAAGTCTATCAAGGGTTTTAGACGTTGTCCAAGCTCTGTTGACAACGGCAAAATTCATATTTTCACGTCTCGATCGTATAGTGCGCTAGCATTTCAAGTCATGACAGGTAGTTTTAAAAAGAACAAAACAATACTGTCAATAGACACTCCGAAAATAGTTAACATTTTATTCAACGTTTCGACTAGGTTTCCAGTCATCATCAGGAATTTCAGTCATCATCAGGATTCCTGATGATGACTGAAACCTAGTCGAAACGTTGAATAAAATTTTAATTATTTTCGAAGTGTCTATTGTTCTGTTCTTTTTAAAATTACTCAATCAGGCAACCGTAATTACAGGTAGTTTTTCTAGCAGAGTTAAATTCTTTTCTAGCAGATCAAAATAGCTCTGAGGTTTAAAGCTCTGTTTTACTCTAAGCTTTTCATGATTTCCATACAATCATTTATTTCAAACGGTTTGTTTAGCCGTTGTCCTGACGTTGCCGTCTTACACATGCGTAACCTCCTAAGCCTGGTTTCCTTATGGTCGTAACGGTCGGAGTCACGATCTTTCTCAACGGCCACAGTTTATAATCGTTTATATACCTGTAAATTGCTGGAACCATTGAGTATTTTCATAAAATACAGTACAACGGTAACTCCGAATAAAGTAAGCATTTTGATTCAACGTTTCGACTTTATTTAGTCATCATCAGACTAAATAAAGTCGAAACGTTGAATCAAAATGCCTACTTTATTTGGAGTTACTGTTGTATCAGTATATACCTGTAAACCAGATGTAAATCATAAGTATTCTCTAGTTATAACCACTTCACATATTTTCAGTTTTAAAATGTTGTATTTCGGCTGATGGGAAAGATCGTGACTCAATCTTTACGACCATATTGAAACAAGGGCTTAAACCGGTTTTCCACCAGGGGGAATATTGCGCGGTGAGCGGAATTTTTCAGTTTGTCTTGTGGTTTCTCGGGTGGAACTAATTAGAAAAGACAAAGAAAAATTCCATTCCGCCTGGTAGAAAACCGGCTTAATCACACACAGTTGCGCACCGATCAATTTTGATTTTTGTCAAAGTGAATTTTTTTTGCTAGTGCTCAATCTTATACCAATTGCGCACTGATTTCTAAACACTGGAAATTCCTGTAAAATTCATTAAAGTTGAATTTGTTTTCTTCAGAATTTTTTCGGAAACATTGGTTGATGGGCGTTGGCATCGTAATTGACAGCCTGTCCTGTTTGGCGAAGGAAGTTGAGAGGAAGCGAACGAATAGAATGTAAGTGGTTTTGCAATTTTAACTCACAGTCGTATCTTTGCCGGCCTTCAAAGTATTTTTGATGCAAATAATTATTTTGCTTGAAAGGACTAATGTCCGGTCAAGACAAAGGAGAACGTATTAAAAATTATGCACATGCTTGTCTTAAAAATCTTTGATCAGACAAAAGGGAAAATTCGGCCGTACAATTAATGTCCTATGCCGGACCAGCGCGTTCCGGCCGTATATCTGTGTTTTAAATACTTTAATTTAATATATTTAATATGAACAATAGTACCGAGCCAAACCTACTAGTCAGTCTAAAACATAGCTACGCTCCAAATACAATAACTGTTAAGAGGAAAATTTTTTCTATATGCATGTCGCGTATTTGCGAAGAAAAGCGTTAATCAAAACAGAAAATATTTTTGGCGTTCCTCTCAAAATTGCTTTGTTTTAGCTTTATTCTCTATTTTATATACAGTTAGCTACCTTTTAAATGTATCTGCCAGTTGAGAAACAATAAAATAATAATTTTTTTGTGTTGGTGTAATGTATTCAGGTGAATATGATGCTTGTGATGTTACTCTGAGTGTATATCCACACCGGGCAAGCTTGCCCGGTAAATTGACACCATATTTATACAGCAGTATAAGCAAAACGTACTGAACTTCAGACATCATTTTCTTTTTGGCGTACCATCTAAAATCTCGTCATTTTAGCATTATTTTACAGATAAAGCACTAGATATAGTTTTTAAGCTTGTTGTCCTCTTGTCAGTCCTCTATAGCCCTTGAATTGCCTACTTGAAAAGTCCTTGAATTTCACTCTTCGTATAACCTCTACGAACCCCGATAAAAAGTTTCATTTAAGAAGATTAACTTGCACGAAAGTTTGTTCAAATTTAGAACAGTATCATCATGTATGTGTAATTATCATCTCTCGTCATCGTGATAGTGAGCCGGGTTTTCTATACTAAGCCGTTTGGATGAGCTGTTATAGTCATAAACTGCGTGTGAATCGTAGACGTGTTGACGAAGTGATAAAAATAAATTGGATACATAGGTCCCAATCACGTTAGCATGCCAAGGTAATCAAGCTACGACGTGACTGAAAATTGGTGGGAATAATGCCCCGTACAGCTGAGCAAGTTTCCTTGACAACTGAAAAGTTTACCTTCTAGCTCTGTGGACGGACCACAAGTTTTCCTTGACAAGTTTTGTTGCTCGTAGACTCGGAATGTTTTAATTTAAACCGATTTATCTCACGTCAAGGCCACCTAATTTTGCCTGCCAAAACCATAGAAGTATTTCTTGTTCACTTGTCAAGTTTTCCTTGGCGACCGTACGGCATAACTAGCTTTCGAACAAGGCTCCTGGGCAAGGAAGATTTTCAATGTTTTGCCGTTCACACGAGCAAATAAAAGATGTCAAGGACAGCTTGTCAAGGGAAACTTGTCAAGGAAAACGTACTTGTCAAGGAAAACCTGTCAAGGAAAACTTGTCAAGGAAAACTTGTCAAGGAAAACTTGTCAAGGAAAACTTGTCAAGGAAAACTTGTCACGGAAAACTTGTCAAGGAAAGCGTACTTGTCAAGGAAAACTTGTCAAAGAAAACGTACTTGTCGAGGAAAACTTACTTGTCAAGAAAAATTTGTCAAGGAAAACGTACTTGTCAAGGAAAGCGTACTTGTCAAGGAAAACTTGTCAAGGAAAGCGTACTTGTCAAGGAAAACTTGTCAAGGAAAGCGTACTTGTCAAGGAAAACTTGTCAAGGAAAATTTGTCAAGGAAAGCGTACTTGTCAAGGAAAGCCTACTTGTTAAGGAAAATTTGTCAAGGAAAGCGTACTTGTCAAGGAAAACTTGTCAAGGAAAGCGTACTTGTCAAGGAAAACTTGTCAAGGAAAGCGTACTTGTCAAGGAAAACTTGTCAAGGAAAGCGTACTTGTCAAGGAAAACGTGCAGTCGTCTGTATGGGGCTTTAAGGCCCGTTTACACTTGCAATTTTTGCTGCGATTTTAGGTGCGATTTTCTTCTTCTGATGGATGTGAACGAGTGGATGAGCTATGAATGTTCAGACGAGGGTATACATACTCAGAACATTCATCACTCTTCTACTGGTTCACATCCGTCAAAAGAAGAAATCGCACTAGAAATCGCAGCGACAATTGCAAGTGTAAACGAGCCTTTATACAGCCGAGATTCAGCGCCAGTTGTCGCAGAAAAGAATTAAAACTTAGGTTGTAATCTGTTAGAAGCCGATAAGATATTGAATATATGGTGTTCCAGTGTGGGTATCGACGAACAAGCAGTATGCTTACTTGGAAGTTATAGCAAGCTACGGATTGAGGATTCATGCAACTACTTGAAAAATACAAGCAAAACGTCCACGTTTCGAGCGAAGGTCCTTCGTCGGAGCCTTGTATTTTAGTATGGTAGTATAGTATAGTAAAACTTTATTTAACCACGCTTCCCTCATCACTCATGGATGATTTTCATGAGGGGCGTCACACAAATTACATTCTAAAAACTAATATAAATTAAATATGAAATAGAATAACACAGAATAACAAATACGTAGATAAAAAAGTTTAAAAAACCAAGACTATTCGATGCCTGACTCTGTTGCACACATTATTTTATCAAATCAGTTGAAGCTACTTAAAGATTCTGCTTGCTTTGCCTGCGTAGGTAAGCTATTCCATACAACAGCCCTGCTATATCCAAAACTCTTCTTTAAATATTCAGTACGTGGTTTAGGAACTGAAAGATTTATATCAGCATTTCTGAGATCATAATTAGTACTAAGATTTATGTCCCTTGTTATAAATTTATCCTTTATAACAAGGGACATAAATCTTAGTACTAATTATAATCCCAGAAATGCTGATATAAATCTTTCAGTTCCTAAACCTGGTAGAGTTGTCTCGTTGGACGCGGTTTCCATGATGGTTTTATGATATGGGACCTCACTTAGCATTACGTCAGCATTCGTGTATAAAACGTAAAGCCAGTGATTTAAGCCCGCGTGCATGTTTATTTGGTCCCGTTTGCCAGGGAGAGGCAGGATGCTTACGATCTATTGAAAAACACGCTTTATGATGCAGCAAAATTTGACTATTTTCCTGGTAAAGTTTCCTGAATAATTATAAAGGAAAGCAAGTTTAAAATGATGTATTACTTTTGTTAAACTACAGAATCTGATCATGAAAGCGTTTGAGCCGTTCTTGTTCTCTTGTTCTTGTTTCGTCCTGGAAAAGCTAGGGAAAAGTTACAGTGCCTATGGCATTTTTCCATAGTCAATTTCAAAGCTTCCATAATTTTGCACAATATGAAACTATACATTTGCGTGAGATTTCCGTGCCCAAGCACGTAGCAACAGTTGGCTAAACGTTTAAAACAAATAATTTCTTTAGCCACGGAAATGTAGCTTGACTTAAAAAAGAACCACACGAGTTCATATCCGCTTCCTATTATTAGCCGAGAGCGCGGTCCGTATGTCATCACAATAATATCACATAGACGGCTGCCTGACACAAATTATTCGCATAGCTCAGATGCGCACCTTGGAAAATACATATTAACTCTAGCTGACACATTAATACTTGTATTTGGAGCCAACTGTACAACGGACCAGACAAAATCGGACCGAGATTTGACAAGGAGAGATGAAATGCCTGTATACAAAGACTATTTGTTTGGTGTTGTTGTTATGTATATTGGCTGCCACAAGCGAGGTATACTGTGACTTATTTTTATTTTGACAATGGTAAATTTAGATGTACGAGAATTGATAGCGACGAAATGTTAGTGAAAGCTCAATTAAAACATCTTTTTATGATTTTCGAATCTAATTGTGGTTGCTTTCACAGATTAGGAGTAGAATTTGCAGACGTACTGTGTTCTGTTGGCGAAATCTTGTCGGCGACAAGTATACATAATAAAATATTTTGATTTGCGGATTGCTCTGCAAGCGTTAACGTGCGGAATGTTAATGTAGTCATCAAGTCGTAAATGTAATCGAATAGCGCGCAGCTTTGAGTCGCGCACCAAATTGTAACGAGCTATAACGTTTTGCGCAAAAGGATTAAAAGAACGCAATGTTCTGCATACATACTGACGCATTTAATGCAGCAGTGTGTAAATGTTTAATAACGCTCTGTTGGTCTATTTAGGCTTTTAGTAAACTGTGCGCGCAAATTGAATTCTTGCTAACGCAGTGAGTGACTGATATTTGAAATGTTTGAATAGCCATATCTTGGCAGATGTGGCTCTCAGAATGGCAACGCGGCGATGTTTATGAACATAACAAACTCCTTCAGTTACAAAATGCACAAAAAATCTTGTCTGCGCTCAGCCTGGTATTTTGCGTATTATTGTGCCTTTATCATTTTCCTGGCACTGTTCAGCTTTTAACTTCATTCCCAGGCTAATTGTCTGGCTACAAAGTAGTGCTAAAGTCAATATGTCATCATCAGGCATCCGACTAGAAATTCTAGATTGTGTTAGGACTTATATGAGATAATTTATATGTAAGGCATGTTTATTTTTGCATGCAGGACAGGACTTTCTCATTGACATGTAAATTTATACATGGATGTTAGATAATGTAAAATACTTGAGTCGACATCGTTCGTTTATGATCGGTGCGAACGGGAAAGGGGTTTAGCCGTTTAGTTGTTTTTTTTTTAACTACTAAATAAATCTCTTTCCCGACCGATGGCTTCTTATTATTGACATGTAACTCATCTGGTGTTAGACGGACTGAAATACTTAAATAAGCACCGGCCATAGTGGATAGACATGGGCGGCGTTTTGACTGCTTCATTAACGATCTCATCATTTGGCGTTAGGAAAGTGAAATTAAAAAAAATGAGAATCCACTAGAATGAAGAGTAGGGTCAATACGGATTTGGGGGCGTAATATACAAGGACTTGTAATTGAGAATCATTTTGCAAACTAGACTTTGAATGAAAGCGCATTTTTTTGAAGTATATAAAATACAACACTATAGTATATTTTCGCCAGCGAGCGCTGACACTTTTGCCTTCAGGCCTACTTGGCAAAATGATTCTCACTTTATGCAAGTCCTTGTACATTACGCCCCCAAATCCGTATTGACGCTGCTCTTCATTCCAGTGGAAACATTTTAATCAAAGCTTGTGATCTTGAAAAAACGACATTCAACACCTGGAATTGAAATATATGCGAATGTTATTGTGATCGATGATAGATGTCCAAAATTCTGCTAACATAACGTTACCCGATATAAATTAAGCTCCGACGTATGGATCTGATATTTTCCTGACAATGGACCATTCCCCAAAATTTTGATCCCAACAAATCTAGACAAAATTTTATCATGGCATGAAAGAGCATCACAAAATTAGTAATAATCCAAAGTTTCGTTGCAAAATGTTGTAAAATGCGGATAATTATATAGCCTTGCGAAGTTTGTAATTTTCAGTCATTTTGTATTACGCACAGAAGTGGTAACCATTTCCCGTTTGTAATCTAAAATGACGGAAAATTGGAAACTTCGCAAGGCTATATTATCCGTATTTTACAACATTGTGCAACGAAACTTTGGAATATTACTAATTTTGTGATGCTCTTTCAAGTTGTGATGAAATTTTTGTCTAGACTTGTTGAGTTCAAAATTTTGGTTAATTGGGGGAATGGTCCATTCATACGTGTAATGCTTATAGAGTTCATTCAAACATAATCCTGAAGACTTAGTCTGGCGCACTAGTCTGACGTTATATGTGCTAGCATTTGCTAGAATTTGCGCACCTAAACATTTGCGCACTAAAAGCGCAGGTTCAGATTTGACTACCACTACCTTTCACTGGCTTAGTCCTCATCTGATTGGTTAATCGAATATATGAAACCCATCTGATTGGTTAATAGTCCGTTAATGGTATAGCGGTAGTGGTATTATGAACCTCTAATAATATAAACACGAGATATTTGTAAAGTCTAAATACATCAACAGGTACTAGTTTAATAGTTTAGTAAATAGTTGTAAGTTTATCAATGTGTATATAAACATGACAACAAATTAATGTTTATTATTATTTATTATTATTATTAGTAAAACTATAGATTTAGCCAAGCTAACCCTTTAGCTAAATACTGATTTTTAAGGGGACGTGTAAACATGAACCTCGAACTGAACTTTGCTAACAGTGTATATTAGAGACCTTACGAGTTTAGGACGGCAACGCGACGACGACGGCCAAAACAAACTCCTTCAAATAAATGGTAGTAAAGATAATTCGTGGTATATTATCAATCGTATTTTAATTTAATACAGTCTTAGAAGTTGAAGACATAGGTTTTATGGTTGGGAAGAGTTCTGCTGAACCCAGTTTGAAATTGCACTTGTTATAGTGGCTTGGAATGCAGCCGTTGTATCAAGACGTGAAAATCTGTGATTTGGCGTTGTAAACAGAGCGAGGACAATGTCTAAATTATTCATATATTGTAATTACTCAATTCTTTTCAATGATCTATTGTATTGGTAGCCGTTGCCGTCGCGTTGCCGTCCTAAATCGTAAGGTCTCTATTTATGTACACAGAACGACAGACGAATCATTTCTCACGACAAGCTTTTCAGAGAAAAGCCAGGCCGCGTTTACACCATAACGGAGTGGTTTGCCGTAGTGTACGATCTGACCACTACTCTTGGCACTCCGAATGCAAATGAATACGCTATGGTAAATTTTCCGTGGCGTCATAGCCACTTAGTGTAAACACTTCGTTTGTATGGAAAAACTATGCAGATATTATCTGTCGTGTAAATTTGGCCATAGAGATTACAATCAATGTTTAGAATTCCTTCGTTTTTGGATATTATCAAAAAAACGGTCGCAGCTGAAACGACAATAGTTTACGCAAATTTCGCACACTCGCGTAAATCATAACAAATCTGAGATTGCATGCGCGCAGCTGAATGTTTCAACGCTTCTTGTCGTCTGAACCAATTATTTTAAGTTGCATAATTAGCGCGCCTTCTTCTGCAAACAATTGTGCTGTCAGCGCTCCGACACCGCGTGATCTTGGAGACGTCAGAAAAGAATGCAGAAATTTCGAGTTCTATAATGGTGCTACATTGGTAGTTGTTTTAATATTTACATATCCTCGTGTTTGACAGATGTGGTTTTTGTGTAAAACTTTCGCTAAGTGCTCTGCTTGTACCTAATGTAAATACTCTAAATTAGACTAAACTAACTTTATTTATACTGAATGGTGAAGGTCATTTCTTGTTAGCAATTCATAGCCCCCTCATTTCTAAACTGGTCTTCATAAAGGTCAAGTGAGGGTCATCTCTTGTTGGTCGAGTGTTACCACAGGAGGAAACTTTATCTACAAAACCGTAGTAAGTACTAAAACGGTATTTCTTCACCTCACTTATATTTATATACCTATATGGTATATACTATTTATATACAACATGTGCGGCTGTGTTGTATCGAAAATACAAACTCGAGCCGAGCATTCGTATTCTTCAACAATTTTGAATAAATAATGATATATTTAAGAAAACTGAACTTCAAGTTTATGTAAATCAGACTCCTTCACGGTCATGATTTCTATTGTGTTTTCTTGATGAATTATTGATGATTTTCACAAGTACTAGTCAAAACATGAGCAGCCGATCTTTATCTGATATACAAACTCGAGCCGAAGCTTTCGAGTTTCGTGCTTAAAAAACTACCCATCTTATGAGTTCATTGGCGAAGTAATTTTAAAAATAAACACTGTCTAAGCCGAGAAAATCAGTGTTACCTACAGTAATACAGTGTTACCTACAGTGTTACCTACAGTAATACAGTGTTACCTACAGTAATACAGTGTTACCCACAGTAATACAGTGTTACCTACAGTAATACAGTGTTACCTACAGTAATACAGTGTTACCTACAGTAATACAGTGTTACCTACAGTAATACAGTGTTATCTACAGTAATACAGTGTTACCTACAGTAATTACAGTGTTATCTACAGTAATGCAGTGTTACCTACAGTAATACAGTATATAAGGGAAACTATAATGACCTGAATAACTCTATCATTTCTGAACTGTTCTCTCTCTTGGAGCAAAGCTCTGTGGGTCTTACCTGTCTGCATGACAAAGTTTGAATAAATATATAAATAAATAAAGGTTAGATGAATAAGTGGACATTGGGCCAGTGTTACATTAGCAGGAAATCTAAATTAACAAAGTTTATAAGCCATTACGTTACCGCACATGTACAGACACGAAATCACTTATATAAACAGTTAGATGTTGTATAAACATTTCTACTGCTGTTCAGGTTTCAAAGCAGTTTTGTATATTTGATCTAAACTGAATTAAATACACATGCTAGATGTTTCTAAAAACAAGGAAAAAGAGGGTATTGTTTCGCTTCATTAGCATAAAGCGCGGAAACGATTATAACGAAAAGAGCATTAATCGAAGCCTCAAGCTAATCTAGCTATAGCCGAGTATCAAGCCTATTTACTCATGTTAGCCTAGCTAATACAACCGTCTGCTGCAATGGAATCTACTTAAAACAACGCATAAAATGGTAATGTAGTTATAGAGATGAGTCAGATGACAATAGCCAAACAATTTGCGAGTGGAGAAAGTCGAGCACTCCAGAATTGTACATTGTCTGTCTTTGAACTGCTTAAAAGTTTTTGCCTTCCATCACTTGTTTCAAATATTCGTTTCAGGACAGTGCATCTCACAGACGGATTTTCAGATTTTGGGTGCGGAAAATTCGGTGGGGGTGGGTGGTGAGTGAGCCAGGAGGCTGCCAAGCAAGCTGCAGCAAAGGTCTGGGCGCGCAGCCCCAGCGAGATGCAGGATTTATACATTTCTGGGGATGCATGTGCAAATTTCTCTGTGTGTTCGTGTGTGTGCCGTTCTGACAACATTAGCCTGCGTAGCTGGGGCCGCGCCTCAACCCCAACCCTTAAAACCGGCAGCTACACAGGCTATATATGACAACATCTAGTTTACTCATCAATTTTAAACGCACTATCTAATTTTTGATTTAGGTATAGTTACGACATATTTAACGATATTGTAGATCAGCGAGTGATTTCTCAGACGGACGTGAAGCCATTTGTCACTGTTACTTGTCACTAGTTGAAACATGTGCAGCCAATCGAAAAATGACCCATCTTATGAGTTCATTGGCGAAGTAATTTTAAAAATAAACATTGTCTAATTAAGCCGAGAAAATCAAAGCTGAAGTTTATGTAAATCAGGACAAATCTTTATCCGATTTACAAAAATTGATTAAACATTCAGTTCTTTTGTATTTTCCTCATGAGTTATTAATGAGTATTTTAAGTAATGGATTAAGCATAAGCGGACGTGTTGATCAGGACCTATCAGATATACAAACTCGAGCCGAAAGCGAGAGGTTGTATGTCTGATAGAACAGGGACGCGAATGCCGTTTATATAGCTTGTGAAATGTCTGAGAACATTCGTATTCTTCAACAATTTAAAATAAATGAATGATATTTGTTGAGAAAATTGAACTTAAAGTTTATGTAAATCAGCTTGATTTTGTATCAGATATACAAACTCCTTCACGCTCATGATTTCTGTTGTGTTTTCTTCATGAATTATGATGAGTTTCATAAGTAATATTTATACAACATGAGGTCATGTTGTACAAGATATTGCTTGTGATTCGTCTTCATGAAAACATTCGTATTCTTCAATATGAATCTTAAATTAAAGATATAAATTCTATTTCTTAAGAAAAATTAACTAAAAAGTTTATGCATTTCCACAGGATTTTGTGTGAGATATAAACATACAAGCTCCTTCACATCCTCGTTCCTGGGATTCCCTTTGTGTTTTCTTTATGAATTGAATGATCAATATAATAATAAATGTGTAGAATAATCAATTACTATATATCGTTTGTTTTGTTCAGATTTTGTTTGTTTGTTTATTTATTTGTTTGTTTATTCATTTCTGCATAAGTTATCCCAAAAATGATAGAGCTTTTATTAAATTACTAATTGTAAGTAAAATTGGTCTGTGCTAGTGTAGGTAGTGCTCAGCTAGGAGAACTTGAAGTTCTCCTTATATTTTTCATGTAGTTGTATCCCTATCAATCCGAAGCTTTGTTGCGTAAATAAAATATTTCATTTTCCAAAACGTTTTGTACATATTGCCATATCCAACCCAGCATTTGATCCATCATGCTGGGCTTTCGATGTAGTTATCCATTTTACATTACATAACTGTTTTCGCTATTTATAGGTTGGAGGGGACCAGCATGACCGAGCCGTGTCTACAGAGATGAGCACAGGTGTTCAAAGAACTACAGCTGATTTGCCCGGTATGTACAGTAAAGATAGGAACGAATTAAGAGATATTTATTATTTTAAAGATATTTTTAAGAGTTTGTTTGATTTGCCGATTAGTTTATTCTAATAGAATATCACATAGAGATTAAAATTTGATAATCATAAGATTGTTGCTCTTTTAAGAGTATGTTTTGTGCAAAATAAACAATATATAGGCTAAGAAGTGAGAGCAACTTGTTTATTTATTTACAATTCTAGATCTAAGAAAATTGACATTTAGTTTTAAATAGTTACATTGATTGGTTATATATAGTTACCTGTGTTGGTTAGTAAGATATGTTAGTTAATTAGCTATACTATTAGTTAGTTAGGTGTTTAGTTATCCAGTTAATTAATTAATTAATTAATAATAATTCATTAACAATAACTAATGATAATTAATGATAATAATATTATTAATAATAATTAATTATTAATTTTTGTTAGTTAATTAATCACTTAATTAGTTTTTTAGCTTGTTAGTTACCCAGTTAATTATTTAGTTTGTGAGTTAGTTTAATTGTTTGTTTGTTTGTTTGTTTGTTTGTTTGTTTGTTTGTTTGTTTGTTTGTTTGTTTGCTTGCTTGCTTGCTTGTTCATTTGCTTGATTGCTTGCTTGCTTTGCCTGTTAGTTTGCTAGCCTGTTAGTTTGCTAGCCTGTTAGTTTGCTAGCCAGTTAGTTTGTTAGCCAGCTAGTTTGTTAGCTAGTTAGTTTGTTAGTTAGCTAACTTAGCTTGTATTTAATTAAGCAAAGGTGTCTTAGTTGCTAGTCTGCTCGAGTCTGCTGGTACATTAGGCAATTGATCATATCGTATTGACCATGCGTTGGTCTAGATGAAGCTGAATTGTGATCACGTAACTCGTAGCTTTGACGCAAATTAATTATGATTTTGACAAGTGAAAGTATATTGTGCTGTCCTGACGAGTGATCCTGGTGGCTTAATTCCAACATCAGTGTGGGAACTAGTTAGGAGATTGTAATTCGAGACTAAGGATCGTCCTTGATCAATGGAAATAGTTTGTCACCTTTTGCAAAGGTCATGGCCCATTCGTGGGTATTGTATAGATACCCAACATGAAAACCTAATCAGCCAACTTGTGTAAGTCGTCTTTATGTCCCAATATTGACACCCAAGTCGCATTTTAGGGTAACTTTCCCTGATACCCAGTTACCACTGTTCCTGTAATGTAAACACAGAATGGAACAAAAATAACCAAGAATATAAGAAACTGGCATAAACAATCTTTAACTGATTTGGTTCTTCATCTTGATTAAGTAGTATAAAATAGAAGAAGTCTGTGTGGCCGTGTGGCATCTGTTTTGAAAGATTGCTTTCTGAGATTTTCACGTGGGAACCTTGCACAGCATTGTAGATAAAACGTCTAGGATGAGGTATCAGGCTGAATTCTCTATGGTGTTGGGTAGTGCACGTGCTATAATTCATCTCCTTGTCGATTCCCGCATTCTGCAATATGTAGTTTTTCCTGTCAGTTACATGAAAGAAGAATGTTTCTCTACCGAACAGGCCAGTAACAAGGATTTTAGATTTACCACAGAACATTTTTGATTTTCTAAGTCTTAGAAACGTATTCTGACAGCATTTTAAACAAAAATGTTAATCTCTTAAACAGTGACACAATGACTAATAACTTTATAGTTTATCTCACATTTGTACACTAATCCTAAGAATGACAAATATTCTTGGTCCAACATGGTGACGCTCATTTTATTTATTGGGGGTACTTTGTGCATCGATCACAACAGCCACCCACCTCTTACGACACTGTATAGGGCAAGGTCAAGGAAGAGGATGCTCTATTCGCTATCTTTGCTCGGATAAAACTACAGTCTTTCTTCGAACTTGAAGTATCCTTGTTTAATTTTGCTCACGAATGTTCTTGCCGAGTAACTGGCTCGGTTGACTTGTGGCTAGATACGGGCCCACCGAATACTATAGTTACTAAGTTACTCCATTAGTATATCTGGACCTGTGACAGATTATCTTTGCCGAAGATCTTTATAGGGAAACGTTTAGACAAAACTGATAGAGCTATCCAGCTTAGATAAAACACAAAATAATAGACACTCCGAACTGAAATTGTAAACATTTTCCATCTTTACGTTTCGACTATTAATTTAAATCATCTTCAGAAGAAATCTTCATCTCATCTTCAGAAAATTTCTTCTGAAGATGACTTAAATTAATAGTCGAAACGTAAAGAATGAAAATGTTTACAATTTTCGGAGTTTTTGTTTTGTGTTTTATTAAAATACTCTATGGCAACCGCCAGCCTAGACCTTCTATTTTTATTATTTTTTTTATAATACCATTGCGATACTTACCAAATGCTAGCCCCGAAATTGACCAAACCTGCCAAAGCCAGCCAAGTAAAGGCCTAGGTCTAGGCTGGGCAACCGCAATTTTTTATCCAGCTTAAAGTCAGTAACCTAATTCCTTTCCCTAGGTTACTGACTTTAAGCTGGATCCTTCCTATACAGGGTGTATAAAAAAAAACTGCACAGATTTGAAATTGCTCTTAAATTCGCAAAACAGCTATTAGTATCCAGTTTGTTATGTACATAGTGTGTCTTTTCCAACAAACTAAAAGTGACTTGCGCACGAAATTTAAAAGCTTTAATCATATTTTGAGTTGATAGATGGAACATTTGTTGGGTTTTTAATTACTGTACAAAATTTCAGACAATTTGCTTTAGGTTAAGCCCTTTAACTATTCATTTTTCTCTACTAATAGCTGTTTTTGCGAATTTAAGAACAATTTCAAAACTGTGCAGTTTTTTTATACACCCTGTATTGAACAATTGAAGGAATGGCCCTTTACTTAGGCTTCTCAGTATGGTTCCTGACTGAAGGAATCGGAATTGTTAGAGCTATCTATTATATAGTTTAATTTAGTATCGAGATTTTTGGACATTTCGAGCAGAAAGATTATATATACAATTTTAGACCTAACCAGGACGGCTGGCAACTGTGAAAAATGCAACTATATAGGCCCTCTGGCAGGAATCGAACCTGCGGCTCAGGGATTCCGGTGCAGCGGTCTATTTCAACAGCTGCTAATATTGCGCTCAATTTCCATGTACAAAAACCCTTCCACAATAAAGGACGACCTTTACTGGACCTCACTAGGAAAACACTTTACACAGAGAGCTGTATAACATGATTTAATTTAAAGTTCATAAAACGTTTAAAATGTTCCATGAAAGACTGGCTACTAATGCGCTATATCATCACAAACCATTTAACCCATTTGACTTTCGTATTATATTGACGATATGACTTCATGCTGTGTCAACTAATCGCAGTTAACCAAGACAGCCCCACGTAACGTATTCAACGTGTATATCTGTTCCCTTAAATTCCTTACATTCTATGATCCATTTCACACAGTTAAACATATGGTAATTCGCGTGCACCTCCTGTTTTCAAATGGCTTAATGGCTCTATGCAGTACTGTAGCAACTGAGTCGGAAATGGCGGTATATTCCTGTTTACGTTTCCGGAGTTTTTAACTAAATTAATAATCATGGAAGTTCCTACGGTCTATAAATATAAATATGTCTGCAATATCATACAGTACACGAAATAGACGGTCCATTTATTTACGTTACACTCCACGAGCCTATTAAAATGGCAACCAGTTCTTCCATTCACAGTTGTCTTCGGAAACTCCAGGGACCGGTTGAATCAAGCCCATTTAGCTTAAACGGTGGATAAGTCAAAATTAAATAACACTATTGTATCTCTCGTGGATCAGTTAACTTAAATATTCTGTACTGAATATGTATTTGTAAACATTATCGTTCTATTAAGGTTCAAAATTTCTAGTTTGGTTGGTGTGAGTGAGTCATCTTAGATGGTTCTTATATGTGAGAGAGAGAGGTGGGATTATCTTGAGAGGTGGGGTTATAACCACCATTTAAGCTAAACGGGCTTGATACGGCAACCGACTCCAGCTGTAGTCCAGTTCTCGTCTGTATTTACACTGGATCCGAATAAGAAATATAGCCCTGAACTAGCCCATAGCTTATCGAAGGAAAGATGGCTGTGAAACTAATTAAAATAACAATATAACTCATTATCTATGTTAGTCGACGTTTTTTCATAACTCTGGTCTGGTCCTTCACCGTCACGTGTGTATTGTATTTTTGCTAAATCCACCAATAGCAATTTCCAATTTCCCAATTGTTTGAGTCACGGATATGTAATTTTCCGGCTAAAACATTGTTATTGGTTAGTTGGGCAAAAATACAATAGACACGTGACAGTGAGGAACCAGATTTATGAATAAACTTTGACTAACATAGATCATTAGTTATATTGTTATTCTAATGAGTTTCACAGCCATCTTCCCTTCGCTCATGATAGGTTATGGGGATCTGTTAGGACTGTAATAAAGTATAGATGAAGTGGCTGCACATTTTTATTGCACTTTTGCCTCGTTTCCATATGCGCCCGTTTTAGCATAGCAGGCGCACATGAAGGTTATATTCCCGTGTTTCTCGTTGAGCTTGAGCCAGAGCACAATCACGAACCTATTCTTAACCCCATTGTGCAGGAAATACGAGGCCATTGGGGAAGAGTGCAATAACCAGTAGATAGATAGATAGAAAACTTTATTTAAACACGCTGACCCCCTCAACCGAAGCTGATTTCCACGAGGGGCGTGCGAAAAGTATACAGAAAAGAATTTTAAAACTATTTACAAAATTAATAATCTATATACAGGTATATTAACATCTATATTTTCAGTTAGCTACCAATCAATGTGAGTAGCGATTGTCTTTCGAAAGGAAGGAAAGGATTTGCTCTCTCTTATTTCTTTAGGAATAGAATTCCAAAGGTGTGCTCCGTCATAGACGAAACTATTTTTCATATTATTAGTACGCGGTTGTGGTAAACAAAGACTACTTGAAATGTTTCGAAGTTTGTAGTTTGTCACCTCACCCTTATATGTGAAGAGATTAATGAGTGATTTGGGTCCCATTTTATTCATCAATGTAGTCCAGTTTGGTTTGAGAGCTTTGATAGTTTTGCATGTATTCAACATAGAAAATGTAGCCATGTCGAAGTTATGAATTATTATAAATGAATAATGATTGTAGATAATGTAAATGTACTCAGTTAAATTTTTTTCTTGTTTTACAGATATTTTAATGAAAGGCATGATAATCATAAAGATAAAGACGCTGTCCTACATACGCGAATTATCATATCGTGAAAATAACCTTACAAGACGTCTGACCGCACTTTGTGAAAGAGAGGTGGGGTTATTTTAAATGTTTCTTATACTGTATGTGTGAGAGAGGTGGGGTTATCTTGAGAGGTGTTGGTTATCTTAGATGATTCTTATATGTGTGAGAGAGGTGGGGTTATCTTGAGAGGTGGGGTCATTTTAAATGGTTCTTATAGTGTATGTGAGAGAAAAGTGGGGTTATATTGAGAGGTGTGGGTTATCTTAGATGGTTCTTATATGTGTGAGAGAGGTGGGGTTATCTTGAGAGGTGGAGTTATTTTAGATGGTTTTTGTATGTGTGAGAGAGGTGGGGGTTATTTAGATAGTTCCTATAGATTTGAAAAGTGAAGGTCGAGAGGGGGGTTCCTGTTTTATTTATTTTTTGGTTCTCTTTGTAGATAGCTAAGCTGTTTCATTCAGTCAAAGGAAAACAAAGTATCAAAGTCGAATCATTCAGGTATGGCAAATTCTTGATATAATAAATTTGGGATGGTGTGTCCACGCCATAAACGTTTTATTTTTCTCTTAAGGCGTGGTCGTTGGAGCGCTGTGATAGTGGTGATGATTTTGGACAGCACAGGAAATGGCAACATGAGTGAAATCAGTGAAATAATTGACAAGAAGATTAAAACTCCTGGAAAGTTCATCAACTATGACGTGGACAGAAGAATGGCGTCTTTCAGACCACAAGGAGGTGAAACTTCTGAGCATTCTTTTTTACTGATTTTATTTTGTACTTTTAACCACTGATTAATCTTATGTACTGGATAGCTCGTTGATCATGAGTTCTGAACTGTTCTCCCAACAACTCCAGTAAGGGCTATTCCATATTGCTCCAGTATTGTGATGGGAAGGGAACCAAATGTTTTCATTAATACGGTTAATCCGAACAGTGTTTTGGGTAACTTAATGTTCCTGATTAAAATGGTCAATTTTTAACTACAGTTCAACCAGGCTATTTGGTTGAATGGGTACCCTCTCTGTACAACGTAATATTTTAAAACAGCCCACTAATGACAAATTATATATCATGCAAAAATGCATGACAATTTGAAGGGCAAAAAATTAGCGGCCTACAATTTCAGGGAAAATTTGTAGGCAAACGTTTCAGTCTTTTCTAACTCTTTTTTATTCAATTATTCCCTCTAGTGTTTTGTCGGCCAAGAGTGCACTATGCTTTTGAAAGTTCAAGCGAGAAAGAAGTTTACGATGATTCTGGGTTTGACAACAACGGCGTGATTTACGGCAAGATCGAGACGACCCGACATGGAAAATGTGGCAAGGCAGGAAAGTTTAAGAGTGGCTATATCTATCTGAGGAAATTTAGGAACACAAAAATCTCGGGCACTGATGCTATCGTGGTCACATTCTGGATGAGAATAATAAACCCTCGCAGCACCACGTCTCTATTCAGAGGATATTATAAAGGTAACTGGTAATAAACTAAGATAAACTATATAAAATCATTATACTAGTTCTGTCTAAGCTGTCTTCCTTAGTTAGTTATTTAAACGGGATGACTCTTTCAGCTCCAAATTGTCAGTGAACAATCAGAAATTATTGGAAGTGGCGCTAGTGTCCGTCACTTTCCCCCCTCGAAGTCCAGTAAGAGTCATTCGCTGTTGGCCCAACTAACTTAATTTTATTTGCGCTAGAAGGCTATATCAGTTCAGAAACGTCCTCCTTAATGACCTAGTATTAAAGGATCATTCTTCATTGGTACAGTGTTAGTAGAGGAGGAGACACAATCTAAGTTAGCTAAGAGTCACCTTTGTTGGTCCTAGACACTATAGGTGGAAACTAAAAGAACTTATTTGCATGTACTGTATGCTGGATAGCTCAGTTCAAAATCGTTCCCCCCTAAAGATGCGATAGGAGCCATCGTATCGCATCAATCGTTCCCCCTAAAGATGCGATAAAACCCACTAAACCTGAGATTTGGTGCTAGAGAGAATAAGGAAGGCTTCTCGTATTCGACGGATGCGGATGCAAAATTATTACTAGATACAGTATAAAAACTGTATCATGTATGCAGGAATAGAACTCTGGTCAAGCCACCAGCAACCCTAAGGACATCCCAAGCTAGAATTAGCTTCACTACTTTTCTCTAAGGAAATTGACTGTAACATGACTGGGTATTTTGAGGGGAGGTGTAGGGAAGTGTGTGTGCCTTCCCTTTGATCGTTTTGCAATTACCCTTAGATTTTTTGCATTTTTCCCTTGGGAAAGTTAAATGATAGATCAAACTGAAAATTGTGGTTGCTTAGGCGATCTACATTTTGTAAGAAATTTTTTTTGTAAAATTGGAACAGTGATAGCCTGATTCATCTATGTGTCAAGTACCCTTTTAATGCAATAACGAGACTCTGTAGTAACGCAATGAAGGGCAAAATTGGTTGAATCTTACGTTCTAAGTCATAACATTCCATGGGGGGGGGGGCGTAAGTTAGACCGCTGCCCCCCCCCCTAAATCTTTTCACCTTCCCAACCATTCCCACCAAAATCGGTCCTTCGACTGAAATATACAGATATACTGGATTCGCTTCACCGTTCTGACTGAAATATGCAGATCTTGCTTAGCTTCACCGTTTTGACTGAAATGTACAGATCTAGATCTGGCTTAGCTACACAGTTTTACCTATCACTAATTATTATTATTAAGGTGCTGTTGTGGAACTGTTCATGGAAAGAGGGATTTTGAAATGGAAATTTATAACACGTCAAGAAGCGATAGCGTTCTTAGTTCGCCATACAAAACTTCTTCGTCCCAGACAGTGGACCCACATTGTTGCGCTTTACGATCCCTATACCCTAAAGGCAAAATTATATATCGACTCTAAATTGACAAATGAGGTCAGTGTACGCAAGGGAATGATCCGTTGGAGGTTTACGTCATCGCTAAGATTCGGTTTGACGTCAACAGAAGGGTATCTGGATGATCTGTATGTGTATGATTGTGTATTAAGTGAGAAGGTACTTGATGGGATTCGAAGGGACTGCTGGTGTCAGGAGTTGTGTGCCCCCAGAGGAAGAAGTGAGTATGAAGATCTGTTGAAATGTTGGGATTTTTTTTTTTTTGGGGGGGGGGTCACGTCCATGCACTACAGCCTTTAGCAAACTAGGGGACATTGTTTGGAAACATTTAAGGATTTTTTTCTGTGTTGGTGTTATGTACCGACGTAAATATGATGCTTGTGATGTTACTCTGAGTGTGTATCCACGCTGGGAAAGCTTGAAAAATATGCCTGGCCACGGTGGGAATCAAACCTACGACCTTTGGAATACTAGCCCAATGCTCTGCCAACTGAGCTACGCGGTCAGGTCGGTTCGAGTACGTGATATTTCGGAACTGAGTCTAGTTCCTTCGATATCAATGCAATCTAGTAATTGTAATCATGATTTTTTCTGTGTTGGTGTTATGTACTCAGGTGAATATGATGCTTGTGATGTTACTCTTAGTGTATATCCACACCAGAGCATTGGGCTAGTATTCCAAAGGTCGTAGGTTCGATTCCCACCGTGGCCAGGCATATTTTTCAAGCTTGCCCAGTGCGGATATACACTCAGAGTAACATCACAAGCATTTAAGGATTTATACAGAGGATAGGTTTATACGTGGTGTCCCGAAAAAACTACACCTTTTGTTGGAATTTGAATGCCTTATTACTATGCTGAAACCACGTGTGCGCAAACGCAATTGAATGGAATTTTATGCATACACTTTGAGTTAATATGTACTTTGAGCGTATAATTTAACACAATAGAAAATCTTGTACTTAATAAGAATAGAGTTATTTATAAAGGTTTCGTTTTTCAGTACACCCTGTATTTTACGCTCAGCGTAATGTTCAGGCATTCAGATTATTACAACAGGAAAATTTCAAAAGGTGTACTTCTTTTCGGGACACCCTGTAAAGAAATCGTCGAAATATTTCGCTTTATTTCTAATTTCAATTGTGACCATATGTAGCAATAAATCAGTTCTACTTGACCGCCCACAATTCAACAGAAATTGATAGCATGATTGTTTCTTGTTAGTGGAAATCGAGCTTAAGTACTCTTTCCAGAAGTGTCTGCAGACAAATTATGAAACTTGTATGTTTTGTTATCATTGAGATGTTTATTCAGACGTAATTTGCTATACATGCTAGCCTTTCTAGAATTTACTATCATTGAGAAGTTTATTCAGGTGTAATTTGCTATTCATGCTAGCCTTTCTGTAATTTACTATCATTGAGAAGTTTAATTCAGACGTAATTTGCTATTCATGCTTGCCATTCTATAATTTACTATTGTTGAGAAGTTTATTCAGACGTAATTTGTTATATTAATTGGTAGCCTTTCTGTAATTTACTATCATTGAGAAGTCTATTTAGACGTAATTTGCTATTCATGCTAGCCATTCTATAATTTACTATTATTGGGAAGTTTATTCAGACGTAATTTGCTATTCATGCTAACCTTTCTATAATTTACTATTATTGAGAAGTTTATTCAGACGTAATTTGCTATTCATGCTAGCCTTTCTAGAATTCACTTAGGGCGGTGCTAATATTTTGAATCGCAATTAATGATGCACCCCGGACAGTGCACTTGCCCATCTCAGATTTTCCCATCAGAAACTAGTATTAATTCGTTTGCTGCGTCAACTTGCCCAACAATGTGCCATTTTAAGTATTTGTCCTTAAGCCAGTTTTCCCCTTCAATTGTATCGTAAACCTGGTTTCCATATGGTCGTAACGGTCGTAAAGATTGAGTCACGATCTTTCTCATCAGCCGAAATACAACATTTTAGAACTGAAAATACGCGGAGTGATTATAACTAGAGAACACTCATGATTCGTATGTCATTTACAGGCATAAACTATTATAAACTGGCCGTTGAGAAAGTTCGTGGTCTGAAATATGTACCGTATTTAATTTTCCTTTGAAACAAAAATCGTTCAACATGTCGAACATTTATCTTTAGATGAATTTCTGATAAGAATGATTCTACTATCTACAAACAGTTCAACCAGCGGAACAGAAGAACTAGCCGATAGAGTGAAAAATGGGGTAAGTATAAGATAATTAACAATTTGGTTTGATAAAAATCTACTTTCTATTTGGAAACACGGCTGTGTAATTATCACCGATGACAAATCAGTCTTCAATGATTGCAAAGGTATATCGACACTTAATTACATTTGCCGCCTTGATATGCTCGCGACCGCAACGCCCAATGAAAAAGAGGGTTGAAATATCTCAATCGGGGAGGGATATGTCTACCTCCTCCACAGACGTTTCTGCGGGCGGAAAAATTAGAGAGTGAACACGCGGGCGGGAAAACGTTATTGGCGAGTGCGTTTTCAACTTCCAACCTGCGAACGGGCGTACTCTGCCTTACGAAATTAGGGAATGATGACGACGGAGGAGGTAGGGAATATGTCACAATTATTTCGTTCCGAAAAGGCAATGTTACACTTGGCCATCCTTTCTGCAAACTGCAGTGCAATTTCGTACACAGAGCCATGTTATCTTTTAAAGGTAGTTACATAGGAATGTGAACAAGGCTCCCATTCTACTCTGCCGACATTTTCTCTACATAATATGCTCTTAAGGGATGAAAAATAGAAGAAATGGAATGAAAAATGTCGGCATTAAGCCCCCGGCAGGGGGTTTATTTTAACGTGCAGTTCTACACAAAATGTGCAGTTCTAAACCCATTTGTGCAGTTCTTAAAACACAAATGTGCAGTCACCAAACTAACAAAAATAGCCTTAATTAAAACAGTCTTCTCATTTATTCGTTACCCTTGTGGATGCTCCAGAAAATTCCAGAAATGCTGTTATTAATTGAGCATCAAAAATCTAAACGATTTCTGGGGAAGACTCCAGACCCTCCCATTTTCCTCACAAATCACTTACGTGCTGGGGTAATGGAAAAGAAAGTAAAATTGGGGCGAGCGAAGCTCCCAAAAAGAGATTAGAGTGGAAGAACCTAATATTCTTATATCCATAATTCCCAGTTACATGTTTTGAAAGAATTTTTGTGAGTGGTTGGGTAAAACAAATCTTTGCCAATACTTAACAGCCTCTAGATTCAAATTGTTTTGGGGAACACCCCTAGCTCCCGCACCCAAAATCGAATTTGTCTGGCCTTTCTCCAATTCTCCCTCCCAAGCACACTATTATTCTGTCACCTTACTCATCTATATGCAGGTAAAAATCCTTCGACCCCCCCCCCCCGAAGTCAAACACCCATTGCCTTCGTAACATCCCTATGTGTGCAGTTCTAAATTTGTGTTAAAATAAACCGTGAAGCCCCGTACAGACGACCAACTCTTTCTTGACAAGTTTTATATGCTTGTGTGTACGGCAAAAAATTGAACACAAAATTTTTCTTTGCCAAGGAGCCTTGTTCCAAAGCTAGTTATGCCAGCTTTTGGACAAGGAAAATTTGTTCGTATGAACGGCCGCCAAGAAAAACTTGACAAGTGTACGAGAAATATGTTTGTGATGTTACTCTGAGTGCATATCCACACCGGGCGAGCTTGAAAAATATGCCCGGCCACGGAGGGCCGCCCGGTGTGGATATGCACTCAGAGTAACATCACAAACATATTATTCACCTGAGTACACAACACCTGTACGAGAAATATTTCTATGGTTTTGGCAAACAAAAGGCGGTAAATGCATAACAACATTCCGTGCAGACGAATAACAAAACTTCTCAAGAGAAACTAGGCAAGGAAATCTTGTTTTAATACCGTACACACGAGAAGGAAACTTATCAAGGAACATGTCACTGATGAAGTCCTTTTTTCAGATCAAGGAAATGTTTGATGAAATATCTGGGGAACAGCGGGTGCAGACAATTGGACATAGGCCACTGGACGTGGATTCAGTCATGGTTGATTATTCATTTCAAAGTATTGGTAACAGTGACACGCGATATTTGGCAGGAGTGATGCAACCAGCAATCACATCCGGGAATATTGCTGGAGTACAGCTGGATTCAAATGACGTGTCCTTTATACCGATATCTGGTAGGTCATACCATACCATATCCTACCATACCATACCATACCATACCATACCATAGTACCATACCATGCCATAGTTTTACTCAGATAGCTTTACTAAGCATTGTTTTTGAACATTAGGCAAAAGTGTGTGTCTATCAAACGAGATGAAATGTGGTGATGGTGAATGTATAAATAAGTTGTGGAAATGTGATGGTGAAATCAACTGTGCTGATGGCAGTGATGAAGTTGACTGTGGTAAGATAGAATTGATGTAGTGGTAGTTAGTGCATGTGTTTATCAACACTTGTGATCAGAGGTCCCATTCCTGCAATATTCAAGACTTTGTTTGATTATGATCCCCTGGGTCGCATGGGAGACGAGAGCTACAAACACGGCAGATTGGGTCCTGGTACCCAGGTTTTCTCCTGTGGTAACAATGAACCAATAAAAATGACCCTTACTAAATCACTAGACTGAAAGTAGCTTATTTTAGCGATTTTCAGAGCAAGCGCTCTTCAACTCTGAGACGTTAGAGACCTTTAGCAAAAAGGTGACGACCAAAACATACTCGTTCAAATAAGTACCTTTAAGATCAACATGTCTTGTATTATCCATTGTATGAATTTATTGCAATTTAAGAAGGTTAAAGACAGAGGTTTATATTGGAGAAGACTTCTACTGAGCCAATTTGGCGAGGACGACTTCTCGCGGCTTGAAAGGCAGACGTTGTGTACAAAACGAGAAAATCTTTGGTTTGCTGTTGTAAACAGAGCAAGGACGACGTCTAAAACTCCCATGGGACCTTTAATTATGCATTTTCTTTCTACACTGTCATAAATTTCATTGTATTAATAGCCGTCGCCGTCCTGCTAGCTAAAGGTCCCTATTTCCATTCTCGGTGCAGACACACGAAAACAGTTGGTGAACGTTCTACCAAAAGTCGTGGCTTTTCCCCGGGTACTCCAGTTTCCTCCCACAGGAAATTTGAGAGGGTGGGTTGGGATTAGCCCCAAACTGTCCCTTCACATCGTAACTGTGCTCCGCGTTGAGACATGAGCCATAGTGCCTGCCAGACTCCAGAGATGCCCTTAGAAAGCCTTTGTCTCAATCAGATTGAGCTGCGTCCTTCTCAATTCAGCTTAGCGCTTAGATTCAAGTAAGGATGATTAGCATATATTCCTGTATACTAACGCTGGATCAATAATGGAGTGGAATTTCAGTTTAAGTCTGGTTCACATATGCCTGCGGTATGCTTGCGCTATCATTGTTTACAGCTGTTGATGCATACATTCTTTTGTGATTTATTTGGTTGAACTGCTAACGACAATAGCCCGCCGACATATACCGCTGGTGTATATGAACCAGGTTTTAGGACTAATGAAAATCCGGAGCACTCCGAACAATAAATGGAGAGTTATCCGGAATGAATAATTTAATGTTAGTCTTTTTTAAGGGAGCATCTTGTTAACATTGAAATACTTTATTTAGGCGAGATTATTGCGTTTGATTGCCAGAGCAATGAGTTCACATGTAACCAGTCACGTGTGTTTGGTGTCAGCGATTGTATTGAAGCACGATATAGGTGTGACGGACAACTGGACTGTGACGATGATTCAGATGAACAGGGATGTGGTAAGTGATGATCAAGATTTAGATAACATACGTATAGGTGGTGAAAATTCACGTTTTTGCCCGATCAGGAATGGCGGCCAGATGGTAATAGCATGGCCGGATTTTGAAGGGAGGTGTGGAGAGATGAGCACATTCCCTGAGATCGTTTTGTACCGCCCCTGAGTTTCTTTGCACCTCCCACGAAAGGTCATGCACCTCCCCTTGGGAAAGGTTAAATGATAGGTCAAAGTGTAATTTTGACCGATTTTTTATGTGTTGCTTAGGGTCTAGACTTTGAAAGACGGTTTCTTTGTAAAATTGAAAAGGTGAAGGCCACTTTTCTCTGAATCAAGTACCCTCTAAATGCAAGATGTTTCGGAAGAAACTTTGTAGTAATGTAATAAAGGCTCAAAGGACAAACTTGGATGAGTAGTACAGTCACAATTCATAAATACACTGATACATATATACAGTACAGTAGGGTACGTTCTAAGCCATAACACATGATTCCATGGGGGCCTTAGTAAAATAATAGTAAAAGTCAAAAAAGTTGAAGAATGACGAGATCATTTTATTCTTCAGTTTCTCCCAAGTTGATCACAGCCCCACGATCGTTGCACATCTTTGCTGAAGGTGAAACAGCGAGCTGCACTTGTGTGGCCAACGGTGTACCACATCCCACGATCAGCTGGTACCATAAAGGGATAGAAGTTACTTCCCTTCGAGGGAAGATTTCAGTTACCTCGATCTCAGGCCACGGGAAGCTGACTATATTTAATGTCGGACAGGAGGACTCTGGAAATTATATCTGTAAAGTTAGTGATAATCGTGTCAAGAGGACGATAGCGCCAAGCTGTACTATTAAAGTTCGAGGTTAGTCATTTTATGTATGAGAATGGTTTTAATTAAAATGTCTAACGTTAGTCTACTAATGATTACTGATGTTTCCTGGTTTTGCCACTTTTGGGAAACGTGGCTAAGAAACAATGTTTCCTGGTTTGGCCACCTTTGGGAAACGTGGCTAAGAAACTATGTTTCCTGGTTTGTCCACCTTTGGGAAACATGGCTAAGAAACAATGTTTCCTGGTTTGTCCACCTTTGGGAAACATGGCTAAGAAACAATGTTTCCTGGTTTGTCCTCCTTTGGGAAACATGGCTAAGAAACAATGTTTCCTTGTTTGAAACATGGCTGGGAAATGATGTTTCCTGGTTTAGCTACCTTTGGGAAACATAACTTGGAGAGTTATGCTCCTGGTTTGAGCACCTTTTTGAAACAAGGCAAAAACAATGTGTACTGATTTGCCCACATTGTGAAACGTAGCTAGGAAACAATGTTTCCTGGTTTCCCACTTTTGGTGAAAAAATGACTATAGGAAACAATTATTGTTTCCTGGTTTGGCAACCTTTAGGAAACATGGCTGGAAAACATTGTTTTCTGATTTGCCTACATTTTTGAAACGTGGCTATAGGAAACAATGTTTCCTTGTTTGACCGCCTTTGGTAAACAGCATTTCCTGGTTCTCCCCAGGAAGTTTGGTACGTTGTTTATTCCTTTATTATAATATTGTATTTTTGTAGCTTTCGGGAGTGTATGTCGACCACCTTTCTTCAATTCCGTGGCTCAGCATAGTGACGAATGCTTGAGATGTTTTTGCAATGGACGAACGACGAGTTGTAGAAGTGCTCAGTTGTATAACTCAAAGGTAAGTGTTTTGAGGGCGTTAGTTCATTGCTGGTTAGTAACGAAAATAACAGGTAAATTCTACGTTTTGAAAAGGATTTGCAAGGAATGTACACGCAAATACAAGGAACTGACTCAGTGTTAAACAGTGGGCGGGTTCCATCAAACATTTCTTACAAATCCTTCAAAACTTAGAATTTACCAATGCAAAATTCCTACTATGCACAAAAACTGTGACGAAGTGTAATCCAGACTTTAGTCCATATATCTTGGGCAGTTTTCAAGATGTTTCCATTTTTAGGTTTTGTTTTGTACTTTAGTAAAAGAACTCATGAGGAATGTCTTTGTTAATTACTTGTTCTGTCTTTCCTTGGTTTGATCTTAGCTAACATCTCAGTGGGATTGCTACAGCTGTACAGAAAAGGACGAACCAAGACTTGTGGACAGATACGGGAAATCTGTTAATATATACCAAATATCAACTGTAACTCGGTTATATTGGCAGCTACCTACAAGATACTCCGGAAACAAGGTAACTAATGATTAGCTGTGATTACGTTCAGCTTTTTACAAGGCCAGTCCTTCTGCCCATTGCCTC